TTTTTTTTTTTTTTTTTTTTTTTTTTTTTTTAGGATACCACGTCAATGTTTTTGAATCCACTTATACTCAGCTCCAGCCGCGTTATATCTCCTCAGTAACTGATCCTTCAACTGTATATCCTCCGGGACATCACACCAACGCTTCTCGACCAGGAGCTTGATAAACGGATCATCCCGCTCATCCGCATATTTCAGCGCAGCGCGGAAATGACACGGCAGCAGCGGCCAGTCTCTAGAATAATTGTAGCACCTGAGCCGAATGCACAATCCCAACAGTCGCTGGAAAGTACCCAAGTCCCGGTCGCGAATCACCTGTCGCAGGATACGCCTCGAGCATTCAAAATTTTCGTCCTCGTCGATATACGCTTCTTCCGCTAATAGGGCCAGGAAGCTGAGTTTGTCGGGCGTCCAGGGAGGACAGAGGAGTTTGTCTGGCATGCGTGGCATAGTAGATACACATGCTGGGAATCTGTATTCCTCCTCACTAACGGGAAAAGGTAGCTCGTAAACGGGTCTGCCGAGTACCACGAGGCCCCAGTTGAACCAGATACTAAGCACGCAGTCGTCGTAGGTGCCTAGACCCCCATAGGTGGATTCACGCATTGCAAGGATCTTAAGATCGACCGAGTCCTTACTGGGGGCACCCTGGGCATCCATTTTGCTGGTCGACTCTTCGAAACGCTGCTCCAGGTTTGACAGCTTGTTTTTGTCCTCTGAGGAAAATTCCAGACGGTTGCATTGGATCGCGATAACATGTTTGAGGAATCCTGCTTGGCACTTCCGCATCAACGGTAATGTGCACCACCGTGATCCAAGAATTGTGCTCTGCAGGCCTGTCCGTTCCTGCTTCGAGAGACCGAGAAAGTCAAGCGGCGGAGGTAAGTATTCCGATGTTAAGATGCCGCGAGACTCGTGGTTGTCGATAGTAAACGCCAGTCGAATAAGCCATGTATATATTATCGGATCCGAAAGAGCCCTGGCGATATGGATCGAAGCGCGGGGAAGATTGAATTCCACGCAATGCAGAAAAATCGTCTGAATGATTTCGACAGGAAGACATTCAATCCGTGTCGGTACTCGTTTTTCACTCATATTCGGTACTCTCTTTTCACACATTGTTCGTCACTTCGGGGCGCAGCAATCGTTCGATTCGAGATCAAGACCGAATCATCACAGCTCGGTGCTCACTTGCTCACTAGCTACTCAACGCGAGAGTGGTGAATGACCAGCTGTTATCGTGATCAACATAATCGGATGTATCTGATCGTTTTAGGGGAGTGGAGGTGGGTAGGGTGATGAGTCGAATTATCGTGTTGGATTGTAGCTGCGGGTTGTTAACACTGAGGGTGGGAAATATGCGTTGACGGTGATTCTTCGGTCGTGTCTGCGTCGGGATCTGAGTATTGTAGTGAGTGCAGGGTGATTTCAGTCGATTGATAATCAAGAAGTTATCCTGTCACGACTCTGCAGCGCGAATGGTGGCATTTTGGGATGTGAGTAGTGAACTGATGGTGGTGGACGTCTTAGCGAAGATGATCTGTGGAGTGACAGTCTGCACAACGTGACTTTTACAACTGTAGCAGGATATTGAATCCATATGGAAGTACACTCGTCTATAGTATTCCGTAGTACTCCGTAAGAAATGTGTCTACTTATTGGTGCGGCTATTATTTCCTGCAATATCCACACTAAGGCGACGGGAGCATGTCATAAGTACGGGTGCATTTTGCCGGGTATGTGCCTATAATATGGGGATTACATAGAATACGATCATGGAACATCTTCTAATTCGAACAAAGTTCTATACACATCCGACAACCAAATCACGGCCAGTCGCACATGGCAGGGTTGACAATTACTGCGTGATTGTATTGGTCGAAGGATAAGGAGGCATAATATGACAGGATATTTTCCGTTTAAACGGCAGCAAGGTCGCCGAAGCGTTCCTAAAATCATTGTTAGTATAGTCCGACTTCGGATGTAAAAAAGAACGCACCTTGTAGCCCGGCGGCATCCACTTGCCCTTGGAGACCAGGGAAGAGGTCTTCTCGTCAATCTCAGGCTGGGCAGCAGCAACCTCGTCCTGTAATTCATCAGCATCTGTATTGTCCTCAATGGCTGTGTAACATAACATACCACAGTGAGATCCTCAAACGGCCTCGCAGTCTCAATGTTCTCAAGAGTCTTCTTCAACTCAACAATCTCAGCCTCAACCTTGCCCTTAGTCTGCTCAGCGTTCTGAACAGCCTGGGCCTCAAAGGCGTCAATGGCCTTGACCTGGCGGCTGACATCGTAGGTGGCGGGCTTGAAGGTCTTGAAGTGGTTCTCGAGCTCGTCGACGACGGCCTGGTTCTTCAGGACGTTGCGGTAGTGGGCGAAGTCGACGGTCTGGGGCTGCTCGGAAAGGAACTGGACCTTGCGGCGCGCATCGTCGTTACGCTTCTTGAAGGCTTGGAGGGCGGTGGCTGTTTGACCGCGGAGACCGAGGGAGCTGGTCACCTTGGTCCAGTCGACTTTGAGAGCGGCACTGCGCTGGGGGGGGGGAGTTAGCAATTATTTCCTCCCCATTGGAAAGAATGCGTTGAATTGTAGAGCATGATTGGTACATACAGCGGCCATTGTGACGGTGTTGTATGGAGAGGAGGGGTTAACTGCACAATGGGAGGTTCGGAGAGTTGAGGATTCATTCGGCAAGGTTTGGGATGCGGCGCCCTCACGTGACTTTGTTCCCGTGTTCCGAGACCACCACATACAAGTAAAGCGGACTGATATTACAGAATGCTCTATAAACCTAATTGAAATATATTGAAATACCAATACGAATTGAAAGCTTACAGCAATGCTTACAAGTAAAAATGAAGAAATTATCGTGCTTTTCATGCTATACACTAAGGGAGAGGGCCCAGAACAGGGATATCAACGTGACACTCGCACCCAAAGCTCACTCATTCATCCTGCCGGCAGGGCTTCCATCACCGGACAAATCATATGCTGAGGGCCATGATCGAGTTCACGATATCGTTGTCGTTCTCCCGGAGGGCCTTGACGGCCTTCTTGCGGGAGACGTTGGCCTGGGCCATGACAAGGTCAATGTCCTTGGCCTCGAGGCCGGCCTCATCAACCTCCTCGCCGTCGTCCTCCTCTTCTTCTTTCCTGGCCTCGACTTCGGGGGCCTTGCCCTTGCCGTGGTCGTGGTCGTGGTCGTGGTCGTGGTCGTGACCAGCGTGCTCACCACCGGCGGCCTCGGCGGCGGCCAGCTGCTGAGCAGCGGAAGCCTGGGCCTGGGAGTTCAGGTCCTCGATCTTGGCCTCACCGAAGATGCTGCGATGTGTCAGTTCTGCTTTCCGTAGTCATATTGAAGGTTGGAATTCGACATACATCCAGGTGTTGCTGGAAGGCGACTTGTAAACATCGGGCTGGTTAACAACGAAGAGGATCTGTAATCCATTAGCGACCGTTTCGTCCCAACTCTCTCTCGTCCCTCTTCCAGATCGCGGGGAAACATACGTTCTTAGGACGGCGGAGAGTAACACGGGTGATGCCCGGGACGTGCTTGAGACCGAGCTTGCCAATGGCCTTACGGGCCTTCTTCTCGTTACGGGAGTGGATGGTGACAGCGGCGCCTCCGGGGATGGTGGGCTCGTCTCCAGCCTCAGACTCAGAGCTGTCGCCCGCCTCCTCAACCTGCTTGGTGGGCTCCTCGTCGGGAACTTCTTCAACACGGGGGTCGGCCATTGTGATTTAGAATTTTCTAAGAAAACGGGAGTTAGTATTCGTTGTTCGCTGTTCGCTGTTCTCGCACAGGTGCAGTGCGGGCGGGCACAAATGTGCCCTCAAAACACCCGAAAACCCCACGATTTCCCACAAACAGGCGGGAAATCGAGGAATTCGACGGCAGGAAAGGATTCAACGACTCGAAAACAAAACTGGCATACCTGGTTCGCGGAAAGAGGTATTTGGTGGACGGGGTGGGTATTTTTGTCTGGTTGGAGGTTGAAGGTCGTAAATGCTGTGTGAAGGTCATCCTGCCGAAAATCGATTAGCGAGGCTGGGTCTCCCACTCCTCAACTGCCCACTGTGCATGCATACTATGTAGTATTCCAGCATAAGTACAGTTTACAGTCTACAAAATATAGAAATAAATATACAGAAATCACAGAATTACAATTGACAATATTTACGTCCAGCGTTCAATCCCAATATGGAACTATACGGAATAGCTGCTCAACTGCTCAACCGAACGCGGTTCCATACCCCAGTCTATGTAAAGATAGTAGCAGAGATAAAAAAAATTGTAGCATCTCCAGATTGGTCTAGATGCAAGAACACGGTCGATCGGACACGGGATATCAAGTTTTGAATCATTCTTTTTTGCTGTCAATAATATGCATACAGCATTTTTGCTGAATTAAAAGAAAAAACCCTCAGCAAAAGGAAAAACCGTCCCAGGGATCCCCTAACACTTGCACCGAGCCTCATGAAACCATTTATGCCTTAGGAGCAGCCGCCTTGGCCTTAGCGAGAGACTTCTGGACCTCGTAACGAGCCTATATCCGTTAGCACCATTCTTCTCCCTATGAATTCCCCCAGATTGCGTAGACGCATATATGATCCGTCGCAACGCAATTCCATTTCTCATGGAGTGTGCAGAACGTACCTGCTTTCTCAGGCGGAGGACCTTGAAGCGCTCAAAGTCGGTCAGGTTCTTCCTCCGGTCGGCACCCTCGGTCTTCTGAGCGTAGTTGCTCTTAGCCCACTTGGCGTCGATCTCGTTGTTCGCCCAGAGCTTCTTGACGGGACCAGTACCGGCGGCACGGGGGAGCTTGGGGATGGTGAAGTGGGTGAGGGTAGCGTTGGCGAGGGGAAGGACGTGACGGGGGACGATCTTCTGCTCCTCGTTGGAGGGACCGTCAACCAGGACCTGTCGCGCGAATCTTGTCAATATAATTCCTTTTGTCTCGTCTTCCTCCAAATCGGTATAATCTCCAATCATCCAATCCAATCCAATCCAGTCCAGACTCGGGATAAACGTACACGGCGGTGGTCGACAATCTCAACAATAACGGCGAGCTTGCCGGTGAAGGGACCGCGGCGGATGAGCACCACACGGCCAACCTCAACCAGCTTCCATTGAGCAATCTTCACGTCGATATCGGCCATGGCGAAGGGCTTCCTATAACGCACAACACAAAAAGTCTCAGCGGGTGTTCAGAAACAGCGAAACAGCGTAACAGCGTAACGAGCGTAAAAATCGGAAAATCTCTGTTCACTGAATATAGCAGAATAGAACTCACGGTCGACTAACTCCAAGGGCGGTCGTGTAAAAGGTGTTGTCGAAGAGTCGGGGTTGTCGAAGTCGTCCGGAACGCACAAGATTCGCTCGCTGTGGCTGCTGGAATCGCGAATTTCGCTGCCACGCCCGGTTGCCCACAGAGCCTCGCTTACTGGCCACTCAGAGGGCGGTGTTTGGGGCTGCCGTGCGGCCTAGGGCTGGTGGGCGCCTTGGCGTGGGTGTCGTTTTTCCGTTCCGGCGGTGCTTTTAAGCCGCATTAATTTTTTTTCTCAGCTGTCTTTGCAGCTCTTTTGTATTGACAGCTTCAGACTGAGCTCCAGAAATTATGTGTTCTGTTGATCATATCTTGCTACTACTAACATCCAGCTCTACACTCACCATTAACTAATCGGTACGTTCAACACATATCTCTACTCGTCCGTTCACATGATGCGGTAATTTGCGATTGACCCAGTGTCTGTGAAGCCCTCGCCGGGGCTTCTTATGCAGCGCTGCAGCATGATATTCCTTTCTTACATATTCTGATGTCCTTCTACACTATTGCCATAATACATCTGGTAGAGACTGGTGCTGACCATTCAAAGACACAGGCTTTTTCAACACTTCCCAAGATTTGATGCGATTCGATACTTGCACAAGGTACGTGAAGACAGTTTGTTTGCCAGCGCACACTCCGAAGATTAAGACAACAGCACTGCCTAGATAGTATATGACGCTTTCGGGCGATGATAATTGCTTTTACACCAAGATCTCTGAGGACTTTCATTCATTGCCGTTTTTATCATTCAGCTTTTTGGTTGATTGATGCTGACTTTGTTCAAGTGCAGGTTCGAGTTCGATTATTTAGCATCTGATAGTTAGATGAAATTCATTGATTCGTTTTGCATGTCTATTTGTCCGTCCAATACATCTCGTAAACTCTAGTAGAACTGGTAATGCTTTTGAAAGTTGGCTATATTATGTCTCATAGCTCCATCTATATCATGATGCTAAATAAAACAAATCACTGAGCAGACCCTGCCCGAACATAAATCGGTCCCTCACGACTCAGGACCCACATAAAGATAAACTGGATGATGTACGAGTAGAGGAACAGGAACTGCGTACGGCGGTTGCGCTGCGAGCGCGCAACGGTGTGCATAGATCCGGTGCGCATCGAGACGTCGCTGGTCGAATCAGGGAGCAGAACGTACTTCAAGGAGCGGAGCTGCGAGACGTCAGTTAACAATTCGACCTGGAAGGATTGTGAATGGACGTACCAAGAAAAAGGCGTTAGCAAGGAATGTATAGATAAACACAACCCAGCCGATCCAGCCACCAGTTCCCTTCCCAGGGGTCAGAATCTCCGCCGTCACCAGTGTCGCAAGAATCCCAACAAACTTGTATCCCGAGTAAGCCACGAGATCCAACAGCTGCGACTCATTGTTAATGGTCAAAATGTACATGGCCATTTTCAAAACCAAGATCTCAAACAAAACAACCGCAATCGCCGTCGTGGTCGTCGACCCAAGCAGCTCCGGGTGGAAGTTCCCGCGGAAGCCCGCCAGCATCGACGTAAGGAGAATGTAGGTGACGAGGGCCATGACGGGGATATACATGTCGGGCGAGTTGAGGTCATCGCGAGGAGGGAGGAACATGGACGAGTATTGCTGCTGGGAGATCTGACCGTCGGGGCCTGCTGCTGCTGCTGCTGCTGTGAGACGCGCTTGTTGGCGAGACCATGGCTTATGCCTCCACGGGAAAAGGACGAGAAGGACTTTATTCAGGACGTAGGAGTTGGAGACGTTGAAGTAGTGTTTGAGCGCGGGGATAGAGACGTAGCGATTGAACTGCAGGGCGGTTACGTTAATAGGTTTGCGATAGTACTGATCAATGGACAATACTCACGTTCTGTTCCATGTATTCTTGTCCAGCCGCCATCGCCGTCTTGCCGACTTGAAATCCCATCTGGGCTGTGGGATCATTGATGAACCCCCCGAACCCCGGGTTATATGTCCCACTGCCACCCTGTACAGGCGACGGCTGATACGGATTGCCATAGCCTGCCATCTGAGGCTGCTGAGGTGCCGGTGGAGGTGGTGAGCGCATCATGGGCACAGTAGAAACATGCTGCGGTACGGGGTGATGAAGCGGAGGAGACTGTGCTGGCGGCGGCGCGAAAGGCTGGCGATACATTATGCTGTGTAATGAGGAGATAAGGGAGGGACGGAAAGAAGAATAGTTGGGTCTGAGAGAGTGTTCCCCCGCCGATTGTGTGACTTGGAGCGTTGTAGTATGGTGGTGTAGAGTGGTAGTAAGTAAGTAGTAAGGCGAAGTCCGGAGTGTGTTTATACGTGGCTCAACTTTCCGCCGTCGGGAGAGCTGTCTCTCCGCTGCCTTCGCCGCAAATCTCCACCACGTCACTTCCTTTTGAACTTCTTACTGTTGACAACCTTTTTCGCAGTTCAGAATATTTCAATATGTTGGAGGCTTTCGAAATTCTGACTACCTCTGGGGTTGTCTTATGGTCCAAATCTTACGCCCCCATCGGTGCGCATGTCGTGAACGGTCTTATCAACGACGTATTTATCGAGGAAAAGGTTCTCAACCAGCCTCCGACAGCAAATGGTCCTTCCCCGGTGTTCAAGAAGGAGAAATATACCCTGAAGTGGAGGAGAGTGAAGGATCTCAACCTGATCTTTGTGGTATGTCGTTGTCTCTGGCGCCTGCCTACCGCGGCGACTGACTTCTCTAGGCCGTCTACCAATCGCTGCTTCACCTTGGCTGGATCGACAAGCTCCTGGATAACATCTCGACTATTTTCATCGATCTTTACAAGGACCAATTGAAAAGCTCGCGCGCGACGGCCATCGAGTACAAGTTCGATAGATACTTCGACCAGCAAGTCCAGGAATTGGAGGACAATACGGCATCTGCGCCTGTCGAAGTTTCCGTCGCGGATGGAGAGGATAAGAAGGATCCGTTTGTCTCGTCTGATAATGGAGGACCGCCGCCACCGCCAGTACCTGGCCTCCTAAAAGCGCAGCAACAAGCTGCGCCGGGCGTGGCGACCTCTGATGAGGATACGCCACCCCCGTCTCGGGATACTTCTAGGTCACCAACACCTGCAAGCCGTATCCTTACCGCGAAGGGAGGTCCGGCTGGTCGTGTGTCTCGCCGCGCGCGCAAGGCCGCCAGCGCCAACACTTCGTCCGGCGATGAGAAAGTTCGAAAGGGCAAGGGCTCCAAGGGCGAAAAGAAGAAGCGCAGATGGGATGCAAATGGGCTTGCTGATGAGGACGACGGCGAGGTCTTGGATTACTCCGCACCTGCTGACGGTGAAGATGCGCCAACGGCAGCCGTGGAGGAGGTTTCGCAAGATTCTATGGGCCGCAGGACCGGCAAAGGCCAGTTCGTGCTGAAGGATCTGGGCGAGGAGGTCCATTCGATCCTTGAAAATGCGGATAGTGAGAAGCCCAAGTCAAATCAGTCTTCCGGCTTCGTTGGATCTGGTTTCAGCGCGATTGGCAACATGCTGCGCAATGTTGTGGGCGGAAAGGTTCTTACCGAAGCCGACTTGGAGAAGCCTCTCAAGACGATGGAAGATCATCTGCTGAAGAAGAACGTTGCGCGCGAGGCGGCTGTACGGTTGTGCGAAGGAGTCCAACGGGAGCTTGTCGGAAAGAAGACCGGCAACTTCCAAAGCGTCGATGCTGCGCTGCATCAGGCCATGGAATCCTCCTTGCGCAAGATTCTCACTCCCACCTCTTCTTTGGACATGCTGCGTGAGATTGATGCCGTCACATCGCCGACCAGCAAAGGACAAACACCTCATCCATATGTCATTTCGATCGTGGGTGTCAACGGAGTCGGTAAATCGACAAACCTGGGCAAGATCTGCTACTTTTTGCTCCAAAACAACTACCGTGTGCTCATTGCGGCATGCGATACTTTCCGTTCCGGCGCCGTTGAGCAACTCCGAGTCCACGCCCGGAACCTGAAAGAGCTCAGCGCTCGCGAGAACGTCGGAGAAGTCGAACTCTACGAAAAGGGCTATGGTAAGGACGCCGCCAACGTCGCCAAGGACGCAGTGGAATACGGCGCCGTCAACAAGTTCGACGTGGTCCTCATCGACACCGCGGGTCGTCGCCACAATGACCAACGCCTGATGTCGTCGCTGGATAAGTTCGCCAAATTCGCCAATCCCAACAAGATCTTCATGGTTGGCGAGGCTCTGGTTGGTACGGACAGTGTTATGCAGGCGCGCAACTTTAACCAGGCGTTTGGCACTGGACGGAATTTGGACGGCTTCATTATCAGTAAATGTGATACTGTTGGTGATATGGTCGGTACGCTTGTGAGCATGGTCCATGCCACTGGTATTCCTATTGTGTTCCTGGGTGTTGGACAGCATTATGGGGATATCAGAGGGCTGAGTGTGCCGTGGGCTGTCAATTTGTTGATGAAGTGAGCGTTTACGATAGATCATGGCTTAGACATAGCATTCTTTTGATTACTTGGATATCCATATAGCTTTTAATTAATCCACGACACGACGACATCGAAGAAAAATAATACAAAACAAAAAGACAAAAAAGAAAAAATCAGATAAATAGATGAAAAAAACAAAAAGAATGACCGACGCAGGGGTCGAACCTGCAATCTCTTGATTCGTAGTCAAGCGCCTTACCATTGGGCCAGCCGGCCTTGTTGGAAACAAAACAGCATAAATAATTACATAAGCCAAAACAAAGCATAACCTCGCGTTGACCTGCCAGCGATCTCCCACTCTCGTAGCCTCTAATTCGCAGACAAAACAAGCCTAGATCGCAACGAATTTGCAACGAACATCTCTTGCATACACAATTATTAATGGAGCATTCTTCACTGGACAACTAATCGACTAGTCCAGATCAGGAATCCTCCATTTCGCTTACATCACCCGCCGGTCTCAGCTACTCCTGCTCCCTCGATTGCCGCTTGATCTCGGTTACGCTCTTGCTGCAGTGACTTTGCTTTTTTGGTCTCTTGGTAATAATACTCATGGTGACTGCTGTCTTTGTGACGTCTGATATCCCATAGCCAAACCGCGCGACGACCCCTGCCACGGGCAGTTGGTGGCCATTGTTGAATAGCGTCCGGGGTACCGAAGCGGTTATACAGGTTGCTTGAAGCGTTGGAAAGGATACGATCAACGACCCAAAATGAGATCGAACGAGCGAAACCTCCTCCAACGACGACGGTCGTCAACGCAACACTACCAGACTTTCGACACGCCGCCACCGAATTCACGCGGAGGAGGACCGACATCCGAACAATCCAACTCCTCGGTCGATGACCCGCGACATCACAACCATGAAGGATCCAGCTCCCACCACTCGGGCCCAGAGTCCCCGCTCCCGAAGAAACAAATGGCCATGTTGGCGGTGATCGCGTTGTGCGAACAGACGGCGTTCAATTCGATCAGTCCCTACCTCCCCGATATGGTGCTTTCGTTCCCCGAGGTGGAATTGAGTTCGGTGGGTGTATACGTGGGAACGCTGGCCTCTGCTTTTGCGCTGGCGCAGTTCGTGACCAATTACTTCTGGGGGTGGTTGTCTGATCGTGTGGGGCGGAAGCCAGTAATTCTGCTAGGTACTATCCTGACGGCTGTGTCTTTTCTTGCATTCGGGCTGTGCAGGACGTTATGGCAAGCGATTCTTGTGCAGGCGGTGATGGGTGCCGTTAATGGCAATCAGGGTTTGGTTTCGACCTGCCTGGGTGAAATTACTGATCGGAGTAACCAGTCGAAGGCGTTCACCTATCTTCCGGTTATTTATGGTATTGGCGGCGTCACAGGTCCCCTGCTAGGTGGTTTGTTGATTTTTGAGCGCAATCCGTTGAACAAGAGCGAGCCGAACCCGTTCCCGTATCTTATGCCGAATTTGATATCTGCGATTGTGCTGCTGGTGGATTTTATTTTGTCGATTTTCTTCCTGGAAGAAAGTCTTGAAGATGCAGATGCGTTTCCTAAGTTTCAACGCAGGGTTCGCGCACTGTTCACATGGATCTGGCAATACACGAGCTTCGCTAAACGCGCGAGATACGTCGAGCCTCCACACTATCACCCAGTCCGGAACGAGAGCCAGGACCATGATAGCGAGCTTGACTCTGCGTCTGAAGCGCCAGATGATGAAGACAATCAGCAGGAGCTTATGCCATCGGAGCTTTGGAACCGGGATATTATACTGCTTCTTGTGTCATATCTCATATTCGCACTGTGCAACATCTCGTTCAATTCGCTCTTCCCGGTCTTTGCACAGGCCAAGCCACCATTGGGCCGTGGACTTACGCCGTCAGAGATTGGTCTTTCGCAGGGATTTTCTGGCTTGGTGACCATCCTATTCCAGCTCTGCGTTTTTGGAAAATTGCGGGACAAGATGGGTAATCGGTCGTCCTATCGAGCGTCGCTTTTTGGATTCGCTCTTTCGTTCCTCTTTTTGCCGTTTGTTGGGTATAAGGGTGATGATCCGAACGGTCACCTCTCGCAGAAGTCCGTTTGGGTTGCGATTGAATTATGCTTTGTCCTGCTGATCAAGACCGTCGCTGCTGTTGGTGGTATCACCAGTTCACTTCTATTGGTAAGTTCCCTTGCAACAAGATCTCGTGATATACAATACTAACAACCCAGATCACAAACTCCGCACCCAACCACGCAGTCCTCGGTGCCTTGAACGGCCTAGCCCAAACCCTCTCCGCCGCTGGCCGCGCCGTAGGCCCATTCCTCTCTGGCGGCTTATTCTCCCTTGGCTCCAAGATCATGCCCACAGGAGTGTATGTGACCTTTGGCGTGTTCGCTGCCGTGTCGTTTTTGGGATTTGTTCTGAGCTTTGGTGTTCGGGGCCGCTCCCTCGAGGCGGAGGGGTGGCATAGTGATAGCGATGATAATTATAAGTCGGATGATGAGGAGGGGGATGCATAGCTTGCTTGCTTGGTATACATGAGTTACGATTTCTTTGATTTGTTTTGGTTCTGGTTTGGGGTTTATAGATAGTTTGGGTTTGCACACGCATTTTGTATAGTTAATCGTGGTGTATAAAAGTGGATTCTACCCAGGTAACGGAGACTATGTTATGATCAACCTATTGACCTCCAAATCCTTTCTAGCAAATGATAGCTCTGTAGCAAAAATAGGTAGACGTCTTTCGCTATCCCCCTCTCAACATCAACTCCCTACCAATCCAACGACATCTAAGCCACTCCAACTAAGCAAGTCTAATATCATAGCTCCTTACGGACCGCGCTGCCACAAAACTCCATCACCTTTCCAAGCACCAATCTCATCATCATAAACCGAGACAGACGCCTGGTTTCTAAACTCCTTCTTCGACGCACGCCACAAATATTTCATACTATACTCATCAGCACAAAACCGCCGAGCCTCAAAGAACCTGTGAACAATCTGCTGCAGCCGGACGCGTAGATAGCCTTTATACCCATCCTTGTCATGGGAATTGGGAACGTAATCCGGATCAACAGCCCAAACCCACTTATCATCCACCCAGGGTTCACCATCCAGGACAGAATTCATACAGTCTTCATCGATGTACAAGAAGACATTCCTCTGGATGCCCTCGAAAAGGCCATCGGTCTTGCTACCTTGTGAGGTATACACTGTGCAGAAAAAGGCTACCTGTCTTGAAATTATGCTGAATCTCGGTCTTTCATGTAGTGTCTCGGGATAGGACCATTGGACTATGGAGCGATAAAAAATGACAATAACATTCTCTGTAACTACCTTCCACAGCAAGAAAAAACATGTAACATCTCTAAATAAGTAAAGAGAATTGAGCCATGTCAGCAATAGAACCGGTAAGTGTGCGCAGCGCCATCTACATCAACCGATAATTACCAAATAAGCGACCCTCTCTACTCGAGTCATCCTCCCAATCACCAAGTTCATCATCATGAATTGACACAAAAGCCTGTGTCCTAGGCGCCTTGAGCGACGCACGCCATAAGTATTCCATTGGATACTCATCAGCGTGGAAATGCCGGGCTTCGAAGAATCTGTGCATAATCTGTGGCAATCCCACACGGAGGTATCCTTTATATCCATCCTTCTCATTAGGGTTGGGGGTGTAGTCAGGGTCCACAGCATAAACCCACATATCATTCATCATGTACGGATGATCCAAGGTAGAATCGACGCAGTCTTTGTCGATGTACAGGAAGACATCCTGTTGAATCCCCTCAAGCAGGCCGTCTGTATTCTCGCCAAATAGACTCTGTGGGTGCTTCATGTTCGGTGGTAAAGCGCGGGTCTGCCGGAAATTCTTGCGAAGGGCAGCCAATCGTTCCTGAAAGCCCTTTTCGAAATCAACATCGTCCGCCGGCCAGTCCAACCTCTCCAACGCCCAGCCAGAACCCAACGCATCCGGGAGACTAATCCGGGACCTTATTGCAAACAGCACGCTACTCATATTTCTTTCGTATTCTTCCTCGCACTCCGTGGTATCTGCGCAATCCGGACTCCAGTAGACCGCATATCCCCAAGACCTCTTCAATTCACCCCCCCCCCCCCCCCCCCCCTTTTGCTCCTCTCACAGCTGGTGAATCCAGGGATATGCTTTTTTCAGCTTTCGCTGAGCATCTTCATCCGTTCTTCGCTTGAATTCCTCTCTCCAATACCGCCAACTTTCATTCCCTGCATTCTGGAACGCCTCTTTCTCATTCTTCTCATACACCATGAACGGCTTCTAGCTGAACTTTTGCATTCGATGCATCCTCATTCAAAAGCACGCATGAACTAAGTCTCGCTATCGACTCATCCAATTTAACATCTACCCAGTATCGGTTCGTGAGCAGCTGGATCTCAGACTGGCTGAGCTGGTCTGGCGAGTTCACTGCACGTGCCAGGAGATCCTTCTTGGTGCTGGATGATGAGGCGGCGATATTCCTCTTTTCTGTCTCAGCATCTGGAAAGTCGAAGATTTGACGCCGCTGTGTGTTGTTCAGGTTCAGATTCTGGGTGGGTTTTGCTTTGGCCTCGTGCTCGAGGGTAGCTTGCAGGGTGGCTTGCAGGGTGGATGGGTCGTCAATGTTGCGGATTACCCGCATAAAACTTGGGACGATGTGCTCCATGTTGTGGGCTAATAGTAGAGAAGCTGGTGAATGGATGGTTTGAGTGCAAGGGCAAATATACGATGGTGAATGCCTGCTTAAAAGGTGTCGTACTGTGACTCATTTCGTATAGAATAGGCAGCTCTAGTCTTCAATCATCGAATCTACTTTCGTCAAACTCTTCTGCCCCCAAACTACAAATGCTTACTATCCGAGTGGTAGTAATGGTGACACTCTAGATCTATTCAAAGTGCCATAATTGCGTCAAGTCCATTTACTTACAATCATGTAAAGCAAGATAGACGGTCTCGAATCCAGACACATCCATACCCCTAAGACATGAGGGACCAGCTCGGTTATAGCCAATCGCTTTGGGTCGTTCGTGCAGAGCGGTATGCTTCTGATTTATCCCATGTTGTCCTTTGTGACACGCTAACTCTATTCTCTCCCAGGCACACCCATCCTTGAAAATGGAACTTTGCGCGATTACCACATTACCAACCCCAAAAGGCTGTGGAGATCTAACAACCTTCAGATATTTCAAACGATTACCGCACATGGGTTCCATGATTATGCCAGGCCATTACTGGTCTTAGTAGTCGGTCCTCAGCCTTTTTCTTGAGAGAATGGGCTAACTATCTGCAGAATGTTGAGTCTTCCGCTTGTAAAGTGCGATACTGAGACTCTATGGGGTATTCATAAAACACCAGCTGTGTCCGGAATGGATCTACAAGGCTCATCCCCTTCGCATCAATGAAAAAAAAAAAAAAAAAAAAAAAGATCTGGTCCGGGAATACCTGGGAATACCTGGGAATACCTCCCTCATGCTGACCCCAAGGCCGTCTCTCTCGCCTGAGAGTTGAAATGGAGAACCGCCCATAGAGACTGTAAGAGCTCGACCGAAGGGTGTAATCTACTCCCGGAAGACCAACGATACCATGTCCACCTGTAAATATCTCAATTCGGCACCTACTACGAACCGAAAAGCTCAGTATGCAGCTGATAACATGGTAAATGCCCTTGGATCAACGGCAAATCCAGATGACCAGCATTATCAGCCTAGCAAAGCAGAGTGCCCAACGGCCCTACAAGTGACTACACTGCTATTAACTGCGTTGGCTTTAATCTAACGGCCCACAATTATATAAAACAGAAAGCCATCTCGATCGCAACGCTTAGAGCCCTAACAAGCGAAGTGTGATAACGTTGGCTCAGCATGCTATTGACAGATCAGTCATACCTAGCCACTTCAGGGTTTTTGTACGGCGGTATATTTCTGATTTATTTCGAATTTGCCTTTATAAGACACCGAATCTATTACCTTGCAGACGCATCATCCTGGAACATGGGACCTTGCGTGGTTACCACACGCGCAATGATAAATGTTGTGAAAATCCAACGATTCTACAGACATTTCACAAATGATTACAACCAGCTTATAATGAGATTTTTGCACCTCCTGGCTCTGCAGCCGGAGACCTTGCAAATGCCCTTGGATCAACAGCAAATTCAGATGTAACGGACAATCTAGAGCACGTTCTTCAACAGAACTGAAAATGGCACTGATTGAGCTGCAACACATATTCTATAGGTCCCACCGGGAACCGCAAAATTACACAGCTCGAGAGCGTCGAGGAGGGCAGACCAACGGCCCTACAAGTGTCGGCTACAACGAGCGACCACAACATCCGACACGATGGCTCACGATCATCTGAAACAGTTATGAGAAGCCATCTCGAAAGACATATGGAACGTCCAGAGTCCTAAGACATGGGACGTTGACAAGCCATGCTATAAGGCTATCGATAGATTGGTTGTACCAAACTACTTTGGAGTGTCTCTGCAGAGTGGTATGTTCTTGCTCTCCAAGTGTGATTTTCCTCGATATATGCTGACTTTTCATTCCTGATAAAGGAAAACAGGGGACAAATACTGGCCCTCCGAAGAGGAACTCGAGGAATATTATCCACAGACACCTCTCGCGACCAAATCCCACCAGTCCATCCTCAAAAAATCTTCCATAGGAAGACTCATCCTGGAAGACAGGACTCGTGACAACAATGTTGTGGAATTTTGATGACCTAACAGATATGCCACAAGTGATCATCACCAGCTCATGTTGAGCCTTTTGCACCCCCTAGTTCTGTGACCGACAACATTACCGAATGTCCTTGGCCAGATGTAATGGTATAGAGCGCATTCTTCAGAGTGCCCAACTCACCATGGAACACGGATGCGCGATTACAGCACGAGAAATCTACAAATGTTGTGGAAATCCAATGACCTAATAGGTATGTCACAAGCGATTAAAGCTGGTCTATATTATGCCCCTTCAATCTACTGGTTCTGGGGCGAAGACAAAGCCAAGGCCCTTGGATCGACGACCCATTCGGATGGAATCATCAACTTGGAGCGCATTTTCAATTAGAGTGCCCAACGGCCCTCAAGATGCCTACGCTATCAAAAACTGTGTTGGATTAAGTCCAACGGCATACAGTCATCTGAGACAGAAGCCCTCTCATATGCAATGCCTAGGGCCTTGAGCTTGATAAAGGAAGCAATCGACCGATCTGTTATCCCCAATCACTTTGGGGTGTTTGTGCAAAGTGGTATACTCTTTGATTTACAAGGCATTATGGCTTGCCTTGATAAGCTGACACTTTTCTCCCACAGGAACACTCACCATGGAAAATGGGACCTTTCGACACGATTTTCAAACGCGTGATCTCTAGATGCAGACAGCCAGAATCTCTTTGCAAGTGAATACCCGTATTAGATCCGTACCCAATACTTGCATATGCGGCAAACACAATTGCCAAATCCCTTGGTTCAACAAAAAATCACAACGTTATGACCAATTTCGAGCGAATGCTGAACCTGAGACCATTGCTCCTGTTCCCGTATAATTGACAGCGGGCAACTAAGGAGCACTGACACTACAGTACAATTTCAGATCCTACAGAGCAGATTTACACTCTGAAGGGAGACGAGGATCACAAACATTGAACCATTCGAAAGGTTCGCGGCCCGAATCGACAGCCCGGTGTCGCTGGCTGGCATGGCTGTATTCGTATATACTACTACGCAGCATTCAGCCTACAACGTAAAGGAGTCTTAACTTCAAATCAACACAATATCCATCAGCTCCAGCTGCAGGGTCACACACAACTATCGCAAATTTGAGGAAGAAAACGTTCGATGACCCACGAAGCTTCAAAGACGCCGTGGAGCCAAGTCCCAACTATCTAAGCACGGTCTACAAGTGCGGGAGAACAAGTGCGTTCAAGCTCTCGGAAGGGGTTTACGGGAGACCGAAACAGGACCACGGAGCATATAGCCCAATAACCTGGTCAACGGCACAAAGACACTTTGAGGTGTTGTCCTTGGTCATTTCTGACTTATGAACGTGAGAATCATACTTCCCCCGAATTGCCCTAGCCCTGATAGACACTGACACTCGAGTGCTGCTAGATCTTAAAAACCAGCTTTATACCCCGAAGAGACGCCTGGAAGACTGTTACGCCCTAGGCAGGCTCCACGTACCGCTGGTCGCTAGATGGATTAGGATAATTATCAACACGACCATCTATAACGGCTTAGGTTCTATCATACTGGAAGCATGTCTGATGTTGTAAGATCCTGAGGTTTCTCAGGAGACGAGCCTTTTGAAATTTTGATGCGCAACCCACCAAGCAGACCACCAGTGTTGCTGCCATCGCGACTCTTTCTAACATGATGACCGTCTTCGCGGTATATACAGGCCATCTAAATTCCAAATTGAGATAACATGAATCAGGCCAACAAAATTTAACACAAACCAAGACCCAATGGATTGACTAGTCAATAAATTGACACCACGCTTGTGGAGCTACCCTTTAGACAAGCTAACTCATTCCCTTCCGTCATCTTGTGCTCGCCATCGAAGACGGAACCTGGAGGTAATCCGCCAAGCACATCACCTCTAGGGTGGTATGGGACTACAGCTGATAGTGACGGTTGCCTAAGAAAACTCGCGGATACTATAAACTCGCGGATACTATCAGATGGGCCCGCGGACTGCGGGCTGATTTACCAGGAGAATGAAAAGATGGCACAAAAGGACAGCGTGGAGGAGTGCGCAATTAAATTCATGACAGAGAGAACGATTCTGCAGGAACCGAGATACCAAGCGAGGTTCAGACCCGGACGAGACGGGGAGACTACTAGTACACGGGCGTGCCATATGGCATCGTATCCAGGACGAGGATATCATACCCGCAATAAAAAGGTCCAACGCATCACACATATTATTAAGTGGAAATTTCAGTCCCCTTCGTCAGTTGCTTGCGAATACAAAGCATATCGACTTTACACAACGTATCTTGATAAATTAACCAAGAAAGCAGACGTCCATACAGATGGCTTACCAACAAGTGACCTCACTAACCATCTCCATCAAACACTCAACAGATACAACAGCCTGAAAACCTGATCACGCAGAAACTAAGTTAATTCTCAAATGGCCTACATACCACAGCCCACACAGAACTACAAGGAACCGCAAGACTTTCACAGCTGTGTCTCGATGTCAGTGGAGCTGCCCAACATTCTCAGATCCTCTAAATGAAGTGTAGAAGAGTTCGCTTGAGTTTACAAGAAAGGGCCGACCACATGGTCTTTTGTCGCCTGCATCTCTATTCTTTCGTGGATGTATCTGGTGTGGATACCACTGGGAATTACCACATGGTCGATAAATCTACATATGTTATCTGCTGGAGATCCAATGACCTCTTACATATTTCGCAAGTGATACCGGACGGTTTCAGGTTCACGTTATGTCGAGCTTTACCTCCCTCCTGGGTCAGTTTGCGGATCATGGCATGCCATGGCTTATAAATGCCCCCGAGACCACGACTAGTATATACAGTCGTGACCGATACGTCTAGTATACATATATGATTTGTGCCGTGGAGGCCATGTCCTTCGGCACGCAGCCACGTTCATAACAAGGGCATCGCTCCGGGCATTGCGGGGAGATTTCTCTCATGGAGAAAGTTTATCGATATTGATTTTTTCTTCTGAGTTACCTGACTAGTGTTATTGAGCTCGCAGGTTGGAAAAAAAAAAAATATTAGCTATCCATACTGGTTCGAAAATGGCTACAACAACAGGTGGATAAGGACCATTATCTTCCCAATTGCAGTGCAACATCCCACTAAAGCACAGTAAGTAACTAGTTAGTTAGTTAGCAATGGGGATGACAAAGACAATCACTTTCTGTTGGAGTTCCCCCTCAAGGTGAACTGACAGCTGTATAATATGGCCCATGCCATGTTCATGTCTTTGGAAATCAGACTATGTTAACAATATTATTGTATCTATATTTATCCTCGTTATCATGCAGCAAGTAAACGAAACGAAACCAAAGCAAGCAAAACACCGACCAACCAAACCGATCCCATATACATGCGCACGATAATAAAACCCGAAACCAGCAACCATTTAAAACTGTCGTAACCTCATTGACCATCACCCAGCTCAACCCAAGAACCAACTAAGCCGGCTTCTTCTCCTCAACCCTAACCTGCCTCCTCCACGGAATATCCCTCCTCAACAATATCCTCAACTCCGGTGAAATAACCTTCGCCTCAGCATCCTCACTATCTCCAGGCTGAGTACTAGTACTAGCGCCAGCACTAACGCCGGTACTTGATCCCTCTGGAGCTCTTGATTTCCCTTTATCCGTTTGCGAAGGTTTTCGGCGGTGCGCGGTGGGGGCGGAGGGGAAGTTGTTCTTTTTGTCGATTGCTTGGACTGTGCGCTCGAAGCGGCGGAAGAGGGATTCGGCGCGGGTGAGGAGGGGGGTTAGTTCCATTGAGTTGGAGAGCTCGTTTACTGTTCCCCACATTAGCATCATATTTTTTGATCAGAGGGAGAAAAGGAGGGACATACTGTACTTAAGAACCTCGTCAAAATGCTTCAGATGATCCATGATGACATCGCGATGTTTTTCGAGGATAGCCAAGGCGAAGAAGAGATGGAAGCTGCTGGAGAGATAGTCTGTCCAGAGGGATTCCCAGAGACGGAGAACGTCTGCCCATTCGAATTCGCGCTTGTACCAGACTAGCAACATGCGGAAGAAGAAAAAAAAGTTGGTGCTGTCGGCGGATTGGAGGTGCAGGTAGAGTTGAGGATCCATGAGTTGGACGAGGTGGTCGATGGTGAGGAGTTGGGTGCGCATGCCGGATTGGTCACGGAGGAAGTTGTGTTCCTGCTGTTGTCAGACGAGTTTAATGATTTCTTGGTAAGAGGTGGGGGATACCATTCTGTCCATAAACCCGACGAATGCCCAGAAAGCGACGGCGTCGTCTTGCATGACAGCGTAAAGAGGGGCGAGGAGATCGCTCATGCCTTGTACGTAGCCCAGGTCGGGGTTGTATTCGTTATAGGTCAGGAGCATGTCTTTCATCTGTTCCATGTGGACGTTCGTGCCTGTATCTGCGAATGGCGAGTCGGGGTCCGGATGGGGGATGTCTTCTCCTGCAAACAATGGAATCGTGCGGTCTGTCCGGTGGACATCTTTTTCTGCTAGATGTTAGTATCAAATTAACGCAATGAACCAAGGAAACCTACCAATCCGGTTCCTCTGCTCTTTCCAGTGATCAAATTCCTCGGCCGTAGAAGTCCCCTCAATCATTCTCTCCCACCAGGCGCCTTTTAGACGAATATACTCATCCCGTTTCGAGTTCATCAGCGCCTGACGCTCGTCATGGCTGCTGTCCCACGGGTACACCCCGAGAAGGAAAAGCCATGCATCCTTTCGGACGCCGTCGTTCGGATCCAAACCTCCGTGGAAGATTCTCTCCGTGACCTCGTCAATTGTCACCTGTAGCCGTCCAGAAATATCGAAGAATCCCTTCCACTCTTCCAGGGTGACAATCTTGCGTCGTTCGTGGATACCCATCGTCCCAGTCTCCATTTCTAGAATCTCAAACTCTCCCACCGAGCTGTCCTCCATCTCGAGAACATCCTTTGCAGTCCATATCCGCTGACTCCGCTCCCTCTCACTCTGTTCTGCAAGACTCATGGCCCAACGTGCCAGGTATATCCTCGCGCTATCAAACTCATCCTGCAACGTCTGAACCTGAGGGTTCTTCATAAGACGACGAATCTGCGGCGGAATGCGAGGATTTTCAGCGATATCGTTGGCGGTCCGTTTCGTAAAGGTAGTGATCTTGCTCAACTGCTCAAGCACCTTCCATCTCGTCTCCTTGAGCGTCTTCATAAACGGATCCATCCCGCCCTGATTTTCTTGTTCCGCGTTTTCCTCCCTCATCATCGGACTTCCAAACGAGACCAGATCTTCATCCGACGGGTTGATCAGGTACGCGTTCTTCTCGACCTCCGAGCGCTGCACGTTGACGTAATTCCGGAGCCACTTGAGCACTTCATCGCCACCCCAGAACATGCTTCCATCGTCGCTGAACGGATCGAAAGTCTCCTTGGTCTTTTTCTTCTTCTGCACGATTGTTGACTCGCACTCGCTGTCGTGGAAAAAGAGCGCGGGGAAGCTATCGCCGAGACGGGTGTTAATCACTAAACTCCCAAACCACCATCCTAGACTAGGCGGGCGCACGAGCAGCGAGTATATTTCCGATAACGGTACCGCAAATGCATATAAACCGACGGGATCTTTGAGAGTCGTCGTCGTCGGCAAGGGAGGCACCAGGTATCTCTGTCGCGGCGTTGATCCTTCATCGGATAAATCGACTTTCACGTAGGTATTATATGCATCGCCAAGGGAAGATTCGGGAACCCAAGCGAGAAGATAGGAGGAAGGATCGGAGCGTTTCGATGAGCTGGCGGGCTCTGCAGGACGATGGGCGGGTTTTTGCTGGATGAGAGCGATAAAGCCGGGGATGTTATCTTTGGCGGAGGGGGACGGATGGACGTAGACCTGTGCTGTCAGTATATTTTATGGATACCAGAGACAAGGAAACTAACTTTGCTCTTGGAAAATAGTAACTTGACGCCTCTCCCCGACGCCGAATGGGCGATGGTGTTGTATTCGTCCTCCTCGTCGTCGCTGACGTCGTAGAACGAAGCCGTGGGCGACGGCGATGGAGGAGGTGTGTATTGTACTCGTGAACTTGACATTTTATTCGATCGGGATGGTATTCATGTTCTCTGGGATGGTTGTAGATGGATGTTCGGCGATGAAGTGTCGGAGGAACGTCACGACGTCAGAGCGGGGAGCGTACTCCGAGTACTTATACAGAGCACAGCAGTACAAGGAGTATACCTTTACGACTCTTTCTCAACGCCACTTCCGTGGCCTAATCTATATCAGGTTTAGTCCATTATTGGGGTATTTTACGATCGGTATTGAATGTAAATATACCGAATTTTCTGTAAGTTAGATGCTGTTTTGTAAATACCAGATGTTTAAACTAGTATTTTGTTGTCAACCGCCGACTTTTATGGTTCTACGTAGATATTCTGGACGCATGATTCAAATGAGACGAGCAAAAATAACTGGTACTGTAAACAGTTTACCACTAGCACTGCTAGCCTGTGTGACATATGTGGTCTGTGATGTGAAAGTTGTTCAATGTTTAGCAGGCTATGCACTTCCTCTGATACTTTCAGTATACATACTCATACTCTGCATGTTGAAAATTCAAGACTTAAGTTCATTCCACGAGTCAATTTCTTTGTTGCCTAGGCCTACCCCGTATACTATGACGATGCGCCATCAATCGACTTCTTATAAATCCTGACCTTGCGGCGCGGGTGAAGTTTTTCTGGAAGCTATAATAAGGGGATGGTTTCCAAGAAAGAGTTTTGCAGCTTATTGTATCTGCATATGAAATGATTTGATATGCTCTTCACGGGGCAACTGAGCAATCACCGAAGGTGCTCTATACTCCGCTGCAATTTCCTGTGAGTGCTGCGGACGTTCTATTTGAGTGGGCACTTTCACGGGCCTGATAACTAGTAGATAAAACGAATAGTATTCATATCTAGACTAGGCAGCCTATTGATGAGAATATCAAATCTGGAGAGGAAGGAGAAGAAAAGAAACTATCTACTCATCGTGCGATCATGTGTTGAAGGGCTAGGGCTCGTCATTTGCTCATATTGCTCCATCGGCAGTGTTTGCAGCCATCGACAGTTGGTCATTAGCTGTTGATTGTTGATTGTTGACCGTTGACTGTCACAGGCACTGCTGCGGTAGTTTCATAATTTCATTTGGCAATGGATTCTGCACGCCCTTCCAGTCACTAAGAGCACGGCAAGAGGATCTGGTATGTGGGTGATTAGGGCCCAATCTTTTGTTGTACAGCTCAGAACAATTTTCCATTAGAGCCAAGGCATCTTGAAGCTTGCCTAGGGATTTCCAGGTGCAGGCAAGGTTGTGCATGCTAATCAGAGTGTCAGGATGTTCGTCCCCCAGCACTGTCTTTTTTGTCTCCATTACTTGCACTTGCAGCTCCTCAGCTTCCTTCCATTGACCCTGATCCTGGTAGATTGATGCCAGGTTGTGCATGCTGATCAGAGTGTCAGGATGTTCGTCCCCCAGTACTGTCTTGGATGTCTCCACTACTTGCACTTGCAGCATCTCAGCTTCCTTCCACTGTCCCTGACTCTGGTAGATGTCACGGGCTCGGAATAGTAGTTAATAATGAATTGATATTCCTATCTAAACTATTGTAGCCATCGACGAGAATATTGAATCTGGAGAAGAGAAGAGAAAGTCTATCTAGGTAGTGAAGGGTTTCTTATATGGGTTGTTGACAGCATGGCTGCTTGTTCGAGTAGCCGCAATTGGATGTATCAACTGTCGCTACAGTGCTGAGCTGTCATGTGTGAGCCATCGCACTGTTCAAGAGATGGTCCAGTCGCAAGTTCTATGTGACACTTCTATCTTCCGGGTTCCATGCACTTCGCATGTTATTCAGCTTAGTCTGAATGAGCTACTTGGAAAGATCAAAGAAAACCCACTAAACAAAGAAGTAGAATATGAGTGGTCTGATGCGCGTACTAAGTCGCTCCAATCCAAGTCAAGACAGCCTACAAGACATATTGCGGATACCCTAAAGAAGGTAAGTAAGTCTTCTTTTTATCCTCAAAGATAGTACTAAATTATACTATGTTTAGGTTCGAGAGCTTGCTGTCTTCATCAATGCTAGTCCACAGTGTCGATTGGCCTACTAGTACATATATATACATGCCTGAAATTTATATCTACCGAGATATTTTTTGATTGACCCCCGAAGTCGTTCGATAGAAACCATAGAATCAATCGATGATAGATAATGTTGTAAAGAAACCACGAAGGAATACAGCTGAATGACAAGAGGTGATTTGATATCTTGATAGTAGATCTCGTGTATCCAGATGCTTGTGTAGAAATGTATATTAACTAAAGTAATCCACGAGCCAGTGACTCAGATATCGCAGAATGTCCGAAGTTGTCTTCCACAATCCGGCGTCGCTTTTGGAGTTCAATGATAGGCCAAACAAAATTAGGATTTCTTCGTAACTGTCCTTGACTCATAGTTGATCGGAGAATCTTTCCTCCCTTTCCTTTGTTTCTCTTTCCATTTCTGCCCTTCATTTCTGTCCAATCCCCCCTGTTTGCCATCATCGGGTCATTCGAGATGTTTCGAGCCCGGCAGGTGACTCGGGCAGCCAACGCCCTTGCGACTGCTGCTCACCATCCACGGACTCCCATTGCCAGACTGCTGGATCACGTTCTGAGGAAACAAAGTGTTAGAGGAACCGCCTCTGCTGCGACACAGTCAACGTATTTTACATATTTCTATTGTTGTTTCGCGCCTTTGCTTATCTGTGTACAATTATAGACCAACAAGTGCGGCAAACCCGAACACCACAGATGTCGCTGCTCCGAGCCATCGTGTATCGCCGGCGGCGGTTGATGAATCGTATGAGGAATTCCTCCCTGAATCACAGTTCGTGATGGCTAATGTTTGATACAATCCAACAGGTTCATAGGTATGACGGGAGGCCAGATTTTCCATGAAATGATGCGGAGACATAACGTGAAACATGTCTTTGGGTACCCGGGCGGAACCATACTCCCGGTCTTTGACGCTATCTACAATTCCAAATATTTCGAATTTATTCTCCCCAAGCATGAGCAGGGCGCAGGGCACATGGCGGAGGGATATGCGAGAGCCTCGGGCAAGCCAGGTGTTGTCCTCGTCACGTCTGGACCTGGTGCCACGAATGTCATCACGCCCATACAGAATGCTCTCTGCGACGGAACCCCTCTGATTGTTTTCTGCGGCCAAGTGGCCACCTCGGCCATCGGCAGCGATGCGTTCCAGGAAGCTGACGTATTGGGAATCTCCCGCGCATGTACTAAGTGGAATATCATGGTCAAACATACGTCCGAGTTACCACAGAGACTGAACGAAGCCTTTGAAATCGCCATGAGCGGAAGACCGGGTCCCGTCCTCGTGGATCTGCCCAAGGATGTCACAGCTGGTATGCTCCGACAGGCGATCCCGACTGCGTCCGCCTTGCCCAGTCTACCGTTGGCTGAAATGCAGCAAACCGTTCCGATCAAGTCCATTGCTCGTGTGGCGGATCTGATCAATGGGGCCAAGAGGCCGGTCATCTATGCCGGTCATGGTGTCTTGAGCTCCAAAGAAGGACCTAGACTCCTCAAAGAACTCGCGGATAAGGCCTCGATCCCCGTCACCACCACATTGCAAGGACTCGGCGCCTTTGACGAGCTCGATGAGAAATCCCTGCATATGTTAGGGATGCACGGTTCGGCTTATGCCAACATGTCAATGCAAGAAGCCGATCTCATCATTGCTCTCGGCGCAAGGTTCGATGACCGCGTGACTTTGAACATCCAGAAGTTCGCACCTTCTGCGAAGAGGGCTGCAGCTGAAGGCCGTGGTGGTATCGTGCATTTTGAAATTATGCCAAAGAATATTAACAAGGTTGTCCAAGCTACGGAGGCTGTGGTTGGCGATATCTCGGAAAATGTTGCCCATCTCCTGCCCCTTGTAAAGAAGACGACCATGGCAGATCGCTACGAGTGGTTCAAGAAAATTAAGGAATGGAAGGCACGGTGGCCCCTCAACCTATACAAGTCTTCTGAAGAACGGTCGCACTTGATCAAGCCCCAATATCTTATTGAAGAGCTCAGCAACCTCACCGCCGATCGCAAACACGAGACTATCATCACCACTGGCGTTGGTCAGCACCAAATGTGGACGGCGCAACACTTCCGGTGGCGCTACCCACAGACTATGATTACATCAGGTGGACTGGGCACTATGGGCTATGGTCTTCCTGCCGCAATTGGAGCTAAGGTGGCTCGGCCGGAGACCCTGGTCATTGACATTGATGGAGATGCATCCTTTGGGATGACTCTCACTGAGATGTCCACTGCTGCTCAATTCAACATTGGCGTGAAGGTCATTGTTCTGAATAACGAGGAACAAGGTATGGTCACACAATGGCAGAACCTCTTCTACGAAGACCGTTATGCACACACCCACCAGCGGAATCCTGATTTTATGGCATTCGCCAAAGCAATGCGTGTTCAGCACCGCCGCGTCAGCAAGCCAGAGGAGGTCACCGACGCCCTGACATGGCTCATCAATACTGACAGACCAAGCCTGCTGGAGGTTATCACCGACAAAAAAGTCCCTGTTTTTCCCATGGTGCCTGCTGGGTCGGGTCTCCATGAGTTTATTGCGTTTGATGCCGAACAAGACAAGCAGAGGCGAGGCCTAATGCGTCAAAGAACTGCTGGTTCTCATGGAGAGTAGGTTTTCGAGTAATTTTTTATTCTTTCTTCTTCTTCTTCTTCTTCTTCTTCTTCTTCTTCTTCTTCTTTTTTTTTTTTTTTTTTTTTTTCCCTAAAGCGAAAGGATGTTATGTATAAAAGTTATTGTGAAATTCGCTGCTGGTAGTCGTACATATGACAACTCACTGGTAATCTTAAGTCTTTCTAACATTCACGAATTCACTGTGGCAATGCCACTTGTTAATATTTGGAAGCCCAAGACTAGCTCTCTCGTAGATCGGACCCGCCGGGATAACTGGTCATGAATTGAGGACGCCAACATTCCCATATGTAGAAATAAAATCTAACATCACAAATAAGAGATCTCCTTAGCTGTAGACAAATCCGTCACTCCCTTACCCCCAATCATCTTGGCTTCGACAACGCTGAACACCGGGATCTCTGCCAATCGGAACACAATGTGATGCAGGGTAGGAAGGCTCTCCCAATCGAGCCCATCGATATCAACGATAGCATCAGAAGTAGCCATTGACCAAGTCGGTCGACGTATTTCATGCTTTTCCTCGTCTGCACAAGAGACAAGCATCGGATACTCAACTTCAGATACCCCCTTGCGGTCTGCTCCAACTGCAGACATGTATCGATGAATGAGGAGTCCGGACTCCTCGGAGAAGTCTCTATCCGTCGAGGGCTTTTGCACTACGCTCTCTTTGACAGGCTTCAGCCCCTTCAGACTGAATCTACCCCAGGTGGCCCCTCGCCAGCTGGTCACGATATGGTAAGACTCCTCGCGCTGGTGCACATCAATGTCGCTGAAGACCTTTGGGAGGCCCAGTTCCTCATGGCCTGACGTAATGGAATCCATGCAATCCTCAAATATAACAGGTAGATAAGTGCCTTTGACAAACTTCCCGCTGGTCTTTTGATATTGCACACCATGGATATAGAGGCCGAAGTGATTGTAGCCACCACCCGCCAGCCAGCTTAGACCACGCAAGCTGGTTTGTGAAAAAGTAGCACAAGCCACTGCCAGGCCCCACGAAGCTATAAGATGAGTTTGGCAGAAGATTCTTTAGTAGGGTTCGACTCGTCTTGATCTTGATCGATGCTGTGGTGAAAGTGGCGCCCCAAGGGTCTTTCCGGGCACCGTGCATGGGACCAAACACAGTTGACTGGCGCAAGGACGACTTCTGAGTCGACCAAATATGTTGGCGCAGCAGGTGGATGGAGTGATCCCATTCGTCATGGTCATAAATGAAGAACATCATTTTCATCGCTGGACAGTGAAGTCAGAATTAACCGGCTGGTCTCCACTTGGTGTAATCTCAGGGCCCAGTTCAAATATCCGATTTCCAGCGGGGACAGCCGTACCAGATCTTGCCAGCATATGCTCAAGATAGCATTGTCCTTTCCCGGATATTCCAGGGGTCAACAAATGGCTCCATCTTCAGGGATCTTATTGGACAACTGCTGCATCACTGTGGTAGACTGTGACGGTCAACAGCTGGTGCAATAAGCGGTGTTTGGTGATACTTGTTCTTACAGTTGACATCCACCTTCTGGACATTCAAAAGATACCGCACCATACTTAAAATGTCCCGCTTTTGTGGCCAGATGGAGAGGCGTTTCGCCCCGACGATTGGTCGCTGATACGGTAGCTCCGTTGGCGAGGGCTTGCTGGGCGGTTGACTCCTGGCCATGTTCTGCTGCCCATAGCAATGCAGACCCACCCGAGCTCTTTGCATTGCGACGGTAAATGTAGCTGATTAGAGTATTGTGGAAGTGTCGGCTTAGCTGGGTGAACACGAGGACATTTTTCTCCGTGTCCAGGAAGTCCGCGATGTCCAATACTAATCCCTCCGGTAACTCCGACAGAATCATTGAATGGGAAATGTGCTCAAATTGACGGTATGCGTAGAATGAAATGGATAGAGTTGTTGTAGGCCCAACGGCAGAACTCTGACTTCTGAGCACTGTGGGTGCTGAGAAAGAATTGAAAAATGTAGAGCGCATAGAAGCCAAATTGTTTGGCACTGTAATTCGTACAGAAAAGTGAAAGATAAATGAAGAGTACTCTGCGTACTCGCTGTGTAGATATGCAATTCTGCTCTTGGCATATATCCGCATCACCGCCGACTTTATATATCTGACACCATGGTCACCACCACCACTATTTAACAGACAAGCTTTCCACACAAACACAAACAAAAATAAAAACACAACAAAATAATGGCCCTTCCCTCCATTGCAAAAGCAACCCTCCAATCCGCCCTCATAAACGCCGGATCAAACGTCCTAGCCCAGGGCATCAAAGCTTATCGAGCTGAGGTACATACACCCACACAATAACCCACAGCGGGGCAGATCTAACAGAATGAAAAAAAGGTCCCATTCGAATTGGACGTCCAGACATTATTCCAATTCACCACGTGTGCGTTTATTCTCTCGCCCGTGACGTTTTTATGGCTTGAGGGGCTGGAGGCGTCGTTTCCGGGGGAGAAAATCGTCCCCAAGGAAAACCCCAAGGACAAGGGAAACGAAAAAGAAAAGAAAGAAACAAAACTACACATCCCCAACACAATCGCCAAAATCGCCATTGACCAACTCATTGGTGGCGCCCTAAGCACAGCTCTCTACATAATCACCCTCGGCACGCTCCGCGGCCAAGACTACGATGTTATCACAACCCAGCTCCAGAATGTAAGCCACCCATGACTCGTTCGGTACGTACTTTTGTCACCCTAACAAAGAATGCAAAAGGACTTCTACCCCCTCATGATCGCGGGCTTCAAATTATGGCCGCTAGTCTCGATCCTGAACTTTACCGTTATCCCCGCTGATAAGCGACTGTTGGTTGGGAGTTTGGTTGGGGTTGTTTGGGCGGTTTATTTGAGTCTTTTGTCGGGATAGCCTAGCCTTTTCCCTCCCCGGGGAATAGGGTATTAGTCCTTCGAAGTGGAATGGATAAGGTATGTGTGGGCAGTGTGTTGGTCGGCTGAGCATAGCATAGCATAGCAATGGGGCCGTATCGGTGCCGGGGCGGGGCGGGGCCGAAGAGTCAACCTGACACTTGCATACGTATGGAGGATGAGGATGGATGAGTAGAGCTCTAAATATGCCAGACTTACTTGGAATGGTACGAAGTGCAGAATACGGTATGGTATGGTGGGGTGGCGCAGTGAACAGGAATAGAACTCACCCTATGGAGTATGGAGTACAGAATTAGTCGTGGAATGTGATGATTGCAGGTACGATTACTCCGTAGTATAGAGTAAATTAAGAAAAATGCAGATAATTATGTTTGATTGTTTGGATTTAGCTGGATCTGACCTGAAGAATGCGTACTAAATATGGTGAAGGATGATTTGAGATAAGATAGCTAAGCTGATAAGATCTACTCTGCCTCTGCTCGTATACGAGTACGAATACTAGTAAACAATGACTGCATACGGAGTAAGATGACTTGGATGATCGAGAGAAATATACAGAATAGAGTACAGTACCCTACTTCAGAGCTCTACCATACTCTGTACACCTTGTCACCAGTTAAGACCTGAGAGCCGTAGAAAACCGTCGATCGGGGCAATGTCTTCCCGTCCATGGCGCACATAGATCACTTACCCCATCCGGACAGCAAAGCCAACATCCAGCCCACGAAACATAGGGTCCAAATTCTATATAGAAGTATCTACTAGTGCTCCGTACGGCAATAGCATGACACAAAGCCACAACCATCGTAGTAAGAACCCATAGTAAGAGCACCTAAACCGCCCCCATGGGTCCAAACCATGACATGACAGCGACGGAAATCCATTCATCATCCGCCATCCTTCTTGTTTCGTAGGTCTCACGTCCACTTGCAAGTATCCAGACTCAGATTTCGCCCCTTGGGGTCGGTTGGCTGTTGAGCCCTGGACACAGCCGTGGTTGTAGTGGTAGCGGTCAGCGGGGGGTTTTATTTGGGAGTTGGCGTTGGTTGATTATTTTGATGGTTTTTTCAAGTCTTTTTTATTTGAGCGTTGGATTGAATAGACCTGGGTTTTTCTTTATCACATCTTTCACTTTGTGTATTATTGCATACGTTGAACACTGGTCTTTGTCGCTAAGAAAGGTAAAGAGGTACGCTGGACAATGAGGTATTGTCAATTTGGCTGATGGTTTATAGGCAGTTGACTCTTTGTCCTTTGTGAAGTTGAAAGCAGCTTGACAAGGCGTTTTATAGGCAACGAAGACAAAGCCCTTTGTCGACAAGTCTGGCGCAGGTATCATGAGAGATTTATGATCAACAGACACTTGACCTGCGTATTAGACTGAAAAGAAGACGACCGAAAAGAAACAAAATGAAGAGCTTCAACATGGAAGACACAGATCCAACGCTTTTACCTAAACGACCGATCGTCGATAGAGGTTTCAAACCCGGACCTCTGACTATTCCGAAGAACCTAGGAGCACCAGTAAAATCGCCAGTCCGGATGATAGCAGACGACGAACGATCCGATATACAATCATCCGTGTCGCCCATGAGTCGAAGAAACCCGGGATCGCTAGCGAGTATCGCTCACTCGCGCAATACAAGCATAATCTCTCCGCTCAGCGTGCAACAGCATAGTCAACAATTCCAGCATCCGTTCGCATCGCATCTCCAGAACAGACAGAACAGACAAAGCACGCAGAGCACGCAGAGCAAACAGAGCACGCAGAGCAAACAGAGCGGAAAAGAAAAAGGCCACTCGCGACATGAGTCGTGGGAAAGCGACCTGCTAGACGCATATTCGTCCTCCGATGATGATAGCGTCGACCGGGCTTCATCGTGCTATTCCCGACGGTCGTCGCTCACTAGTATGGGGTCGGAATATCCGGGGTTCGGATACAAATCGGCAGACGCATTCTCAATCGGGTCACCAGTGGCTCTCGGAGTATTTGACGATACGGCGTCTGTGCTGGGAGAACCAGTGAAGTCTAACGGGAACAAGACGATCGCGGTGGAACATGATGAAGATCAGAAGAAAACGAAGAAGATAGCGAAGAAACCGTCAATGGCGGAGGTGAACAAACCACTGCCCCGGGAACCACCTATTCAAATGGCGCCGTTGACAGTACTCAAAACCCCGAAAACATCCAACACACCCATGAGTCGCGCAGAAGGCGAAGTACAGAAACAATGTGACGGAAAATGTGATGAGCAACGCTACGCCACATTGCGCGCAGGGAAGTCTCCCCGAGGGCCCACCTTATCACAGGCGGAGGAAGAGTTGGAAAACGCCTTATTGCAGTACTGCACCACTAATACGGCCACTAACAACGCCCCTAAGAATGCACCTAAAAATGCCTCTAATGCACCTAATACTAGAAACACCACTAAGCAGGCTAAAAAAGCCTGCAGCACTAGCAATCTGACAGCCTCGCGCGGGTCACTGGCTGGTCCGCTGCAGATAAGTAGAGGCGATATGCAGATGATTGCGACTCGTCCCGCTCCTCGTCCTCCCTCCAACATTCTGCCTCATACTATCTTACAACAACTGGAGGAGGAGAAGAAAAAACATCAAAACTCCAAAATGCCTTTTCATTTGGCTGTGCCTGGCTTTGGGCGCAAGTTGCATCTTCGTTCTTTTAGTAGTTCCAATATGCGATCGGAGATGGAATCCGCTGCTCGCGACCGTGGAACATCACCGTCTGACGAGAGCAAGAATATCAACAACAACAACAACAACAACAACAACAACAACAAAGAACATATCGAGCCCGTTCCAGAATCGATAAGACCGACCTCGATCTGCAATGAAAGAGAATTGCGACTTCAACTGCCTCGCCTGCAGACAAAGAAGATGGAGCCGGTGGGACAATGGGCGGCCTCTGCGACAGCAGCACTAGCAGCAACGAGAACACCACCAACAACGACATCCACAACACCTTCGACTGTCTCTGAACGTACACCAGATAGCGAGTCAAGTGTCGTCGGAGGTCCCGTCAAGCCCGTTAACCACGAATTCACCGAAGAAAAGGTGTTTATATCGTCTAGTAAGATGCGACGCAGCAACACCTACGTCCTCCCCTACCAACTGGGCAGTCTCCAGGCCCCCGAGATCATCTATGAACTCGACGGTGGCATGCCATCGCCTAGTAGAGTGGGCACCACCAACGTTCCGTACCCGTCATCGCCTCCCTTGATCAAAATGCCGAGCATCATGCCCGACCGGGCTGTACGGTTGATTATTGAACAGGCGTCGTCGTTGGACGACCTCTTCAGTCTTGCAGCGCTGAACCGTCAGTTCTATCGCATCTTCAAACAACACGAGCTCGACATGATTAAAGGCGCTGTCTTCAAGATGTCTGCCCCCGCCTGGGAGCTGCGCGAGATGAGTCCGCCCTGGGCTAGCGAATGGCAGGTCTTCTTGGACCCAGACGCGCAAGTGCCCGACTATACTCCCACCCTCTACCTCCAACGCTATGCACACGACATCTTCACCCTCGCCCAGCTCAAATCCATCATCTTGACCCGGTGCAACAGCTTCCTCCGCCCCGACACTATCCGTGGCCTGGCTGGTGTCGACTCCGAACGAGCCACAGAGATTGACGATGCATTGTGGCGGATCTGGACATTCTGTCGGATCTTCGGATGCGGGAAGGGCAGAGAGAACGATATCACGGGACAAATGGACTGGTTGAATGGTGGTGTGCAGGCTCGGAACCAGCACACCTCGATAACCTTCTCCATCACCGAGCCGTTTGGAATGAACAATGTTCTGTTCGAGCCGCCCGCGGGTTTTGGACAGGGGAACCTTGGTGGTCTATCGAAGGGTCAGATGTATGACATGACAGAGCTCTTCACCTGCTTGAACGTATTGCTTCAGCCGATCCATGGTAAATGTGCCGAGGCGCGCAGGGCTGGAGTATACAACGGATTAGATGTCAAGGTTGGTGATGACAGCAAGGAAGAAAGGTATCTAGGTGAGTGCTCTTATAAAGAGAAAAAAAACCCAATATGACCTGTCACGAATACGAGCTAACCGAAACAGAGGAATGGACATGTTACGTCCTCACATTAGGTCTCTCCGCCGTTTTAAGCCTCGGATCCATCTGCCCTATTAAAAACCCCACCGCAACGTTCGAGAAAGCCAAATCCATGGGTCTGACCAAATGGGATCTCCTCGACGACAGTGTCACCCGTTCCTCGTTTCTCAAGGAAGCCGTCTCGAAATCCTACATGACCTGCGAAGCCGCCGCAGGATCCTCATGCCCGTCCGTGCGGTCGTGCGGTGCTAGCGCCACGTCATCGAGCTCCTCCCTCGTCGACGACCGTAGTTTCCGGTCTCGAACCGACTCGAGTTCCTCTGACAGTTCCGTTCAGGGTCACCGCGTGAGACAAGCGGCGTTTGCTGCGGAGCTGCGCAACCAACGCTCGCAACCACGCATGAACGGAACTCGCACCTCGTTTTCGGACGAGCGGCCTATTTCCAGCTACACGGTCGTGATGAACGGGCTCGAGCAGCAGTCCCGTCCACCACTACCGCCCATGCCGGCTCGCTTCAACCAGCCCGTCTTCTATATGCAGTCGTCTACCCGTCCCGGTTCAGGTTCAGGACCCGTCCTCGACCCCGTCGACCGCGCGATTGACATGATTGTCCGCGAACTGGGATTCAACGAGAAAGACGCCAAGTGGGCGTTGAGAACCACAGACACGGGCGAGGGCATCGACACGAACGCGGCTGTGGCCTTGCTCATGAGAGAGCGCCAGACCCAGGCAAATCACGGCCATACCCAGCGACCGGGTGGTAGGCGGGGATTGTTTTCTTCGTCGTCGTCTTCAACGTCTGGCCAGGGGAGTCTTTTGCCGTCTGTTATAAGTGAGGAACCTGGGTCGGGATGGCGGTGGGCGTGATCTCATTACTATCCCTTGTTTTCTTTTCTATTGTCTCGGAGTATGTTTCCCTGTTTTTGTTTATGTCATGTTCGATACCCTTATGATCTCTCTTATTGTCTATTGGCACTGGCGTTGGATATGGATATGGATTGGTTCTGTTAAAATTGTCCCTTGTTTTCTTTCTTTCTTTCTTTTTTTTTTTTTTTTTCTTTCAGCGATGCATGCATTCTCTCATGGTGTTACGAGCGCACGTCTTTCTTTTTTCTAAATCGTGTATTATCAGTTAATTTCAAATTATCATCTGTCATATGTCCTGCGTAGGAGTAGGCCTCCATCTAAACACGGAGTACTGATAAACTTAGTACTGATAAACTTGCAATAAAGCTACCTGCAGCGGTTTCTGGCAGGTGCGGTGAGGAATATTGAATAATGACACTCCTGGGGTATACTATTTTCAATAATTGCTTCATGTCATATGTCGAGTTTCAGCAGAGTAGACTACTTCGTACAAGTAGAGTAGACATGTTCTTATGGATCTACAAGGTTCTACACAAGCCCAAGCCCTGAGAAAGTACAATAAACCGACAAATCCACTCCTGCAGTTCATGCATGGCAGTTAGACTTCTCGAGTGCTAGTATATAAAGCATTGTACTATAATCCAATTATTGCCTCGTATGTGATGTATGCCATCATGGTCACCACCGTACGGCAACAAAAGAATTGTACTCCGTACAAGTACACATCTACACAGATCTCTCAATCTGACAGATCAATGCAAGGGGGATCTTCGATTTTTCTGGCTTTATTCGATTTCCCCTGCCAGGGAGCATATATCACTTGTTCTATCGGTTATCAGTTTGGGTCGCTGGGTGGGTGCGATGCGCCATGCAGACGGGGATGAGTGCATCTGATGTATCGCATTCTCTTCTCTTGGACCTCATACATCCCTCTCAACCATCATCTGTACTGCACTCCATACCATATCCTCTATGTATTTGTGCCAACGAGAAAGAATCCATGCGAGGGATGATCCTCTCACACAGACAGTCAGTCCAGATCCGCCCTCCTTGAAACCCCCCCAAGTATGCCAGCTTCATGCAGATTGAAAATGATGCCTCATCCGTCGGTCGTTCGTCCGTTTCTTTTCCCGTTGTTGCTTTTGATTGTTTTTGATTTTGTCTCGATTTTCTGCTCTTGTTTTCTTTCTTTCTTTCTTTCTTCTCCGATTGATTAATTGATGCGGTTTGGTTGACGGTCGTTGTTGTTCACTCGCTTATTCATTCATCCCTTCCTGGTTGTCGGACAGGCGGACGAACAGACAAGTGTCAGGATGGATTATTTCGGTATGGGTCAGAGTTCTAGGAGGGTTTCGTTGCAGTAAGTTACTTTCTGTCAACCGTCATTATCATTAATGACAATGGCCGCTAACAAAACTAGAGACGCCCCCCTCCTCCAAACATCCACACAGCAAGACTTCGAAAAAGACATCACCCTCAGCAGTTCCGCAGACAGCTCCAACAAAGCCCAAGGACGGACCCGTATTCTTCGCGCGTCAGAGGTGTTATTATCGCTAGCGGGGCGGAGGTCGATGAATGGTACTTCCTCTTCAATTATACCCGAATTCGATGTGGTGGAATACTGATAAACGCAGATACCCTAGGCGAAGGGCCAGAAATTGAGAACTTCCAAGAGGCATTGCGCCTCTTTCCGCCGTTTCGAGATGATGATGGGTTTATGCTTGGGGCGGTGGAGGCGAAGTGTCCGGATTGCGAGGCTGTTTTTCCATCAGCGTATGTTTCCCGCCTAGGTGAGAGAGTGATGGGGATGGGGATGGGGGGCTGATAATTGGATAGAGAGGAGTTGGAACAGCATTACCTGACAAGGTATTGTCCCGGGAGTGCGGTGGCGGTTTATGTTATGACGAGGGATCGGTATGTCCATCTTGCGGTTGTGGTTATATGCGTAGTGCTGACTGTATAGATTGATCACCAAAGGCTATCGGATGGAAAAGCGATTGGTTGCGTTTGACTGCCGACCACTACGCTTCTTCTGCGGAAAGTGTGAGCGGGCTTTTGCCATCGATGAGACGGAGAGAGTGGACCGGCATAAGAGTGAGTCTTCACCACATGGCATATACAAAGGTGTCACTGACAAGACAGGAACAACATCCGTGGCATGCAAAAACTGCGGAGAAAAGTGCAATATCTCGTTCGTCCCACCCATCCATCTACACTCAAAACCAGAACGAACTGACTATCTAGATACGAACCTATCCTCAACGACCCCCGAGACAGCGGTAGTTTCCGAAAAATTTCAATGGACCTGACACCCGCCAAAAGCCCCAGCAGAACCCCCAGCATTACACCCAGAAACATCACCCCGCGAAGCATCAGCCGGTCCAAGGCTCCGTTGTCGATGAGTCCTAGCGGGACCGGGGAGTTGTTCTTTTCGAAGAAGGCGAGGAAGATTCGTGATTCGTGGGCTACTAGGAGTATGTTTGCCCTTTGGACTCTTGACAGTTGATAGGGCGACTGCTGACGTTGGTAGAACTGGAGCAAGAGGAGGATGAGCTGGTTGCGATTAGTTTTGCGGGGTTGTATGATTTGGAGAGAGGTATGACTTGTGTTTGCGATGACCTGAAGTGTTGGCTGACAGTTGCCAGTACATGCACCAAACGGTGTGTTTCAGTCAATGGATGACCATATTGCTGATCCATTGGGTGGTATGACCATGAGTGGTAAGTCTAGCCTTCCATACGGAGATGTACAGGGCTAACTGTTGTAGCGCCTGGTGTACCGCTTATCGACAAGAAGCATTTGACTCTTTGCGAAGAGGAGGACCTTCATAGAGACATCTCTGTCGACTCACGGGGCGATCTCTTGGAGGATGAATCGCGAGAATCTTCACTCAACAAGGAACCCAAGAGACACTCGCTCTTCCAGAGACTCTTTGGCCGAAAGACAAAAGGTATGCACCCCCCCCCCCAAAGACAATCTCATATACTAACAACGCAGGCCTATCACGCGCAAAATCTGCCTCAAATCGCGGCAAAAAACTAATGAAACGAGTAAACACAGTCCGCTTCTCCTTCATCTCCCGCGACTCCAAACCCTCTAGCGGCAAAAGCACCCCCCGCTCAACAATGTTCGAAACCGAACAAGCGCGCCAAGCCCTCCAATCAAAAGAAAACCTCAACACCCTCGCAATCCCAGAAGCAGAGTACGTCGACCTACTGCGCGACAGCCAGAACGCCTTCGTGCACATGCAGTATCTTTCCGGTGCGGGAGCGGTGATTGTCCATGATGCTTCGGGTCGGCAAAGGATTCTGCAGATGGATGAGGTTGCGCAGCTTTTTCTACAGTTGAAGGATGAGTTGGCTGCGGCGACGACGTGGTCGAAGACGCTTTCCTGTCGGGTGCGGGGGGAGTCGGCGTTCAAGCAGGGGAATTTGCGGGCTGCGGTTGTGGAGTATCATGATGCTCTTAGGATGTTGCAGGAGACGCCGGGGTTGGACATCGACAAGCTCGTACGAGCGGCACTGCTGCATGCGCTAGGACAGGCATACCGGGGACTCAACATGCCCGCGGAGTCAGAAGCGTGCTACCTCGAGTCATTAGGGCTGTACAAGCGTGCTCTTGGTCGTGACCACCCAAAAAACTTCGAAGTCCTACACGACCTAGGCACACTCTGCGAGAAAGACGGCTACGCAACCGAAGCCGCAGCACTATATGAGCGCTCCTTCGCAGGCCGTCTCAAAGCCCTCGGCCACAACGCCCCCGAAACCCTAAACAGCATGCAAGACCTTGCCTCCCTCAAAATCTTCCTAGGCGACTTAGAGTCTGCCCTCCTCTTACTCGAAAAAGCAGTTCCCGCCCTAGACACAGTCTTCGGAATCCAAAACGGAACCACTCTAAACGCCATGAACAAGCTCTCCCACTTGTACCAGAAACTGGGTCTCGACAAGGAATCTCGCACGATATCCGCCCGCACGATTCCCCACTGCAAGACTTTCTTCGGACTGAATAACCCAGAAACTCGTGATGCTGTTATGCGATACCTGCAGAGCTCGGATAACTTTGACTTCCCGGCTGATATCAAAGATATCCTCGAGCAGTACCGTCGCTTGCGCGACCCTGAATCTCTCAAGGTCATCCACCGTCTGGGTCGATCGTACATGGACGCCGGCCTGAACCGCGACGCATCGGACCTTTTCGAGAAACTCGTCGACGACTTTCTAGCCGTCAAGGGACCAGAAGCCCCGGAAACGTTCGATGCACTCAGTGCACTATGCGTGTCGCGTGAACATCTCGATTCCATCGAGAAGGCTACCCACGCGTACAAGCAGCTAGTGAATATGGCGCGAAAAACGCCCGAAGACCATCCCACGCGCAAGAGAATCGGCTACGCCGAGAAGAGAATTACAGAACTCAACCGTCGACGGGAAGTCCTCGCTGCCGAACGGAGAGAATGGGGCTTGAATCAGCCCGGCCCATGCAGGAACTGCAACACACCAACGCCTGTTCTATGCAACTGTAAGCCCCCCCCCCCCACTCTCTCTCTCCCCTCTAACCCTACCTACCCACCTCTTCCTGATAAGCCCCCGGGCTAACAAAGTGCAGCATGCAAAATAACCCGCTTCTGCAGCGACCTCTGCCACACCGCCGCCATCGAAGCCCACATCCCCTCATGCATCCCCTCCGTTTCCCTCCGCGAATCCAAATCCCTCGCCGTGAAACCCCGCTGTCCACCCGCAGCCCAGGATCAAGCACTGCTTAAAATCCGCTGCTCGGACCCAGCCGATATCAACGTGCTGAATAGTTACACGTTTTATCTTGATCCAAGGAACTTTACGACCTTTCGGATGAAGTTTAGGCCCGAGGTTAATACGATTATTCTATTTAGTATGGATTCGGATGTTAAGTTTGCTATGGTTGATGGTGTTCCTGCGCCTGCTGCGCCTACATCTACACCCGCACCAACAGAACAAGACCAAGAAGAACACGAACACAACCACCTAAACTGGCTAACCCCCACAACCCAAGACTGCATCTCCTTCAACCCCCGCACCGACCTCCCCACCACCACAACCACAAATGCCCAATCCCGCTACCTCCTCGTCACCCCGGGTAAGGAAATGCTCAAGTCCATCATCGACAAACGCGTACACGTGCGCTCCGGCGGCGGCGGCACCGGGGACCGCTTCCGGTCGCTGGATGTGCCTAGTATGGAGCTTATTGAGTATGCGCAGGGACTTTTGTTGACGGGGTATCTTGGGGAGGCGTTTATGTATGTTATTGAGTGGGAGTGGAAGTAGTTTTTTTTTTTTTTTTTTTTTTTTTTTTTTTTCCCTGGTTGAGTGATTGGGTGGGAGGGTGGAGAGGAGAAGGAGAAGGAGGCGAGGGAGGATAGGGTGGTTTAATATGTGTTATTATTACTGACTTATTATGTATTGTATAGTTGATATTGTTTATTTTGGGATATATGGAACTAATGTTTATATGGATGGAACCTTTTCTGAATGTCAATAGTATAATATAATAGCCCTAAGCTTCTCGATGCTCAGCTCATAAAAAGAGTGCAACAAAGTCTTCGCCTAGCATGTTTATTTGGTAGAAACGTACACCACACTCCAGGCTGCTTTGCAAGGGACCAATAACCATTACCCCGGGTTATTTTACAAGGAACCCGAAACCATTGAAAAATCCTCAATCAACGAATCCCGCACTGACGTCCAGCCTGCCAATCGCAGTGTTGGACCACATGAAGCCGCTCATCGGCGATTGCATCCCTGCCCTGTAGAGGAACTCAAGCTCGGAGTGAGTATTATCTGTCTGTGTTGCCCAGTTTTCGTCGCTTTCGGAAACCCGGTTGGATGTCCTCCATCTTTGTCTTGGCTTTTGAATGTCATGATTCATCTATCTACTTGCAGTCGCGTATAGCATTATCAACATAAAACCACCGCTGCCCATGTGAACTGCCAGTCTTGTTGATGTGGTTAACGGATGTTATTTCTCGTTAAAAATAGGCGGATGTGCATGTGATCATGGCCGTTAGGCTCATGTCGTATGATTGCTGCCGCATCTGCGTGTCGTGGTCCGAATTACCTCTGCCAGCATGTGTGTACTTAAAAAAAACTTTCTTGAATGTTGGTACGTAAGGTTTGTCGTGAAGTTTGTGATGTATTTTCAACATGGGAATGTCGTGACAAGCAACGTAGCCTACCCCAGGCCGATATACAGGGACACCGGAAACTTAACATAGGCCCAAGTGCTCTGCTCCAGTAGTGGGAAGCTGTTCACACAACATCACTCCCCCAAAAGATGGAATGGTTATTCATGGGATGGTGGAATCGAGTTGACAAGCCTCATTTAGGCTTTCCTTTGTCACAGCAGCCATTGTGCAGAAGATTCTGTAGACGGCACCTGGCCCCATACCAGTGCAATCATCGTGGCTCTAAGAGTCTGGCACGGCCCATTGTTGCGGCAGTATTTGCGGCCTGTAGCCTATTGACTCTGTTCTCAGGCGCGGCTCAGTCTGCCACCGCTCGGAGTTCATCATCGCTGAGTTTGCCTTGTGGCCCATATCTTTCCCACCCGTCTCGTCACTCATAGGCGGTAATAACTCAACAATGTTCAAAGCCAGACGAAAAGGCGGATATTTATGTTTGTTCCTGTATTGGACATCTATCTTGCCGCTCATTATTGGCCCATTCGCCCTTATAAGCCGTCACCCACCGATGGTAAAAGGTCACCACTCCCTATCGGATTATAGTAGTGTTGAAGGCGGATATGGGTGCCTTTCATGGCTTTTGATTGCTGCCGCATCTGCGTTTGCGGCATTTGGTCCGGTAAGCCTCGGTCCCCACACCTGTTCCAATCTTCTTATTTTGGTCTGCATTAATCGGCGGCAGAAGCTCACCACCATCTCATTTCATTGAGGTTGGAATTCGTCCGACAAGGGCGCCATCCGCAGTGGCTTCCTCGGGAATGACTGCACACACATACCATTTAGTACAACTGGAAAAATTAACCGGGTGTATTAGGAATACATACATATCCGTACAAGTCGAACCAGCAGAGGGCAACTAGGACACCTTTTTAGTGGTGTCTGACTTAGTCTGAGCACTTCGGTTGTGCTCCGCGACAGCCATGCTGGTATGCGAGATATGATTTCGGCTGATACAATCCTGCATCTGCCTTGAATTCTAGTGATGTTAAAGCGTCATAATATACTGACATTAGTGATCACCATCCTGGGCCACCGCCGCCACTTGCATGGCCTTGCAATTCGTTGTCCAGCCCTAGTTAAGTTGGGTCTTTGGATATTCTGTATTGTGTCGGGTTGGTGGTACATCAAGCAGCTGTCTTCTTCAGCTGTGAGTCAGTAGACATTGGAGTTCTTCTCAGCATCATTATAGTAGCACCACGCTGAGATCGTATGGCTTGGTTCGGTTTGCTGCTAAACGCGTGCACTTGCAGTGCCATTTTTGGTGGTGGAAAAACATGCGCAGACAATGGATTACAAGGGCATTTGCCCAAAAATTAAGAATATCAACGATCATCGATCCACGAAAGCATATCAAGCAAAAGAAAGGTAGACTGTCGGCGAAGAGACTGGGTCATGGAGGCCTTTCCAAATACAAATTGTCTCATGCAAAGGAATATACTGATCATTTATGAACCAAAACAAAATGGTGGCCGTCAAAGAACCCACAGGAGGAACTTACAGATGAAGAAATCTGTTTATGGCCTGATGTTACTCGAAATTCAGATTCCCCTTACATTCACTCACCTCCATGGGTATTGACAGAATGCTCAAAGCAATACGAGGACCCTCATGCATGCGCACATTGTACATGAATGCTGAAGCTGATTTGAATGAAAATGATGTTGCAGTTTTGTTCAAACCAGCAGCATTTCAAGGACTCTGAAAGTCGTGTCCTGCATGTATTGAGATCGAGCCACGGCAGTTCTTTCTGACCGGCATTTAAAGCCGAAAATGTGTTCGATCGAGTAGAAGTGACATGGCCCATGACTGCTGCCTCATATGTGGCCTGTGGCCCAATTCTTTGGCAAGAATATTCAAGAACGGAACAACTAGACCGGTTCGATTTTGCAACATGGACACTCGTGGTGTTTATCGCTTCTGTAGGATTAATGGGGCACAGGTAGTAATAGTTTACCACACTCTAGTTCTTTCGATTGGGTCAACCAGGTTCCCGTGCCCTAAACACCACAACCCCACACAAGCAGCAAGTACCAATAAATCCTATCTGACCTCAGTTAGCCAAGTCAATATCGTGACCAATTTTAGAGCCCGTAAAGAGTAGAGGTGCTCACCCACCTATTCATCAAGCAAGCCGATGTCGGTTGAAATGTCTTCATGCACATTTATCTGATGAGATACCATGTTTGAACGAACTTGAGCAAACAATTCATCGAATTGGAGAACGCCGGAAACTTTCGCAAACGGCGTCCCTTTTGGCTTGTATACCCCGCATGTACTCGAAGACTGCTACGATGGTTTGCAGTAGGCGTACTGCAGCCATACTATTCTGCCTATTGGGGCTTCGCATTAATCTTTTAAAGATTTCATACCCCATGTGTCTCTCCAGAGTGTAAAACTTTCCTTGGAAAATCTGACAACCACACTGCGGTGGTGGTATTAATGGCTTTGAGAGCACGTGTTCCAGGCTTGTCATTACATCTGGGTTTGTTGTCGATCTCAGACACTTCCCACGTAATCCGCAGCAGACATCGATAGGGCTCGACATGAGCCGGATCCCATGTCCGAAAGTCGCTTGCGAAGTATCTGTACAAGTCCCTGAATATCCACAATATCTGTGGATTGCTTGGATTGCCTTCATACAAGGCTCCGTCTTCAAGGGTGAGTATGCTTATTAGTTAGGGGAATGGGGTAAGACCAGTTTATCTTAAGAGCAAACCGGGATGAACTGGGAATATACAAGTCTGACAAACACCCCAAAGTGGTTGTGGGGATACTCGCAGTCGACGTTGAATCCTCCGGTCCCATGTCTCATCACGCTGGCGTATGGCTTGTTGTATTTCAAGTGGAGTTTTAGTTATGGAAAATGGAGCGTGGGTATGCCTCTTTACTGCCAAAGAGAATGAACGGGTCCTTCGTTCCCCGTACAAAACGTCGGGAACAATGTACGGGAATTGTACATTGCATAATATAGCGATGGTTGGCGAGGACTGGCCAGTATCTGCTGGTAAGCAGGACGATTGCTCTCAAGAAACGTGCAAATGCAACGCAATCTGCTCCAAGTTAGAGCAAAGCCCGCGTTTTTTTAATTTTTTTTTTTTTTTTTTTTTTTATCGCATTTGTCAATTTCTTGAAGTCCATTAACCCTTGGGGCCCTCGGAGGTATCTTTGGAGGGCTGCGAGACACCAAAACTGTAAAATGACAATGAATACTGGACGCGAGAAAATATCGCCGGTTTTGTTTAGCACAGGCAATTAAGTCCGCATGCCTGGCAAGATTCCCAGTAGCGACTGGGCTAAAAATAGCCCGATGTAGCGCACCTCCAATTAGCTCAGGGTATCCTTGTTAGTCTCAGTGGTAAATGCTGGACACTTGACTTTCCGCCAACGATAATCTTCATTTTTTCAGCATCATGATACGATGTGACAATATGACAGATTACCGCGACAGTCTCACTTCCTCGCACATGACCCGTCCGCATGTTGCGGATAGAACCAACTTATTGCGTTGACGTATGTGTAAGATGTTGCTGTTTGCAAACACGCAAAGTAGTCTTGCAAGCCTCAAGTCTCGGACATGGGCCAACTTTGTCCTCTTTGTGATGGAGGTTCTCCATTTAGCGCTGGGAGTAGGCTGTGCCGTTCAGTCCGATCGGTATCGAGAAAGTATTCGACGCTGGTTATTGCGTTTCGTAGGTCTAGGAAAGGAAACTTCTTTCTCTGGCGTGTATATCCGGCGCTTCGGCATCAAACAGCCGGATTCCGGCGTCTATCGCCCGTTGGAGTCTCAGTATCAGCCATGTGTGGAAGGGTGTGGTTATGCCGAAAATTAGAAACGATGTAAGACAGTAGAAGGCCTAACCAAGATATTCATCTGTTATTTTAACTTATATTCCGAAATATTCCTGCGGAACTGGCGTCTCGTAACTATAGCCACGGCGGGAATTGGTCACGCCTGTCAAGTGCCCGTCCCAAATTCGCGATTTCCGGGTTTTTTTGGTCTCTGGCTCCAGCAGATTCGCTCGCTACAGGTCACCAATGATCACATCAATGTCATGGATGTGTTGAGGTGCCTGGCCAAACGCTGTATGACAGTGTTGAATGAATTGAGCAAGGATACATTCAATAGTGATCCCATAGTGCCACAAGAAAAGCCACTGAGTAGGCTCATGGTCATCATCATCATCATCTATAGGTTGGTGATAGAGAGCAACCTAAATAGTGACACAATGTTGTGGGAAGGAAGCACCACATTTCATGCAAGATGACATGGCTGTGAAGTAGATAGAGGGTAAGGAGAGAATGGAAGACCGGTTTGGTCAAAGCGCTAATTGGTGGATAGGATAGGTTCAGTTGTAAAGGCGTAGGGACATAACAAAACTGGTCCATGAATCGGATAGTAAATGTATCCAGATATACCAAGTAAAACGACACAGGCAAGGTAAATTGCCAGTATGACTCCTCTTCCATGCAATTTTGGTAGGATGAGGATGCCTCCATGATCAAACATTGCAATAAAGCTAGCCCTGTCTACCGGGTCTTGGTTTAGCGCCGAAACATATCGACAGTACGCAAACCAAACGAGCTTTTTGGCCAGACAGTGTCTGAGTCTCAAGTTCTGTAATAATGGGCGCGAAATTTAACTGATCTCCTTACTTCCACAACAAGTGTAAATCGGAAGGCAAACGTGTGTAGTTGTAATTCCCCCTTTGTCTTACCATGGGTATTGTGTCCATCTGATGACTGTACTGGTACCCTTCCATTGGTTGCGAGGATGGGATGTGTTGTATTTTGGGCCGGATCAACCACGACAGCAAGTCACGAACCAACACATTTGACATGGCATCCAGGTACGTTAGTTCTTTCGTAACTTCTGGAGGATGCGAGCATGGCTAATAGAAGCAGGTCGTCGTTGCGAAGTCCTTTTTAATTGCCATCAGCCCCCGTTGGTTGATCATGAATTCGTACCTCGTGCGGTAACACTTCATGTAGAAGTTTACCTCCGCTAGGGTCTGTAAATACTTATTGCGCTGGATATGCATTTTATCACAAATGAGGGACGCTTGGATAGCTGCTGTTTGGAGTGTCAGCCCAATTCAAAGGGCAACCGGAATAAAATAAGAATATGCCGCTGCTCGAAAACCCCAAGTGTCCTAAGGATAGGATCAACTGGGTGCTGCGTGTCAACTTGCTGATATCGAACCCTTCTCTCATAACAAGCCTAAGTTGCAGTATATTTCCGGATTCAGATTCAAGAGGACTCGACCAAAACCTTTAGCTTATTGATGTCTTCAAAAACCTCATCACAAAAGACCCATCCCGGGTTTCGTGGATGAAACTCCATGATTTGTCTTGTAGGATAGAACCGGTTGGTACGGCATGTCAATATATGTATCTTAGCAATCACACACGTAAACTGGCCGAGAGAATTCCTGCAGAAGTGAGCAATACCCCGTGAGATGCAACTCGCCTTCGTGGATGATCTCGACCGACATTTCCGGAAACATTCCTGCAACGGATTCGAAGATCTTCCTACTCGCCGCTCTCCATCTGCTCGATCCGGGCTGGTTGGTTATGACGAGTATGGTAGGCACAGGTTGGGGCTCTGGAATGATATTAGAGCAAGAAGCAGAAGTATAAACGAGACAGACTTACTACGGCATCTTCCCCGGGACATTTGAGCCAGGTCTATCAGGCACTCTGTGCCACACTTGACATTCACTGGCCATCGGGGCTTTCCACCCTTATCAAAAGGTTCGGCTGGAAGACATTTCCGTTATATCTAAAAGGTGTTGGTGTGTCTCAGAGTAGGATTAAGATGTTGTGCTTGAGGCATAGAAGGTACACTGACAGCTTCTCATTCTCGACCTCACTGTCGTCCGCCAGGATTTGTAGACCTCATTCCGAAATCTCTCAGCTATACTTCATCGATAGCAACGACACAGTGGTGTCCTCAATTTGCAAAAGGCTGTAGGACTGTTTGCCGGTATATGACGACATACAGGGTGGACGAGGTTTTTCTCAACTGGCAAAGGCGATCCCTATACGGAATCTATAAAATATAGCGTCGTAAGTATAGCATGGAGGCTGGAGAGTTTGACAAAAGTAAACCGCCGCAGAAAATAAGAAGTGCAAAGTGAAAGCCTGGAGATCCCTTTTATATAGATCAAACAAAGACGTCACATGACGGTAACCCTCACCTTAGGCCATTCATTCACCATCACCATCTAGAAACACAAGCAATCCATCTCCCCCAACATCTACCAAATAAAAGTCATGGACATCCTCCTCCCAACCTTCACCCGAATAACCCAAAACACCGACGATCAAGCCACCCTAACCCCCCAGATCCCAGTCCTTTAACAAAAAGCACTCACAAACCCCTCGCTAACGGACACCGAATGGCGGCAGACCCTCGACTTTCCGGACCCGGAAATAGAGAGACAGGATATCAACGCTGTCTAAACACGCAGTAAAGATGACTTACTTAGAATGGCAGTCGAGGCACCAAGTGAACTCAGTGAATCGGAACTTGACCTACTCACCGGCCGGTTCTGGGGATAGCGGGAGTGCGATTGATAGGGATGGTTGAGCTGGTGGTTGTGAGGGCTACGTGGCTGGGGGGTGGTGATTGGTTTGAATGGTGTTGCAAGTTTATCATGTTGATGTTTATCTATTGCTGGCAGATGCGTAGCTATATAGAGTAGCCATCCTGATTGTTGCTTATTCTGAGATGCTCAGGCCATGTCACCAAGTGCTCAATGCAGTCACTTCCTTCCAAGCACGGTGATGGTGACGGCCAATGCAAAACACGGTTCCAGACACATCCACCTTAAGTCCCCAAGTATCCCCATCCCAATACATACAAACAGAGGAAAGAAGAGGAAAGAAGAAGAAGAGTAAAACAATAATCCATATATTGCAATCACAATCGAAGCCAAATCGAGGGTATCTATCTGTCTACCTAACTAAAATCAAACACAACAGTAAAAAAGAACAAAACCAAAATGCCATCCAAGGGTACGAGAACCCAATGCAAAAATGTAAAATAAAGCTCCGAAGAATAGAAGAATGAAAATGGCTGGTGCTGATGCAACGCAATGCTGCAATGCTCGCTGAAAATAATGCTGTTGATCAGAAGAGAAAGAAAAGAAAACCAGTCCGCCGTGCTCGCTCATGCCATATCAAATACTTTTATCGGCTGTGAACCTGACACAAACACCCATAATGAAAAACGCCAACCCAGTTGCAAATAACAAAAACCAAACAAAAAACTCAAACAGAAAGATTCAAAAACGAATAGGAATGCAGGCTATCCCTGCCTGGAATTCCGACGACTGTCAAGTCCCCGGAGCATGACTCGTCTGCTATTACCAGCAGATCCCATATCACTGACACTGCGAACCTTTGGCAAAGCCGGGACTGGCGGCACATCGGGTGTCGTCTCCCTGTCTGCAGGGGGCATGCCCTTCGGCCTTAAAGAGCTCCGCCGTGCTTGACCTAGAACATCTTCGACCCATGCTTCGCTCTCAGGGCTCATTGACTTCTGACGAGATCGTGGCTTGGGTCCGGCAAGACCCAGTGGGGTTGAGCGGGAGCTGCCAGCGGCGATGGTGGTTGCGGGTGAGTGGGCTGATGAGCCGTAATGGGCCTCACTTGCAAAGGAGATCGTGCCAACGGAATTGTTCGAAGACACGGAGTGTCGTCGAGTAGACATTGGTGAGTGTGATGGGTTCGTGGGCTCACCGAAGCTGGGAGTTCGGAAATCCGTCGCATCAGACACGTTGGACGCCCGCCGGGTTTTGCGGACAGCGAGCGATGAGGAAGGTCGGTTGCTAATGACGGATCGAGGGCGCGAAGGCGTTCTCCGGCCGTTGCTCGGAGCTGGCGTGAGCATGTTGTTTCCAGGGGTGGATTCATGAGACTTGAGTCCCTGAACTTCGACGCGAGGAGTTTCAGAAACATGTCGTCGTCCATGATGGATAGCATATTCTCTCAGGTATTCACCGAGATCTGCCCATCCACCTCCCACTCGTACCATCACCCGCTCGCCACTCTCTCCCACAGAGCGAACAAAGAGTTTGGTTGGCTTCGACTTTCCATTCTTATGCAGATGGTAAAGCTTCACGGAGCTTTCCTCTGGGCCGCGTGCAAAAGATTGTCTCCGACGGGTATGCGCAGGAGTGAGTGTTAAAGATGGAGCAGGTGCGCCGTAGAGCGATGCTGAAGACGACGACCGGTATCTCCCCCTCGGTGGCACAGGCGCCGCAGAAGTCACAGAAAATATGTCATCATCATCCTGTGCTTCAGACAGCAGTTGAATGCGACCGGGAAGGGTATCCAAGATGGTGCTGATCTTCTCGTCGAGATAGTCCTTCTTCTTCGACAATGGAGTAGACGATCCAGAATTGGACTTGCGAGGAGCAAGATCTGCCGGGGTGTGCGCTCTTGACTGGGGTTTCGACCCTGGTCGTCCACGGCTTGCGAGACTCTCACGGCTTCCATGGTTATTGAGCTCCTTGCTAAGACGAGCGGTAGCGAAGCGGGCAGAAGGCTGCGCATTCAGTGATCGCTGGGCAGAGGTCCTCAACGGAACCTTTCTAGGGGAGTTCCGAGGCCCAGAGACTGGACCATCAGTCTTTGAGCGGGTCGGCGTGGGCCTCGTCTTCGTATCACGAGGCATCTCCGACCGGTATGCAAGTTGTCGGAAACGAGCAGTGGGAGTGGAAGCGCCGTCCCGGTTCGTGGGCTCCTGCTGCTCCGGATGGGAGGCAACGGATGGCCTTCTACCCATGCTAGGGCTGTCCTCCATGCCAGCTCCGTTCTCGTAGTTCATGTCCAATCGTTCGTTGATGAAACGCTGCAGCGGCAGACTAACTGCGCGGTTATGCTGCGGTCGTGGAGAAACTTTCTGATCGAAGCGACGTAGGCTGTCTTCCCGCAAGGTATGATCATTATTGGAAGGTGCAACGCCAGGCTGGCCGAAGACGTCCTGGAAGTGCGGCGGAGTATCGAGAAACAGAGGGGTTGCGTTCGACGACTCAGCATGCGGTTCCTGGAAATCTGGGCTTGACATGAGAGACGGAAAAGAGGAGAGAGAACCCATGGAAGCGTCCGATGTGACACGCTGACGAGTCTTGCCGTTCTTGTCACCTGCTTGCCGGCCAAGTTTGATCGGGCTTTCCAGATGCTGTTTAGGAGGTGAAGGACCGTCTTCTTCGGATGCGTTTGGCTGAAGTGTGGCTTCCTTTGCCATTTCGGGCAACGAGCACGGTGAGGGTTCCAGCGAGGGTTTGACGGCAGTAGGGGGCTGTTCCTGGGCGGAGGCGGGAACTGGAGCATCATCAGCGGCCACGGCACTTGACGGAGCCGCGGGTTTATCTTCGATAGCGACAGGACGCGACTCGGGAACAGTCTTGCTGGGCGAATCATTGGAAGGCTCGGCCTGGTCCGAAATAGGCTCTCCAGTAAGAGTCTGATTGTCTGGTGTAGACTTTTGTGTTGTACCACTGACGTTCGCTCGTGTGTCTGAAACCTGCTCCGGTTCGCGAGGTAGAGGGGCTTCGAGGGAGAATGGAGGGATAGATTTATGGAATTGTGCGTCACGGACGGGGGATGATTTCGGAGAAAGCTGTGGTGAATCAATCGCAGTTCGCGGTCGTTCCGGTTGCGCAGTTTCGGGCGACGGAGTTGTTTCCTTTTGTAAATCGGGGAATGGAGAAGTAGGTTCTTCGCGAACAGGTTCAGGAACAGGCGTCGCGTCACGCTCAATCGGGGTCGCACGTTGCTCTGTAATCTCTGGAATAGGCGTAGGATCCGCTTGCGACTGGACAGACTCCGGCTTATCTAGGGCTTCGTTGACAGACGGCGCCGCGGAGGTGGTTTCTTCTTCAGTGATTGTTTCCATGGGGAAGGAACGTGCGTTGCGCCTCGTCGAATCGGATGTGTTGACGACCGGTTCTGAAACACGGGGTGCATCGTCGGATTGTTGACAGGGGTGTTCTGCATTGGCGCGCGACCATTCATTTTCGGCTGAGCGCTTCTCAGCTTCCACAACCCACGTGCTGAATTCTGACTCAATAGTCTCGAGATCATCAATCCAGCTTTCTGGCAACGAATCTTCGCGTCCTTCAAGGGCGTCTAAAACGTTGTCCATTCTTCGACCTGCTGCAGCCACGGCCGCACCCAGCTCCGCTTGTTTTGCATGGAAATTCGATCGGGAATAGAGAGGATCATGTTCGCTAGGGGGGTCGCGCGACTTGAGAGCGCGAAACGCGTCGTCTAATGCTTCCCTGGTGAGGCCAAGGCTGAGAAGGAGACCAGGAATTTGACGAAGGACCAACAACCGGACATCCCAGGTCGAAAGCAAGGTGTTGAGACGCGACAGGGTGGGCAGGGCGCGTAGGATGGTGGCGGTGATAACGGCGGTGAAGTCGCTGAGCTGTACATAACTGAGGGGAGGTGGGATGGACATGGTGCTACCGGATGACGAAGGCCGAGACCGCGATGGAATGTGGGCATTGAGAACATGTTCCTTCAACTCCTCCACTCCCAGGTTATCCATTGCATCGCGAATCTCCTCGATGCGGGCTCCATGCTGTTCGACGACGGCAGATGGGAGACTTCCGAGATATTCAACACCTGAATCTGCGACAGTCGAAGGGGAGGGAGGAATAAAGGCTTTGCCCTGATGAGCATCGGCTCGTTTCGGCCATTCCCACGACTGGACTTCCTTATACCACAGGGTTAGATTCTTTGCCGCGATCGCTGCGCGAATCCCCAGCGCGCGGTCTGCCGGGGAGACTTGCGAAATGCTTTGGGAGAGCATATCATGAGCGGCTTTCTCATTGTTAGGCACGGCATCGGTAGAGGAGAGAGCCTGTAGGGTGGCTTCAGGAGAAAGAGTTCGGAGAAGAGGGTCGAGTTCATAAGCCGGCACCGGACGGATAGAGGCACGCGACGAGTTGTCAGAGGAAATTTTGGTCGGATGAGGACGAAAAGGTAAAGGAGGATTTCCGAGGCTAGGAGAATTAAACGACATGGCGAAAGAGGGAGCTCTTTCCCCGAAGAGAGCTCAGGGGAATTGTTTAGTCGGGGGTCGGTGTATCGATGTATTGGGTATCACAGAAATCGATCAATTGGATCGGATCGAGAAGACGGAGGTCGAGCAGGAGTGACAGTATCGAGGATAGAATCGTACTGCAGAAGAACGGGCATGCTGAGACGCGTTGTCGCGTGAGGATTTGGTCAAGGGAGAGGCGGTTAAGGAGTGGAGAGACAGTTGGAACAACGGAAGTATATGAGATCAGAGATCCGACGCGAGGAGAGCGGATTATAGGATATTAGGAGAATAAGAAAAGAGATAAAAGTGAAGCAAAGATTAAAGTAAAGCTGCCCGTACAGTATGTAGCGGATATAGAGAAAAAGGAGTCCTCTCCTGGCTGAAGCCGCGAGGCAAGGCGAGGCAACGAAGGAGAGAATAGAAAGAGAAAAAGAGGAAAAAAGAGGGGCAAGAAGGCGAAAAGGAACGAAATAATGCAGGTAAAAAGAATGACTGGAGCTGAGCTGAGAAGTGAACGACTCTGATTGCTTGAACTAAAGATGGAGCTGCAGCTGCAGTAGACGTGGATGCGCTGACCTGGTGGGCGGTGAGGGCTGTCAGTATACAGCCTTGGCCACGGAGTGTCCCTACAAGTATGTACACTTAGACAGGATGAAACATAGACAGCAGAGACATAATAATGCACCCGGCTAGATATGGCTGCTTATCTGGTGAGACGTGGTGCTACAGGGTACAGGTCATGCTTATTCCCTACTGCCCGAATCCCGTACTGCCCGATGCATATTTGTACAGCCTGGCACACGGATCGGACGGAAAGATACGGACCCTTTGACAGCGCAAGAAGATGGATATGAAACTGAACATTTCAATGCCAACGGAATGTTATTCCATGCAGGTCATTATGATCTGAACTGGCTCCTACATGACGCCATGTTGACAACCGGGTATCGACAGATACACCAGATACACCAGATACTTGTATACTAGATCTATACTCACATGTAGGCTATTGAGCACTCCGTACAGCTACTTGTATACAACGCAATGCAATTTCAAAGGTTCCCATACCCCCCAAGTCTCCCAGCCGAGGTCCCCGAAGACCTGCTGCCCAAACTCAGCGAACTCCAGGAGGAATTCGGCACCGACAAGGACCACCTGAAGCACGTTACCGACCACTTTATCAAAGAACTCGAACGAGGTCCGCCAACAATACACCATCCAAGATTCCCTGCTAACAACAACAGGCCTGACAGAAGAAGGCGGCGATATTGTTAGTACCCACCCACTCCACTTTGTTTGCAGACAAGGAAATCTGTTTGGACCCATCTAACCAACTAGCCCATGAATATCACCTGGGTAACCGACTTCCCAACGGGCCATGAACGAGGGAAATTCCTAACCCTCGACCTCGGCGGCACAAACCTCCGCGTTTGCGAGGTCAGTTTGTCCGCGGCAAAGGGCGATTTCGCAGCCACGCAGCGGAAATACAAACTGCCCGGGAACTTGCGGTCAGCGCCGGTGATAGAACTGTGGGATTTTATCGCGGAATGTGTGCATTTGTTCATCGAGGAGCATCACAGCGACTGCCCGCCGGATGAAAAGCTGCCGTTGGCATTCACCTTTTCGTATCCCGTTTTGCAAACGTCCATCAAAGAGGGCATCCTCCAACGATGGACCAAGGACTATAATTGTCCAGGTGCGGAGGGCAACGATATCGTCGCGCAGCTGGCGGCGTCAATGGACAAAAAGGTTTGTTTGTCTGCATGTAATCGCGAATTGCAAGACTCATTATCTTAGCAAGTACCCGTCGAAATCGTAGCGCTAGTCAACGACACAACAGGAACCCTGATCGCAACCGCATACCGCGATCCCAAAGTCTGCATCGGCAGCATCTTCAGCACAGGCTGCAACTCAGCCTACATGGAAGTATGCAGCGCAGTCCCCAAGCTCAAACACGCAGGACTCCCCCCAGATAGCAAGGTCGTAATCAACACCGAATGCGGTGCGTTCGACAACTCCTGCAAGGTCCTGCACCGCACCCGCTTCGACAAGGACATCGACGTGTGTTCTCCGCGCCAGGGCCAGCAGCTGTACGAAAAGATGGTAGCAGGCCGGTACCTAGGCGAGATCGTCCGTCGAGTCCTCCTAGAACTCCACAACACACACTCTCTCTTCAGGGACCAAGACGCCTCCAAGCTCAACACGCCTCATATCCTAGAAGCATCCTTCCTCTCCAACGTGGAAGAAGACAACTCACACCTGCGCGAGGGCGTCAAGGGCCTCCTGAAGGAACACCTGGGTGTTGAATCCACAGTCCCCGAACGCCGAATCACCCGCTTCCTCGTGGAAATCGTCGGGACACGCTCCGCCCGTCTATACGCCTGCGGGATCGCGGCGATCTGTAAGAAACGGAATATCAAAACCGGCGTGGTTGGCGTCGACGGGGCCACGTTTAACTATTACACGCGGTTCCGGTTGAGAGTTGCGCAGGCGATGCGGGATATCATGGATTGGCCGGAAGATATTCAGGATCCGATTAGTTTTGAGGTCTCGGAGGATGGGTCGGGGGTTGGGGCGGCGTTGATCGCGGCGTTGACCATGGGGGAGGCTCAGCCGGAGTTACCGGCCGGTGCTACTTGGTAGCGTTAAGCATAGACATGTTAAAAATAGAGAAGAGAACAATAGAAAGAATAGACTGTTATGTTGTCATGGCTCTTGTCATAGTTCTGGTTCCGAAACTTATCAATTCTCCACCGCTATCGCTAATGACGCGACTCAACGCGACAACCACGATATCCAATACCCTTGGGGTAGACACCCCAATAATCCTAATAAAGAATAAAAATGCGCTTCAAAACACAATTAACCAACATCCAAACCTTTACCAGTACGTCTCAATCCAGTCTTTGGGCTTTCACTACACCACCCCCCACACCACAGTACCCAACGCAAGCAGCTAACAAGTGCCCAGAACTAACAGCCTCCCTAACCTCCCTCGGCAAAGTCTGCTGGCTCCGTCTCGAAGACTCCATCGTCCGCTTCACCATAATCCCCGACCAAGGAACACAAGTCTGGGCCCAGTTACCAGTCGTGCGTCCCTCCCCCGTTCCTTTCCCTCACCTCTCCCCCAAAGCAAAGGTTTCGAAAACGCAATCCGAATACAAGCTGATAAGTGTAGGACGCCATCTTCGAACCAACCACCTACACCCTCGAATCAAACTCCGGCATCATAAACCTCGAAGTGCCCATCGGAGCTCTACACCGCGCACTACGGTCCGCGAATGGTGCGAATTCCGCGCAGATACGGCTTACGAAGAAGGGGAGTGTTCCGTTGCTTGCGTTGACGATTCTGTCGTCGAGTTGGACGACGGGGTCGAATGCTATTGGTGTTGGGAATGAGGAGGATGAGGGTTTGTTTCCTGATGAGGGGTTTGGGAGAGGAGGGGGAGGGACGGGGACGGGGCCTAGGGAACGAGAGACGGTGATATCGCAAGAAGTTCCTGTGAAGGTTCTTCATGAATCTGCCGTTGAGGGATTGCATGAACCTCGATGCCGCGATCCAGACGTCCATATTATCCTACCCAGCCTGATACACTTAAAGAGTATCTCCGAACGATTCACAAAACTAGCCACCATCGACACAAAAACGCCCTCTACAACAACCACTTCCAACACAACCACAAACAATCCAACCCAACCCCCGCCATCATCAGCAGTCCCCACAACAACCGCCCCCAACAGCAACACCGCAAGTCCCAAACTCGAACTCTCCGCAAACATGCACGGCTCCCTAAAACTCGCCATCGCAAGTGACTCCCTCCGAATCTCCAGCGTCTGGACAGATCTGGTGAACCCCGCGCTGGATCCGGCGCAGTTATCGCAGAGCGAGATGCAGGAGTTGCCTAGTGAGCGGATGAGAAGACTTGGTAAGGATGGGGATGGGGAGGAGGGGTGGGCGAGGGTGCGGATTGATGGGAGGGATTGGGGGAGGGTGTTGAGTGTGGGGAGGCTGAGTCCGAAAGTTGTTGCTTGTACGTCTGTCCCCTGTTACAAAGATGATTAGAGGAAGGGAGGGCTAACGTGGGCAGGTTTTATCAACGAGACGGCTTTGGTGCTATATGTCTATTTACCGGGAAGTTGGAATGGGGAGGATTCGTGTTTGACTGTAAGTCTCCATGCTTCCCCTTTCAACATCGATACTAATATAACGTGAAGTACTATATCAATTCATATTCCACCTAATCCAGTCGAGAACGGCATTATTTTATTATGTCACGGCACGATGTACATGATTGCATTATCATAGCATAGTCCCATAAGCAAGCAAAGGACGTAGCGAAGCGAATTATAGGAACAATTATTAAGTAATAATAAAACAAGGCAAGTCAAGTCAAATCAAGTCTGGCATAGAACGAGGAAAACAAAACAAGCCGTAGTAGCAACAGTGCCTGGATGTGCTGAGGCAACGCAGAAGGGGAAGTAACATGAGGGTAAAGTCGTCTCCAAAACTCATAAGAATAGACAGGGTGGCAATGCAGCGAGTATCAACATATGCGGTAAAGCAAGTAAGCAAAACAAAGCCCGTCTGTGACAAGGCATGCATGGCACTGCAACGAAAAAGAACAAGGAAAAGGGATCAAGTATACAACTACTGGGCCATCACATCAACATACCGCCCCTTCTTCTTCCCCTTCCCAGCAGGCCCCTTGCGCGCAGTAGGCGCACCCAACAAATCATCGATCGAGCTGGCATTGCTCAAAGAAGTCGAAGGTCTAGACGGTGGTGCCAAACCCCCCGAACTTCCAGGCGGGGTTGGCGCGGCAGCACCCGTAGATACCGATCGGGGCAATGGAGGTGGTGCGCCCAATCCAGACGGTGGTGCCGGACTTCCAGACATTGGTGGTCCGGACATCGGTGATGGTGCGAATGCGCCTGCAGACGATGAAGGTCGGCTTGCTGCGCTGGCCATTGGAGGTGTAGCTGTTGGGGGCAGGCTGGCTGTGCTGCCAGTCCTGCTGGCAGGGCCGGCTCTGGGGGGTGGTGGTGTGGCTGCGGAGGGGGTTGCGGAGTTGGGGTCTTTTTTGTTGACCCATTTTTTGAGCTCGGTGTCGTAGTAGAATGAGCTTTGTTCTCCAAGTTTCGCGCGGATGGGTTTGTTGGGGTTGGTGCTCTCTTCTTTCTTGGATCCTCCGCCGAACCAACCTCCGAACCATCCTTTCTTCGGCGGTGCAGCCTTCTTGGCTGTAGGGGGTTAGCACAGTATTCAAATTACCAGAGTAGAAAGGAGGCTTACCATCTTCTTCTGCTGCTCTCCTAAACGCCTCATTCGCTTCCTGATCCTGCTTCTCCCTCTCAGCCTTTGCCATAGCGGCCGAGCGGGCTGCAAGGTCGTCATCGTCGTCATCCATCATCGACTTCTTGGGCCTCTCCTCTTCGACATATTCTTCCTGGTATTGTGCTGATGTTGAACCGGCTTCTTCCACAGGAGGACCGTAGCCGGTGGTGGGCGGCATATAGCCATAGCTCTCTGGCTGTGGCTGGCTTGGCGCCCCCTGGTCTCCAAATGGGTGTGTATAAGCGTCAGGAGTATACATTGATGGTTGGTAAGGCGATCCATTCACCGCTGGCGACTGCATGACCGGCTGAGGTGGCTGTGGTTGCGAAGGCAGGTCTTCCTCGACAGGCGCAAGAGGCATGTAAGACGTCTGGGGCGGAGTGGACTGGTAACCAGCCAGAGGGGAGTTGAATGAAGATCCTCCGGGGTAATAGTTGTTCTCAGTCGGGGTAGCAGGCTCCTGGGAACCACGGCGTCCGAATGAGAATCCCAAACCACCAGAGGACCTTTGAGAGTCCATAGACGATCTTCCACGGAACTGCTCAGGCGACGAGTTCGGCGCATACTGGCTAGTCGGGTGGTACCGCGAGGCGGGATTTCCAGGTATGGGTTGTGCCCCGGTTGCAGGTGCAGGGTACCCGCCGTACAAGTCCGACATGGAAGGCGAACGGCTGACGGTAGGCGTTCCATGGACCCTGGCAAAAGGACCCACGTCCGCATCAGCGGCCTTTCCAGAGCCAGTAGATGCTGCATCGCTATCCTCTCCCGAAACGAAGCTGTTGAACCTGGCCCACATCGACCCAGAAACCTTCTCCATGCTTGGTCTCGAGATCCAGGAGCCTCCATCGCTAGTCGTCTGCCTCAAAACCGAGGACAAGTCATCCATAGAAGAGAACAAGTGCGGGTGATAGTAACCAGAAGGTTTTGTGCTTGCCTTCAAAACACCAGCAATCGCATCGCAGTACTGCTGAGCTTCCGACTTGCGGCCGCGATCTGCGAGTGTCCAAGCATAGTGGAGCTTGAAGCCCATCAAATGCGGCAATGGGGGCTGAGGCGCAGTCGCAAGAATGGATGTTGCAAACTCGTACACTTCCGTGAGGAGAATAGCATCTTCATCATGTACAAACGAATATGGGAAATGTTGATGATCAGCTCCCAGAAGAACAATGCTCGCCTGCGGGTCATCAGGACCGCTGAATACCGCGGCACGTGAGAATATCATGCAGATATGCGCAGCCTCCACACGTCCGTAGCTCAGCAGTAGTCGGCCAAGAGAAATTAACGCCTGGTAGTCGTCAGGACTGCGGTTGCTTATCACCATACCCAAAGTATCCTTCCAGCTATCCAAGCCATCGAGAGCACTCTTAGATGACCCCTGTCCATCAACAGTGCTGATCATCTGCAAGCCAGCCCTGGCTGACGGCGGAACGAGTTCATCGACACACTCCTCGAAGTTTCCAGCAAAGATCTCATAGGCCGCAGCGAGCGATTCGGTATTGCTTGTGGAAGACTTTACTTCTCTCCTAACGAATTCCTGCACGACTTGTTTCCACACAGACTTCTCCATAGTGGACGCAATAATCATAGCATGGCCCCATAGTCGATTATCCACTGCACCCCACACCGCTTTTTCGCGTTCCCCAAGAATGAGGTTGTCCCGAAGGGTGTCTATCGACCGCGAATCGATTGCGTCAGGTTGTGATGGTGCGTTCAGCGATGGGAAGTTATTTTGAGCCGTATAACCGTTTCCATACGTCAGATCAGCTTCAGCGTTCTGAAGTTGTGGGAAGATGACATCGCGCAGCGATTTTTGGACGTCTGGCGAACCATCGAAGAGGCCATCCTTCTCGACCAGTACCCTAATGATCTTCCACAAAATGATTTTCTCCTCGTGCCGCTTATGCGAATCTGGTTGCAGTCCGTCGCCATCCGAAAGTCCTTCGTTCTCAAATGCTGCGATTTTGCTCGACAGCCAGTTTATAACGTCCTTCTTCTTCGACTTGCTCTTGAGCGGTCCCGGATGCGCCACAATGCCCTCCGCAGGCGATATCCAGTCGTTGAGCTGGCATACCTTCACCTCACCTGGACAGGACTTAATCATAGGCGCAGCTTGTCCAGCGCTGTAACGGGGAATGTGCTTCGGGAAACACGACGTGACTGAACCACCGAAACCAAAAGTGACAATTGGCGCTCCCTTCCATCGCTGAAGGGGGTCAAGCTCTTGTCCATCGCTGGGTGGAATGAAATTGAGGGGCTCAGAAGTAACGCGACTAGTGGCTGATACTTGAGCAGGTGCATAGGGACTAACAGCTTTCGTTGGAGATCCGGATCCGTGCACAGAGGCAGGCCGCTGAAGAGGGTCGATGGAAGGTACTGACAACTTAGGGCTTGACAATTGCTGGCTAGGAGATTGTGTTTGAGACCTGCGGGGAGGAACGAACTGGGACCCGCCCGCATCCGGTGTCTCAATCACTGGGAATGACGGAGCCGGAGGCCCGGTACTCATGGGTGGCAAGCGACTCGCAAAGTCATTGACATATGACGGCGGAGCGTACATGTTCCTAGGCGGAGACAATTGCTGCTGATTCGTCGGCGAAGTCACATTTCGCGGTTCGGCCTGCGCAACCTCAGGTTCGACTACATCGCCCGACGGTTCAGAGATACGGGGAGGGCTCTGTTCGAGACTTGGTCGTGGCTGGAAACGATTGGGTGGAGAAAGGCTCGCCGATGGCTCCAGAGACGGCCGTCTCGCAGGCTGTTCCGGTTGGTATGAAACTTTCTCATGATAAGCCAAAGGACTCGACGTGCGCGGTTGGAATGGAAGAGACAGTCCAGGTGCAGGAGCACTGGTCGGTTGCGCAGAGTAGCGATTATTGCGTGCAGGACCAGAAGCCGGTGGCGGAGCAGGTGAGTATCTTGGCGATGGCGGAGGCTTCGTTCCCGTCTGCAAACCAGGTGGCTTGGGGGAATACCTTGACGAAACGCTAGGAGGAGCTGGAGGAGTTGGAGCCAGTGTGTTCATGTAAGGCTCCAATCGTTCAGGAGACTGCAGCGGTGGCTGCGCCTGTAGCTGCGGTTGTTCCTGGGGTTCACTCGGCGGTTGAGGATTAGGAGGGATGTTAGTGTAAGGGGTCGCCGGTGGTGGTGGTGGGTGCGAGATTCCAGCTGGAGCGCCAGCAGGAATGTTAGCGTAAGGATTCGCCGGTGGTGGTGGTTGGGAAACCGCAGCCGGAGCGGTTGTTGTCGCGCTCGCATTAGGAGGGATGCTGGCATAAGGGTTCGCTGGTGGAGGTGGAGGTGGATAGCTTGCAGCCGGAACGGTCGGCGGTGCCGCGCTAGGGTTAGGTGTGTATCTTCCTGAACTTGCAGGTCGAGATTTAGGCCGCGGCGGGGGCATGGGAAGCTCTTCGAAAAAGTTCTTCGGGCCTGGGGCAGCTGCTGGTGGTGGCGGAGAAGCACCCATTGGAGGTGGTGGCATGCTCCCAGCTGGCGGGATGCTTGTTGGGGGAGCAATAGAGCCAGGGGGAGCCACGGGGCCAGCAGTGATAACCGGCTTAGCGGGCCTCCGAGGACGCGCCAAACCTTCCGGAAGGTCATACGGAGACTTGTAGCCTTGCTTTGAGCGCTCTGCAAAACTCTCTGCCCTGTTCACTTCAGGCTTTGGCGGCGGCTGTGGTGCGAAATACGAGGAAGCAGGAGGCGGGTTGGGTGGAGCGACACCCTGGAGAAGGTCGGAGGTTGATGGTTGATGAGGTGTGTATGAAGTGGTTGATGGCACGCTCGGGGCTTCAAAGGCCTGTGGCTCATTGAAGCCAGTCTGAGGAGCGTATCTGTTACCTCCGTTGACGTTCGGGAGATTCTGTTCCTGGCTAGTGGTCGAATCCCCAGCTGCCTCATCCATAAGGAGATCATCGTCGTCATCATCCAATGCTGCTTCCCATCGCGCAGCAAGATCCTCCTCCAAAGGTTCCTCGTTATCTGAAAGTTCAGCCTGCCATCTTGCAGCCAAATCCTCCTCCGAAGAAGCCTTCTCCACTTGGTTGTCCGATGCTGGCGCCAACAACATTTCGTTAAACTGCTGTGTAGCCTCGTCGATGGGGGAATCCAAGGGTTCGCCAACAGAATCCATCACCTCCGAGGTGCTCTTGCGCGTGAGATGCGGCGGAGCTTCTTGCTTTGGTTCCGGCTTCTGAACCTGACTGAAGAAGTCTTCTCCTTCATCCTCATCGCCGTCGAATATCTTGTCAATCTGAGTGTCACCTGTTGTTGTCGGCTCGGCTTTCGGTTCCGCAATCGGTTCAGTTGTCGGTTCAGCCGGGGTCTCGGCCGGGGGCTCAGCTCGGGTCTCAGCTGGAGGCTCAAAAGCTGGAGTCTCAAAAGCGGGGGATTGAGGAGATAGCAAGGGAACACCCTCTTCGAATCTAGTATCAGGCTCTGGTGGCATATAGATAGGCTTTGTTTGCGTCTTCAGTTGATCGAAGAAATTGTCCCCGCAGTCGTCTTCGACATTGTCCCAGAAGTTACCAGTAGTGTTGTTCACTTCACCATTGGTAGCCACTGGCTCGTGGTTTGCAAAATCCACGGCTTGCGGTACGCTATCATGGCTTTCGTAAGACTGTGTTTGCTCCTGGACAGCCAGATCGGCAGTTTGATCCGCGGACACGGGAAGCGAGAAGGGATCTTGTTCAACGTGCTGTTCAGGCTCGTTGAAAATATCCTTGCCGTCTTCCTTAGCCAGGGTTTCCGCAACAGCTTGAGTTATCTCTGCATTATCAGCACCGGTTACTGGGGTCGTTGTCTCATCGGGTACGGTGTCTTCCGGCGACTTGTTGGGCTCCGAGGAAACTTCAGCATCCAAAGTGCGGCTTGATTCAATTCCGTCCAACGACGCGTCTTGTTGTTGTACATCGGTTGGAGCGCTGGGTTCTTCTACAGCACCACCTCCGAGAAATGCAATGTCATCATCGACTGGTTCGGAGAAAACGGGGGGAGGAACGGGTTCGGTCGTGTCAACACTCGGGTTCGTTGTTAAGTCACGCGAATCAGTCGCCGCCGGAGTTTCATGATGTTCTGGTAGCATCGCCGGATTCCATGAAGACGTCGCGTCTGAAGATGCCATGGTCTGTGACATCTTTCTGTGTTATTAAAAAGGAAGAAAAACAAAAGGCAAACCTAGCACGTCTCCGAGGAACGCTCGGGCAGCCTAGGGCCAATGATGGCGGAAAACAACTTTTGAAATCACAAACACGCCAAAATCACGACAACATTAAAGAGCGCAAGTGAACAAATGCATCACAGAGAACAAGAGAAGCCAGGAGTCATGAGGGGCAGCGTTCCTGAGCTGTCGAGTGGTGCAGACGTTAACGCCGGAACCCGCTGCGGCGAGCCTCATGGCCGGTGGATGATGCGCCGTCATCGGGCCGGATTTACCACATTTCCGGCGGAAAGTGACACCTATCCCTTTTTGAGCGGTATCACGTGCTCCAGTATGCCGATTTGAATACCGAAAAACATGGCGAAAATGCAGAATGTAGGCGTGTTATTGGCGTATTGGCATTCATTGGCTATGGCAAGGGTCTATTTAGGTTTCACCTTGGGTTTTACAGACAAATGCCGTGTGATCTCTCCGATGTACCGGATTCCAGCCCTTGAATAATTAGCAAGATCTCGCCTGGAACTATCATAACAAGCCAATCTTTGTGGTTGAGCTATGTAGCACTATCTAGCATTGTGTGTCTGATGTGGCAATGCTGTGTCTGTATCACAGATATCCAGCTAACAGGGCTGCTGCCCACGCGTATAAAACTTAACATTGGCTGACAGTTGAGTCCTTCGTTGCTGTCCTATCCTTAGTCGTAAGAGCACTGTGTATGTTTTTACTTAATAAGATAGGATTGAACATCATTTGTGGTACCATTGTGTTGTACAAACCGTATCTCTATAGATATGTACAGAGTAGTGCTTCGCTATGTGAGGTGGATATATATATCCGCATGTCAAATTGAACTTGGTGGACAATCGATATCCGAGGCTTCCATATTTATGCCTCACAACTCATTACTAGCTTCAAGATCCATTTCCAAATTTCTGATGCCTGAGTCTAGTCTTCGAATCGCATCCAATATCTGTATTAGGGCTCTAGAAGCAGTCACAGAGTATTTTCCCGCCAGAGGTATCAGATCAAATAAGTAGCTGCATTTCCTGAGACCTGTAATCTCCGGCCATGGCCACATTGAATGCATCCTCTGCTTGATTGAACAGAATACAGAGTACTGTAGTGGTTAACTTAAGTGTACTTGACGACCCAAACAATGACATCATGCTATACTACTGTATGTGGCGCAGTGTGGCTGTTATCATGTGACCCACCAGCCCACCGCCCGCTGTTAGGCTGCCAGAAAGTGGACGATCTCCCTAAGACCTAAAGAAGGAATAGCTAAACGACACTTTCACCCATCCAGACGGCGGGCCTGTCTTTTATTATATTACGACGCCTCTCACGGCGACTCCACACTAATCGTTCCGCTGACGCAGCCTCTCAAACTCGAGGAAGAACAATGGCTCCCTAAGAACTCCCCAACTACAGCTTGTCATGACATTTGGTTCTGCGCTGTAGGAGTCCACGCATCACTTCTCTTCATGTGAGAGCAACCAGTGAGGCTTCACCGCTTTATATCTGCATGATGTCTTCGTCACCCGATTATGTGCACCCGCACGACAGCGCCAGCATCCCTAGCGACTCCGGCTCCGATGACGACCTGGACCTCGAGGAACTCGACCCGGATACCGCTCCAAGTCACCGACCTCCACGACTTTCAAGGGATGGCTCAACTGGCCAAAGAGGATACGGCCCTGGGATTGCATTGAGAAAGTTACGTGCCGGCGTTGGAAATCGACTGAGGCGCAGCGTCTCCGGGATGAAGCGCAGGGAATCAGAAGAGGACACAAACGGTCTGCTGGAGGACCAAGATGGTGGCAGGATGCGGAGATCGCAGGCGAGCTCCCATAATTTGACTGATGATGATGCGCCGTTGCTCGAAGACCGGCGCATATCCACTCATTCGTTAAGCAACCAAGGACCGACATCGAAAAGGGGATTCCGGTTACGATTCCCCGGATTTGGTGCCATATTCAATCGTTCGTCCAGAAATGCACCCGTTACGACAGAATCACAGCCGCCACGAGATGTGCTGGTTGGGCAAGCGCAAAGATCGAAATACCCTCCGAACATCGTGTCGAACGCGAAGTACACACCATGGAGTTTCCTGCCCCGTACTCTTTACAACGAGTTTTCCTTCTTTTTCAACATCTACTTCCTATTGGTCGCTCTCTCGCAGATCATTCCTGTACTTCGAATCGGTTACATGTCGTCATATATCGCACCGTTGGCTTTTGTGGTTTCAATATCTCTAGGAAAGGAGGCGTTGGATGATATTGGCCGTCGCAGGAGGGACGCTGAGGCGAACTCTGAGGAATTTACCATTCTGGCACTTGACGAATCTACAAGGAGGACGAACGAGCACGTGCTGGAGGTTACGAAGAAGTCTCGGGATCTAAAGGTCGGCGATGTTTTGAAGGTCCGCAAGAATCAACGTCTGCCCGCGGATGTTGTCATCCTAAAAAGCATTTCTGCCGACGCTACCATCACGCAGCAAGAACCCGTTACCGAGACCCCCGCCGACCTTATTGATTCGGATCAAGGACCGTCAGCGCCTACGGATCCAGCACCCAGCTCTACTGCCACACCAAATGAGAAGAACTCGGCTGCTGCTGACACGTTTATTCGGACTGATCAGTTGGATGGTGAAACGGACTGGAAATTGCGTTTGCCTTCTGCGTTGTCCCAGAGTCTACCGTTCGGTGAGCTTCCTAGGCTCAAGATTACCGCGAGTGCCCCAGACCAGAGAGTCAATGAATTTGTTGGTGCCATTGAATTGGAGCCACCTTCCGGATTCTATGATGCGCACGTTGACAAGTCGCAAAACGGGAGAGAGGACGAAGGAGAAGATCCACAGAACAATTCTGCACCGTTGAATATTGACAACACCGCGTGGGCCAACACTGTTCTCGCATCAAACACCACTACCTATGCCGCCATCATCTATACAGGCTCACAGACGCGAGCTGCCCTCTCCACGTCTCCCTCTCGGTCGAAGGTTGGATTGTTAGAATATGAAATCAACAGTCTGACCAAGATCCTCTGCATCCTGACTTTTGCGCTTTCGGTTATCCTAGTCGCATTGAAAGGATTTCAGCCGACCAATGATAAGGAGTGGTATGTGGCGATTATGATCTATCTGATTCTCTTCTCGACCATCATTCCTATGAGTTTGCGTGTCAATTTGGATATGGCCAAGTCCGTGTACGGTCGTTTCATCGAACGAGACAAGGACATCCCGGACACTGTCGTCAGGACAAGTACGATTCCCGAAGACCTTGGCAGGATAGAGTATCTTCTTTCGGACAAGACAGGGACTTTGACCCAAAATGGTTAGTATCACCCCTCTAGGTTACCTGACAAGCTTCTAACGTCATTTAGAAATGGAATTGAAGAAAATTCATGTTGGGACGGTCTCGTACGCAAATGATGCCATGGATGAAGTTTCCTCGTATATTCATCAAAGCTTTGCCGGAAACGCATTGGTCACTCCCTCCACCGTCTTTGGCGCTCAGGCAGGAGCTGGAACTGCCCCCCGTACAAGGAGAGAGATTGGCTCCCGTGTTAGAGACCTTGTCCTGGCGCTTGCTCTCTGTCACAATGTCACGCCGACTACGGATGAAGAGGATGGTGTAAAGGTTACAAGCTATCAGGCCTCATCGCCCGACGAGATCGCCATTGTTCGGTACACGGAAGAGGTAGGACTCAAGCTAGCCTACCGCGACCGGCAGTCGATAGTACTTGAATCTACCGAAAATGGAAAAGTTGTGGTGCGTGTGCGCATTCTGGACATCTTCCCGTTTACGTCGGATAGCAAGCGCATGGGCATCATTGTCCAATTTGAGCATGGCGGGATACTGGAATCTCCAACGGACAACAGTGAGATATGGTTCTACCAGAAGGGTGCTGATACTGTTATGACTTCGATCGTCGCGGCAAATGACTGGCTCGATGAGGAGACCGCCAACATGGCCCGAGAGGGTCTGCGGACGCTGGTTGTTGGCAGAAGGCGGCTTTCTATGCAGCAATACCAAGAGTTTACGGCGAAGTATAAGCAGGCATCGCTTGCTTTGCAGGGCCGTGATGCGGGAATGGCCAAGGTTGTCAATGAGCATTTGGAACGGGATCTGGAACTTCTCGGAGTGACAGGTGTGGAGGACCGGTTGCAGAAAGACGTGAAGCCGTCCCTCGAGCTTCTCCGCAATGCAGGCGTGAAGATCTGGATGTTGACAGGAGACAAGGTTGAGACTGCACGCTGTGTGGCTATTTCTGCGAAACTGGTTGCAAGAGGACAATACATCCATACCGTCGCCAAAGTCACTGATCCGTCAGCTGCCCAAGAAGCCCTGGACTTTATTCGCAACAAGACCGATTGCTGCTTGCTCATAGATGGCGAGTCGCTATCATTGATGCTGGGCCAGTATAGGTCACAATTCATCTCCCTGGCAGTCCTGCTTCCAGCTGTCGTCGCCTGTCGGTGTTCGCCGACCCAAAAGGCGGAGGTTGCGGATTTGATTCGCCAACACACCAAGAAACGGGTGTGCTGCATTGGCGATGGTGGTAACGATGTGTCCATGATCCAAGCAGCCGATGTCGGTATTGGTATTGTTGGTAAAGAAGGTCGTCAGGCGTCGCTTGCAGCAGACTTCAGTATTACCCAGTTCCATCACCTGACGAAACTTCTCGTCTGGCATGGACGCAACTCTTACAAGCGGTCAGCGAAGTTAGCACAGTTTATCATGCACCGTGGTCTCGTTATCAGTGCATGTCAGACTATGTACAGCATTGCCAGCAGTTTCGACCCGAAAGGTCTCTTCATTAATTGGCTTATGGTCGGCTATGCCACTATCTACACCAACGCTCCGGTTTTCTCACTGGTTTTCGATCGCGACGTAGACGAGCACCTGGCCAACCTCTACCCGGAACTGTACAAAGAGCTGAAATCCGGCCGCAGCTTAAGTTACCGCTCGTTTTTCACCTGGGTATTCATCTCAGTCTACCAAGGCGCCGTTATCGAAGGCCTCTCGCAGATCCTCTTGGACACCATCTCCGGCCCACGACTCATTAGCGTATCATTCACAGCACTTGTGCTCAACGAGTTGCTCATGGTCGCTATTTCCATTACCACCTGGCATCCCATCATGATCATCTGTCTCCTCGGTACCGCTCTTGTCTACGCAGCTAGTGTCCCGTTCCTGGGCGACTATTTCGACCTGCACTATGTGATAACTGTGGACTGGCTCTGGCGAGTTGTGGTTGTTTGCGCGGTATCTGTGGTTCCTGTGTGGGCTGGGAAGTTGGTGAAGCACTCTTGGAGTCCTCCTAGTTATCGGAAGGTCCGGGGGTGATTCTTTTTTCTTCTCACGCCTCGCTTTTCAAACCAAAAAGAACCTGGAGCAACGTGCGTTGTAGTGTGAATAACATCTTCTTGTTTCTATATTTTCGCCTCAGGTTCCAATAGATTTCTAGAATCTTAACTTCCACACCTTGACAGCTCCTTGGATATTAGATTCCAGCTCAACCATCGAATCTAATATCCGCTACAAGACCCTCACCCAACTCTACACCTACAATCTCATCCCAATAAGCCTTCGGCGCATCGAACCTGTGCTCATCAGCATTAAACACAAAACACAAACATAAATAAATCATGCAACCATACACAGTGCGATGGCAGGGAGCTTGACCGCCGGCATCAGCCAGGGGTTGGATGTTTGTAGCGCCAAATTTGCCGTATTCGGTTTCGACGCTGGTTGAATCGTTAGGACTGAGCGATACGTAGTAGGAAAGGGGGAGGGGCAGTACGTGTCCTGTATAGTGGAACGATATTGTTCCACGGCTTCGGGGCTGAGGTAGTGGATTTGAAGTTCCTGTGGGTGTTCGGGTTAGCTGTTTTGGAGGGGAAAAGGGCGCAACGAATAAATGATATGATAGGATTCCGAGGCATTTTGGACTGCCGTTGTGTGTTTACGGGGATGGCGGGGGGTTCTGGCTCATTTATAGCCAACACTATGGAAAGTGAAAGTGGCTGGCTGAGTCTACTCGGTACATACTACCGTAGACCATACATAGTGAGGGAGACTGGGAGACAATCCACTTATATGGAGATGTATAGATCCTGATTCATACCATTGGTATGGATATCCACCTCGATCATCAACATTGCCACGAGATCACCGATCTTGCTTGATTTCTCCATCTGGCTTGTAGCAAGTAGCTAGAACGTCTGGGTAAGGTATCAGTTCAATGCTTCATCTCACCCATCCGGCTGAAAAACGGATTAGACACATAAAACGGTCTCTCCCCAACACTCTCCTCACCAGACACGCCCTTCCTCTCCTTCTCCTTCCCCGTCCCATTACCCATAAGTGCCTGCATGCTCAAAAACGCCTCATTCTGCTCTAACTTCCTAATAGACCTAACCTCCTTATCATCGAACCTCGCATCTGGATCCCCCTCAAAGCTACTCTCAGGACCAGAAATCCACACCCTCCCACTCCCAAGACAAGCCTCCTCCATCCCCTTAGCACTTTTATTAACCATATCCCTCCAAAACGCCCCTTCCCCGGATTTCACAACACCAGCATCCTCAAGCATGGAGATAGCACCAGCGACCCAATCTTGGCAATTGCCCACCCCAAACTCGGGGATGTTACTCTCATCATTTCCGGAATCAGTGAGTAGGTTACTTATTCGCGATCTCTATCTCAAATGTTAGCGGACTGACAAAACGGCAAAGGCACTGTCAATGAGCTGTATCACCATCATGTCTTTTTTACGTGTTGAATCCTTTCCAGATGAGACGGCGCACCACACATATCTCAAAGACAATAGCCAAAACGCACAAATTCGTTTCCTTCTTTTTGTGCAAGAATTGGGCACAAAACCCCAAGGCTCAGACCCGCATGCGTTTGTTCGATCATCCAGACCAGAATGTAGACAGAGACCTTGGGTCCAGTATCACTTCACTAGAGCCTATAATGAACTTTTGTTCAATAAGTCCCAAGTCTCATCCCGAAGGGCAACGGTTTATTTTGTTTAGGGATCGCCATGGACGTATCCTGTCTCCCAAATCTCTTTTGACTTCTCCTGGTCCGAACTGAATATAATTGCTTTTGCTTTGACCGTAGTAATGGCTGGTTCGAACCAAGGTTTAGGTATTGAATTCGAAATAGAATTCGTCGTTCAAATATCGTACAGTTCTTTGCGTGTTTCTTGTATTCGTAGCAGATAGATTCATGAAAATGGACAGTAATTGTCTTGCTTTGATATATTGACTGTAATAGATCCATGGAGTGTTTGAATCTGAGTAGATTGTCTCATGAGATGAATCTAGACAAAGGGTGAGAGGTAAATAAGGAAAAGCATTATATGCCCATAACACACATAACAGTGAATAGAGATGAGGCAAGGAGAAAGATCAAATGCCATTAGGGCTCATGACTCCACACCAATTCAACAGTAAGTGAATGGCCATACCTCTACCTGAAAAGCAATATACATTCAATACTTGGATTTTGAAAAGCAGTCTACGTCTAGTATTGAGCACCATTTATGGTACATCCATCTGCCTCAAAAGCTCCTGTAACTCAGGCCTCTTAACCGGCTTAATAAGAAACGTATCAATACCCGACCCAAACGCCTCTTTCTGCGCATCCGCGCTGTCCAGACCCGTCAAGGCTGCGATGATCATGGGCCGGATGGGCTCGGACTGGGACTTGTTCTTGTACTGTTTTTCAATGCGGCGCATTCGTCGGGCGGCTTCGAAGCCGTCCATGACGGGCATGGATAGGTCTGTTTTGTTTATTAGAGAAAGAAAGAAAGAAAGAGATAGAAGAGAAGAGAAGAGAAGAGAGAGGGAGAGGGAACATACCGATCAAAACGACACCAAACCGGCCTGGCTGGGCCTTGTATGTCTCGACGGCTTCAAACCCATTCTTCGCTGTTAGATAGTCGTATCCGCTCTTCTTCGTGTACACGGATAGTAACTGAAGGTTGAGGTCATTATCATCCACCAGCAACACGGACTTTCCAGTCGTGCGCTCTTCCGCATCGTCCTTGCCGGCTGACGATGGGTCAGTTCCACTGCGACTGCGACTCCCATCCCCCATGGTATCGGTAGTCGGCCGTTTGCTAATCCTCATACGCTCGTCTGGCGGATCGCTGGGATTAAGGTTCAACGGCAGATGAGACGACTCGGGCATTTCAACCCAACGCGTGGGTTCTTCAGGGTTGCTAGACTGTCCTTCTTGCTGCTCCAGCCGGCGCTTGATGCACAAGTCAAGAGCGCTAGCTAGCTTGCGCGGCCCGCAGGGCTGACTGATGAATTCGAAAATGGGCGATTCGTTGCCGCGGCTCTTGGCCGCGATGAACATGTTGTGCGCTTCTTCGGGAGATTGGCAGATTACCACGACTGGAAACCCGCAGCCCTTGTCGACGTTGTCGCCTGCTAGATGCTGGCCTAAGTTGAATAGATTGCGACCCTCGCGGTCCTCGTTGTCGAGCTCGGTCTGAACAGCTAGGTAGAAGTCGAAGGGTTGGTGCTCGCCTTGTACTGGAGATACAGTGGTAACGCTAAGACCGAACCATTCACGGCATAGCCGCTCCAGGGACGAGCACAACGTGGAATCGCGCTTCGAGCGTAGCGAGGACCCGAAACCTAGCAGGCCCATCGACTTTCCCTCAACGTGACTTCGCAGCAATTTAAACACCGACGCGTCCGACGGCGCAGGGTGGTGGGTAAGAGGAGTCCGAATAGTCATCATGGTACCAGCACCTTGGGTTGAGTTGACCTCGATAGAGCCTCCGAGAGACCCCACCGCTTGACGGACGATACTCAGACCCAGACCACTCCCCGAGGCGAGCGCATTCTCTTGTCTAAAAGGGGTGAAGAGGTCCTTCTGCAGATACTCCGGGCCAATGCCCTTGCCGGTGTCCTTGACGGTCAGGGTCACTTCATATTCCTCGGCTTCATCCTCGGAATCCGAGACTAGACGCTTCTTCTTTTTCTTCTCCCTCCGGGAGGACGTGAGTCTGATATGGATAAAGCCTGATGGTGTGTACTTGAGGGCATTGCCGAAGGTATTCATCAAGATGCGGCGCCAGGCACCGGCATGCGTGTAGAAGCCCCATTCGCTATCCTGGTCGATGTCGAAGATGATCGTAACTCGATTGCTCCCGGGGCCTGCACATTTCGATGGGGCATCACCCGCTGCTCGCGAAGAGGAATCAGTCAAGGCTGGGGGCGGTGTTTGCGGATGGTTGTAGAAACTGTAGCCTGCGAAGACGCATTCCGTCACCTCCTCGAGCACCTGGTCCAGCTGCACATCGGCATATAATGGCTTCTCGCGCTGCCGTGCACCAAAAGGAGATCGTTTCTTCTGGTACTTGTCGATGAACGTGAAATCGAGCAGGTTATTAATGGTGTCTAGCAGAGTGCGGCCGCAGGCCTCAATGGTGTGGACCATGCCATGCTGGAGGGCGTTCATCGCTGTATCACTCAGGATATCGGAGGTGCCCAGAATGCCATGGAGCGGGTTGCGGAGCTCGTGGGTGATGCTACTGACGAGATTGGTCTTGGCCTTGTCCGCAACCTTTGCGTCGAGGCGCCGGATTTCCGTCATGATGCTGTTTGCAAAGACGGAGATGTACGAGAGCTCGTTCTCGGTCGTGAAAACGCGTTCTGGACTGTTGGTCCAGACCAGGTTGACGGCGAAGCACCGGTTCTTGTCCGTGTCCCACACGGGCAACACCATGATGTTCCGGGCATCTGGAAAGATATTGATAAGATGCTCGGCGTCTTGTAGGAAGGTGGGCTTTCGCCTTCGTTTGCTGCCGGGCCGTCGCTTTTGCTTCTTAGTCCGGCCAGCGCTACCCTCGGTGCCCGATTTCTCGGATCCAGATGTAGCCTGGGAAATGCAGTCGCTGTCGTCTGAGACTGCTCGATTGGCATTGTAGGAGAATATTTTGCCCCGAGGATACCGACGGAGCAGTGAGGTGAGCAGGGATTTCTTCGCCGCGATCCCGGATCCCACCGTTGAGTTGCTATTGATACTAGATACCCTTGAGGTGGAAGATCCCAGACAGACGCAAGCCGAAGGACCATGTGGTTCCCCATCCTCATCCGAGGTTGAGGATGGTTGGCGTCGGGATGATGAAGATGAGCCGGAGTCGGTCTCCTCGTCACTGCTCCCTGTGTCCTTGCCGGATCCTGTCACTTTGCGACTCGTATCATAGACCAGGTCGCCAAATCGCTCACTATTCGGATCGAGAAACACGACCCCTTCCGCGCCAATAGACTCCCGGATTAAGTTGGCCGCACGAGAGAAGACATGCTTGATGCTGGTCGACAGCACGACTTCCTCGGGGGTCTCGTCGCCAGCAATAACGCCCCGGGCTGGCTTGGGTTTCTGTGACGACTGATCCGGTCCACCACCATTGGAGCGTCTGACTGTTTCCTGGTTGTTCATCGCGAAGGCACCGTCTCCCTCACGCCTGGGATCCCGGTACGTGAAAGTTTTTTGATCAGTGCCCTTGGCTGCTTCTTGCAAATTCTGCTGTCGCATATTCAACTGGCCCTCGACCGTCTCACCGGACTGCTCCGAGGCTGCATACTGAGCACTAGCCTCACGCCAGGAATGGCGCAGGGTGGCTCTGCCCTCGACAAAACTGCCCAGGCCCACAATCATGCGCTCGGCCTGCTGGCTATTGTGGTACTCGCGCTCCGTCACCAGGTGTCCCATAACCGTAGATGCCATATCCTTCAGGAACTGCAGAGAATGTTCATCAATGCCCTCGGGGCGTGGCGTCGCGTCGCAGATGCTGTACGCGCCGATGGCAAAACCGCGCGGACTGATGATGGGCACGGCCGCGTAGAAACGGACATCAGATAACTCGTTTAACAGCTGACCGGACTCGAACCAATCCTCCGTCACGTCCGGCACCACTACGGCGGCCCCGTTCATGACCCACCTGTCCTTGCATTCCAGGGACGGTAAGCTGGAGACCAGGTGGCAAAGGCCTCTGTCTTTGGGAAACGAACAGCACCCTAGTCGTAAAAGGTCACGGTCATCGCGGACATGGCCCCCGATTAAACTCAAGGTAGGTGTAGCCTCGGCCAACACATGCTGGTACGCGCGGTCGAAGAGCGAAATTAGGGCTCGCTGGGCGCCTAACCGGAAAGCACCCAGCTGAGCGAATGAGACTAGGGCGGTGTCTCGGGACGGCTGACATTCATGCTGCCAGTGCACGAAATTGAAACTAGAGCCAGGACTAGTATCATGGGGAAGGTACCTGCGATGGGACAAGTCAGCGATGGCATGACTCTCCTACGGCGAAATGGCCAATTGAATTATACAGAGTGCATACTTGAAGAATTCCCGCTCCTGCGCTAGTGGGAAGTAAGAATGCGCAGTGGTCCCAGCATTAGCAGCCATAACGCACAGGATACTATGGGTCTGAAGCATAGGCGACGGCCGACTACTTAAAAAGGCAGGAGCTCTGGACCAGATGAGATAAGCAATCCTGCTGGAACCATGATGTCACCATACGTCATAAGTTGCATGCCTCAGGTATGGAATGCTATAGAATCATAAAGTGTGCCCTATACTTTCTATTACATACTAGAGCTTAGAATTAGAGTTACCAGCCCCCGTCATAGCTGCAGTTATCGCCCCGAGCTCCCGCAAATGGCCTTCATAAACCCCTCGAGGCGTGGTGCTATACTTACGGCACAGATGCGCCGCTGCAGCCGTCGCAATGGCATGTTGCTCACCATTCCCCATGAACTTCGTGTTCGATCCGGCAACATGGGTAACGCTTATATGCTTACCCGCCATTATCAAGTTCGGTACGTTGACTGAATACAGGCAGCGAAAGGGAATGCCACATGGCTTCCTATCACGCTCGTTCCACTCCCAGTACTTCAGACGAAAGTCATACTTATCATTCCCTGGGTAGTGCAGACAAAACGCTCCATCATTCTGCACCACAGCATCATGGAAATTTCTGTGATTGCGGATGTCTGTCTCCGTGAGAACGTAGTCGCCTTTATATCTGCAAAACTCGCCCTGCGCGGGAACACAAGCCACCCATTCAAGCTCGAGGTTGGTATAGTTCTCGGGATCCATGATCTTGATATTCGAGAAAGTACCATAGATAGCGCGTAGGAGATGGTCGCGGATATGCTCGCCTTGAGCATACGGGTCCAACCACTGCCCGTACTCCCAGAAATGAGTGAGCGGTCCCTTCATGCGCCGCCGGATCGAGGGATCTGGAGGAACGACCATTGGACCAGGGCCGTTCTCGATCCCGGGTTTTGTGAGCTGCCCGCGTAGGTCTGAGAAGTCTTTGGCGACTTCAGTGGCCCATGGGACGGTGGGGAAAGAGATAGGTGCGTCTGCCATGGGCGTGCGGAAGAAGAGGGTGTTTCCGTGGTACATGTTGTCGGCTTGGGCTGGGGCTAGGTTCTCGCCGTACTCTGCCTGTGATTCTTGGCCATAGAGCGTCTGCGCCTGAGTACATTCCTAGAATCGATTTCCCCGAGCAGTCGATGAAAGAAGCCGCGGCCAGGCGAATCTCGCGTGCACTGCGGGCATCGCGGGCATCGACTGACGCGATGCGGGAATCCGCAGTAACCACAGCATCGTAGACAGTATGCCCCAGAAAGACGGTAGCATTAGGCTCAGCGTCAAGCAAGTTTTTCGCATACAAGTCTCCGCCCGGGTGACGCTCCGAAATCTTGTCGATTAGTGGCCCCGTTACCCCACGGGGACGAAGACCAATCTCTACGCTTGCGTTCCCGCCCAAGTACGGGCGGTTGTGGACAAGGGCCACCCGCTCGCCTAGTCGGGCTGCTGCCAGTGCGGCAGCAGCCCCGACAACTCCGCCTCCAACCACGACTACATCAAAGACCCCTGCGTCGACCGGCTGTTCGGGCATACCACGAAGACAACGCCGCCATGCTCGTGGTGCCTCGTCCGGCGGAGCTTGTCCATCGAGATTTAAGTAGATAGCATCACAACGTGCGCAGAAACCGGTCAAATCATGCAGCGTGAGTCTCGCCCGACCCGCGGGCAGAGATACACGACCGCCAAACTCTGGTCACGGACTGCCATTGGCGGTTCGCAAATTCGGACAATGAAGTCAAGATAGTCCTCCTATTCGACATCCCCCAGACCGAGGCCTCTCGCGTGGTAATATAGGACACCCAATCTACCACCTTTATCTTCTTCCGTAGCTCTGCTGCCAACTCCCTTCGCACCCGCGGCATCCACTTCAGGTGGCTCTTCTTCAACATTTCCTGCACCTCCCCCTGCGCCAGCAAGGGTTACTTCGTCCTCACGATCGACATCCGGTCAGGCAGCCGATACAGCCGTGCTGCGACCTTTCGTCGCCCAAGAGGTCGTGGTGTACCCCGGAGTTGTCAACGGCGCTCCTCTGAGGCTCCCGTTCGAAGCTGTCATGCGCCGTGGGCCATCGCCTAACACCCCATATTGTTAAGGTCATTGATTGTCAAAAGATTGTCACTCACACATAGCGTTGACTAGTTAACTAATCTTCTTAGTTACCTTTCCCTGATCCTCAGGAGGCAAATGATACCCGGAATATCTTGTCCTTTTTCTCTCTTCTTCTTCTTCTTTTTTTTTTTTTTTATCTGACCAGACTAACTACTGTTATCAATTTCTAATTCTTGTTCGAACTCGGTGGTTACGTCAATGATGCAATGGATGTATTTGTATTACATCAAGAAAACACATCCTGTTATATGGTTTAGTCCGTATATGTACATGTACGCTTTGTATACCCCTGCCCTGCCGCGAGAAAGAACATATCCCGTATAAGCGTTTTGCAGGGTCACAATCACGGAGTGGAGTTGAGGCTACATATGTGGAGGGCGTGGTTGTTCCCGTGACCAGCGTCGATATTGTACTTCTTTCGGAACCCCAGCCAAGGAATCAAAAGTAGACTCAACAAAGCCGGCGATTAGCCTTAGCGATTATCCGGCAAGTTTCCATTTACTCACATTTACCTTACTCTGCTCCATAAGCAAAGCCGAAATAGAATACATTCTCGCTAGTGCAATAAAGCAATCCGGATTATTATGTACAGCCTTGCCTTCCACCACCATGCTGCCAGATATGAAACCCCTCCACATGATATTAAGACCGCCGGTCACACGACATCAACCAGCAATGCCGGTCCGGCTGAAAAGAAAGCACTCACAGACTCAATCCCCCTTGGCGTGGCATAAAACCTAGGGGTATCCATACCCGTACCGAAAGGTGTGACCGTATAGACTAACGAGACCCCCATCTTGGCGTCATCCCCCCAACCGGCTTCCTCGCCACCGGATCAAGCATCCCAGGACTCGGCGACCTTCCTCCCTGCAACCTTGCCCTCAACCGTTCCTGCGCAGACGACGCCCCCGAGCCAGACCCCGGAACGGTCTGATACGACCCCGTGCGCTGACTAGGAAGTGGTCTCTCCCCAGCCGGCTGTCCAAGACCAGGCGACAGCATCGGCGATGGAGAAGCGTTCGTAGGCCCCGCGGCAGCGGGAGCACTCACAGCGGCTGCCAACGCCGCACCAGAAGCATTGGGCGTCGACCGACCCCGACGGAGACTTGCGGTCTGCGAAGCCGCAGGTTGAGGGGATCCCGTGTCGCCCCAGAGGTCGCCCAGGCCGCCTCCTCTTCCGTGGCTCGACGCGGCGGGGGGTTGTCCAGGGGCACCGGGGGGAAGTTGGGTTGTTGCGACGACGCGGGTTGGTTGGGGTGGGTTTGGGTTCTTGGGGTCTGGGGGGAGCCAGGCTGGGAAGGGATAGGCTTTTTCGACGTAGTAGGCGCGTAGGACGTTGGAGATGTGGGAGCAGTCTTCGTTGTCGGGGTCATCGGCTTCGTCGCCTAGTGTGATTGCGCGACGGAGGGAGTTGAGGCGTGTGCCTAGGTTGGAGATGGCGTTTGAGGAGGTTAGGGATGAGAAGTAGGATGTCATTGTGGTGGTTTATTAGGGGTCCGTCTGTTGAACCAGTTCAACGAGAAACGAGATGTGTCGAGGAGTGTCGATGAGGGGCGGCTAGCGACTAGACGTCAAGCAAACGCAGAAACAGCAATCAATGGGTATCCAGTAGTCAAGAAGCAATGGAGTTCAATGTTATGGACAAGTGGACAATTGCCAGTCTGAGACTGGAAAGGAGTAAAGTGCTTCAAGTGTATTGCTCCAGGAAGAGGTTATGATCTCCGTCGAGCCACCGTTTCAGCGGAGTGCACGTGATTTGTTTCCTGAGGCAAACAACGCTATACAAGTGAATTGTTATGGACAAACAAAATTATAACAGAACAATTACATTGAAGTAGTCCGCCAATAGACATGGGCAACAGGATGTATATGCAATACCTGGGTATGAAAATCCCAATCGCAGCAGTAACAGTAGTAGCAGCAGTAACCGACCAACGCCATGCGCATAACCAACAAAACTTTTCTCTTGGTCCTCGATGTCCTTCCGTATGGTGGGGAGGGCCTACGCCATGACGTTCTCCTTGCCTGCACCCTCCGTCTCGTACTCGATCTCGACCTTTGGTCCCTTCTTCCGGGGCTGCGCGCGAGGAGCAGGACGCTTCCTCTTGCCAGGCAGGGGCTTCTTCTTCTCCTCCTCGCTGTCCTCGTCGCTGCCAGACTCGTCTTCACTGCCGTCCTCCTCACTATCATAGTCACTCGAACCGGCAGACTCATTACCCAACCAATCCTCCATATCCTCGAGATCCTCATCAACATCACTAACATACTCGACCTCCCCAACACCCTCCTCCTCCTCCTCCATATCCTCAATCCTCTCCCCATCATCCAAATCTTCATCCCTCTCACCCTCACCCGACCTCTCCAAACCCCTCAGCACCTTCTTCCAAATCCCCTCCTCCACATTCAATGGCCGATCCCCATACGCCCCACTCCTCAACCTCTCAATCAACTCCCTCTCAATCGCCCTCTCCACCTTCGCCGCACTAGCCGCCTTCCTCTCCCTCGTCTCCTCACGCCTCCTAATCTTCGGCGCCAACTTCGGCACAACAGTCTCCTCAATCATCCCATCCTCCTTCTCCAACTTCTTCATCCGAATAGACACCTGCGTCAGCCTCGTCAGACGCTGCTTGCACTTATGCACCAGGAACTTGGGCCAGTAGATGAGGCGCTCGTCGAGCTGTTCGAGGGCTTTCGCGTAGTTGGAGGAGAGGCGCACGCGCTCCCACCATTTGCTGGGCATGTGGGCGCGTTCGACGGTCTTGGTGTAGAGGTACATGGCGCCTGTTTCGGGGTCGGAGCGCACGGTTGCGTAGCGGGAGTTGGCGAGGGGGCAGGATTGGCGGTTGCAGAGGCCGCTGACGTTGTATTCATTTCGGCAGAAGTTTTGTTCTTTTGTTGTTCTATTCTTTTATTAGCTTTTGGTCTAAGTTGAGTTTTTTGGGGGGAAGGAAGCGCACTTGAGCTTGTAAGAACAGAATTGCTGGTTAATAACCTGCCAGACAATTTCGTCCGACGACATCTTGTCTTAATATGGGTCCGGTATTACCGGAAGACCTGATTACACTTTAAACGTGGTGGATAATGGTGGTTTCGAGGATGGTTTTGCGCTGCGGAAAAAATCTAGAGAAAAAAAAGTTGCTGCGGTGATCAGTCACGTGAGGCACTGATAAGGCTTATCGGGCCGCTTTGCAGGCCGCTTCAGAGGCGGCGCATTTCTAACCTGCCTGCATATTGGGAATGATGTTTTTAATACAGTGCTTAATGATTGGAGCATTTAAAAATGGAGTTGTATAGCTCATTATCTACAGTCATCACATACAGAATAGAGTCCTTCCTCATATCTACTCCGGAGTACGGCTACCACCCCTCCATCTGCCCTCCATACGACCCATGCATCGGCACCGATCCCTCCCACTCCCCATTCCCATGCATCATAGGCGGCGCCGTCAACTCCCCCTCATCCACTCCCCCAAATCCATCATCCCCCCCAACACCCCATCCCATACTCTCCAACTCCCTCGTAAAGAAATCCCTCTCCTCCTCCATCATATTCGCGCCCTCGTCGCCGCCCATGACATCTGTGTATCGGCGCAGATGCCACCAGTGCGTCAGACCGCGCAGGGCTTGTTCGAGAGGAAGCGCCTGGTCGACTTCTGCGTCGACGTCGGAGCCCGCGAGCCAGTCGTCGCGGAGTTCGGGGCGGCAGTAGAGGTAGATTGCTGTGATGACGCGCATGTTGCTTTGGCGCCATTTGCGGCCGCAATAGGGGACTTGCGACTTAAATAATTTTAGGGTGTAGAAGCGGAGGTGCGGGTCTGGGATTTTGAGGCCCTTGCGGAGGATTGTGCTGGATTTGTACTGCACCAGCAACAGGCAGCGGTGGGCTTTGTCGCGGGTGATCTTCTGCATGATGTGCAGGAAGTTGATAGCGGAGAAGAAGTTGCGGAAGGAGAAGATGGTGATGGGCTCTTTGGGTGGTGGTGCGGTGGGGTGGCCTAGTTCGTCGACTTCAGGGCGGCTTTGGCCTTCGATGAATTCGGGGACGGGTTCGTGTTCTTCTGGGGATGGGGCGCGCTCGGGGTCTTGATCTTCTCGGTATCGGGAGATGGGTGGTGGGATTGCTTCGTCCTCGCTGCCGGCGGATTCTTCGTCGGAGTTTCCTGGGAATTCATCTGGGCAGTCTGAATAGACGCGACAGAAGTGGAAGAACCTGATGGTGTTAGTGATGCTATTGGATCAGGGTGCGATATACTCACCCTAAATCATCACGGTCATTCTTCTGCGCGACCGCTTGATCAATGTCTTGATGAGCAAACATCTTCAAGACCAATGGCAGGTAGTTCGAATCGAGCAACAGCTGCGTCATGTACTCGAACTTCAATATGTCTGATAAAGGTTAGCAGGGTACACGACGAAATCGCGAAAGTCAGTCTTACGAGATCTCTTGAACCACTTCAGCAGAAGCAATAGAGACCCGGAGATTGCCTTTCCAGTCACCTCCCGGAGTCGGATGTTGTCGAATTCGTCAATAGCAACTTCAGCAAAAGTGTTCTGCCCAACTGGAAGGCCTTGAACCGAGCCGTATCCATCGCTAAGGCCATTAGAACATGTTCATACAGAGTGACTGATAACTCACCTCATCATGCTCCCGTTCTGACCATTCTGGCCAACGACAGCACTGACGTTCGTCAAGATAATCTTCAAAAAGACTATCGTAATAGACTGCAGATGAACCAAAGCTTGTGTCTAATAATTGTAAGCACAGTGCTCATGCCGTATGACCAGAGAAACTCACGTAAAACGATTCAACAGCATCAAGCCGCCCTTGAGTATCCCCATTACAAGTCTCCCTCTCCGAAGGCCACTTGAACTTAGGCTTCCTCTCCAACAGCGACAAATCCCCCAAGTTCTCAGTAGTCTCCTCCAGATCCAGGTCCGGAGGCTCAGTCGTGTCATCCAAATTCCAGCCACGGTCGTATTTCATAAACCGTTCCCGCTCTTCCCATAACTGGCGCATGGCTCTCGTCATCTTCACATGGCTAGAGAACAGCTTTCCAGCTTCGATGATAGAAGCGGGCACGTCGCTGCCGTCCCATCGCTTTCCCACCAGCGTATCCTGGCGTTCAGTCGTGCCCTTTCCGCCGATGGAGTTGCTGGAATCGTCGAGTGGGGGGTACATGAAGGGGAAGTTTTGGTTGGTTTGGTAATTCTGCTTCTTCGCTGCCTTTCCGCCTGGTCCGATGGGTGATGGTGGGGGAGAAGGCGCGGGTGTTGCAATGTGCACTGATTGGTGGAGGATTGAGCCATTACCGCCTGACATAGAAGGGCCGACACCAGAGAACAAGCTGCCTGAACTACCTGCTCGGTTGGGATGTTGAGGGAGAGGAGGAAGTATGGAATTGTTCTCTAATTCCACAGGAACCACCGCGGGAGGTGGGCTATATGCAGGGTACTTCGATGTAATCTCTTGTCGGAATAGATGGTAGTCAAGAGGCGAAGCAGTAAGAAAAGGAGTCCGCCTCGACGGGTCACTCTTGTTCGCCTCGTGATCTGGTTCCAATTCCTCTTTCGCCTTTTTCAGGTGATCGGTACCGCCAAAAAGAAGGAGCATCGACTTCCAGAACAAAAGGATAATCCTTGTAAGCGGTACATTCGCAGACTCATCCCATCGTAGTCGCGCAATGATCTCAACGAGGAATACCAATAAGTCTGGCTTCGACTCGAGAAGCACGTCCCTCACAGGTGTTTGCTGAGGGTCTTGTGCTTCTTGCCTTCGACCAACCTCGACAATCAGATACAGAGCCGTGAGTACTAGATTTGCTTCACGCTCATATGCCGCGAGAGAGGCGGGATTGATGTTCTCAGGCTCAGCGCCTTCAGAATCCGAGTTGGATGGAGTGCGTTGTTTCTCAAAGATGCGCGCAAAGTATTCAAGCAGCATCCCGATACCAGAGCATTCCTGGATCAAATTGACACTGGTTTCAATCCACTGGATTTGCAAGGACTTGAACTTGGGAGTCTGCTCAACGGTTCGCGGGGATAGATCTTCAGGGTATTCCGGCACAGCTCGTCCAGCCGTAACACCCCAAACTCCAGTCAATGCATAGCAAACCGTTTCCAAGGCCTCGATGCGCGCATACAAATCATCATTCCGCAAGTCCTTAAGCGCCTGCTCCACAAACGACTTCCGCACACCATCATCAGTCTCAAGCCAAGCCAGCGGCCCAGCAATAGAAATCTGACCCTGGGAGAAAACATGCCACCTATGCTCAAAAGATGACCTCATCCCCATTAGCATAACACGATCAAACTCATTATACTGAAACCATTCCTCAACCTCCTCCACAAACGGCTGCACATCCGCATACTCAAAAGCATACGCCGGCTGCTCAACTCTGGGCATCTCCTGCATCAACCGCCTCAGCTGAGCCAAACTCAGCGAATCCGGCGCCCTCTGCTCATTCTGATGAACAGGAGCCGGCGGCGGAGGCTGCAATGGCGGCGGGGGGGCTGAACTTTCCCGACGCAGTTCTGGCCGCTTGGGTCTCCCAGTTTGTGGCGGGAGGTCAGTTGCTGCAGAAGTGTTGTTTTGGGTAGCTTGTTCTTGGCGTAGGCCTTCGGCTACTTCTTCCATCAGCTGTTCGTCGGGGACAGGGCTGATATCGGCGCCGGTTTGGTCCACTTCGTCGGCTTTGACGAAGTGGTGTTCATCCATGCCTTCGGATGTGACCGGTGGGTCATCCATTTTGCTTTTAACAAAAGCACGCTCTTGGGACAATAGAACGCTAAAATCGAGTAATATCGGGGTATCTCAAGAATCCAAATCGGGAATATTAAGGAGTGGGGTGTGGGAAACCTAGAATCAGCGGCATCTAGTTTCTGGTACCTTTAGAAAGCCCGCAAAGAAGGCATCCTATTCAATTATGCCTTAATCAGCTTTGCTGGCGACAGATACTCGTTTCGTGGTGGATGAATTTGTTGTGAAAGTGAAGTCGGCGAACCACGTTATCGGTTATAAAGTCACGTGATCAATACGCGTATGGCCAAACAGTGATAATCATGGGATAAATTGTACTTGGTGTTTATTTACGATATGCTAGAAGATTGTAGTGCTTTAGGTGTATGGTTACTAGAATTATACTGATAGTAGGGGTATCATTGCGTCAATTAAGTAGCTATAGATCCTTCAAAATATATAAAGGAGATGACATCCTAATCTATGCATCACTCCGTCTTGGAGGAGTTACTACCTCCACGATTCAACTTCCGCTTTGCTTTCCATTGTTGCCATCCGGCCTCAGCAAGGTCTTGACTTACCACCAAGTCGCGAATCCGACAGAATTGAACTACGGGCAGATCCAATGCCCAATCGATCCAACCATAGGCGCGCAAGTACCCCGTAACAAAAAACCAAGCAAACGCAAGTACTGTTCCGGCAGCACATCCGGCCAAAACCTGCTTGGGAGTGTGGTAGTTCAGATAGATGCGGCTGATAGCAACACCCGCGGCACCAACGCACAATGCGGAAGCGAGGATCGCCTGGACCAGATAGGAGGAGATAACCCGGGAAGTTGAGTAGGTGAATGAATGCCGGAATAAGAGAAAGAGAGCTAGGTAGACGGCGAAAAAGGCGACAAATTGCGCGTGGGATGATGGCATGCCGTAACCTTTGCCAAACATTTCTATCCACCGTCAGTACCCATCGACACCGTAACATATATGGCATCGCGACTGGAACAACATACGTTTCGGTCGTTCTTCCTTGATTATCCGTTTCATAACGAAGTTTGAAACCTCACACCCCATTTGACCAGCAAACATCAATAACACCTCCGCTTCCCGCGTGGCCCAGATGAGGGTCACGTATGCCACACATAGCGCTTGGGGAACGAGGGCGAGCCAGGCAGATAGGTAGGACAGAGGATCTGTGGGATTCTATGCCGGTCAGCTGTGTACTCCCGAGTCTTGATGTCGATGATCTCGCAAAGCAACTCACATAGTGTACGTGGGTCAAGGACAACGAAGCCAATGGTGTTTCCTCCATTTTGATGTGTTTCCCTTTTGTTCCCTTTTTTATCTGAACTGCAGTTTGGATGTATTACTGACTCGGAGCGATCGAGTTCGCGGAACGGGATGGACGGAGTGACTGGTCGGATTGGAGGTGTGATACCGGGACGTCAAGAGCAGTGCACATTAGCCAACTGGCATTCTGGAGCAAACAAAGTGATGCGACCTGAAATCCACCCGCAGACTGCCAGCAATTCGCGTGGCGTTGTAAATGGTGCAGTAATATTAGTAGTGTACAGAAGAGAGACAGCAGTCCGGTCCGTGCAGGTGGCTGCTTTATCCAGTTAAAGCGGCGGGGAAAGAGGGGGAGGGGAGGTACTTTGTATAATTGTACTGGCTTATGGCAAAAATAAAATATCTGTTATATAGCAAAAAGCAACGATAAAAACTCGTAGAGTGTGATCTGTATGAGGTACTTGCCAGTAATGCTCAGGCCCAATTGATGCCCATCACCAGCGCATTTTGTCCAAGTATCGGAATGACTCGTATTATCCTTTCCTCTCTCGGCCTCCGTGTCTCTTTCTCTCACTTTCTACTTTACCTCAGCTTCATCCAATTCTCTCCTTTGTCCTCGCCTCTTTCCCTTCGTCTCTTTCTCTCCTCTGTTTCTCCTTCTCAAACCATGACGCATTTCTCGCCGCGATTGTCCTCTGTTGCATTCTTGAAAGCTCCCACTCCGTCCATCATCCCACTGACATCGTTGCGCTCCCATCACTCCTCCGGCTTTCTCGTCGCGAAAACAGCTCCTTTGCCTCCGTGATCGCGTTATTGCCAGCTATAAAACCTTGAAGGGTGTTCGTTGTTTGGTAAACCACAATCCGCTTCATTGTTTCCCAACGGTTCCCTGTTGCCACATCACTGCAGCGAAGATCATTGGCTAACGAAGATCCTCTTACTATTAGTATCGCTCTCGATAGTACAAGTTCCGTCTCTCCTCTCCTCAATCCTACGCTCGAAGATCATAATCGAACAAGCGACGGTTCTTGGGGAAGCAATGTTCTGACACCACGCCGGCCATTTAAAGAAGAGTTTGCGTTGCCACCGGCCTCACCGTATAACTTTTACATACACTGGACGGCCTGCTATCGCCCGTGGTCAGCGAGATAAATCTTACAATGGACGACTTTCTCCCCGAAGACGACCGCTCCGTCGAGCTGTCCTCCGTTGCGGCCATCTACCCCGAAATCGATATCGATCCTTCGTTTCCCTTCAAAGCGTCTCTAGACCTTCCGGTGGTACCTTCGAAGCCGTTACATGTTTCCTTTCAACAGCCAGATGTCGAACCCCCAGACGTCATTACACCTCCTACCTCTGTCGACGGTGAGCCTGGCTTCGAATCAGCCAAGGCTGGATTAGAAACTTCAGCCGACCCGACCAATGAAGTCCATGTTATCTCCTACCTTCCCCCGTTGAGCCTCGAGATCGAACTCCCAGAAGGGTACCCATCCGAAAAACCACCTAGTTTCAAAATCACCACCGACCCTTCCTGGTTACCGTCGTCGATTACGACAAAACTCGTAAATGACGGCGAGGCCTTGTGGGAGGAATGCGGCAAGGATCTCGTGGTGTATACCTACATTGACCACCTTCAGCAACTTTCGGAGACGGTGTTTGGAATTGACGATATCCCAGACGGAGAAGTACAATTCCCGCTTCATCTCAAGGTTGCACTGCTAGACTACAATAGCAAGGCTCAACGGGAGGAATTCGAAAAAGGGACCTTTGAGTGTGGTGTGTGCCTGGAACCGAAGAAAGGTGTGGATTGCCACCGTCTTCTGCATTGTGCCCATGTTTTCTGCGTACCGTGTCTCCGGGACTTTTACAACACTTGCATTGCGGAGGGAGATGTCGAAGGCGTCAAATGCTTGGACCCAGACTGTGGCAAAGAACAGTCTTCTGAGGCGCCTACATCGGGAAAGAAGCGCAAGAAGAATAACCGAACCCTCAGCCCCGCAGAGCTGCTGCAGATCCCGTTGTCGGAAGAAACTGTGCAGCGGTACGTTTTTATGAAAAGGAAGAAGAAGCTGGAGGCGGACAAAACTACCGTTTACTGTCCTCGCCAATGGTGTCAGGGCGCGGCTCGATCAAAGAAACACCCCAAGCCGACTGACCCCATGTCGGATGATTTGGACGCTTCAGATGAAGACGATGACCAGGTTCCTTTCGACCCTCTTGGAGAGGAAGCCCAATTACCACCAGTATCGGAGCGTCTATCCATTTGCGAAGAGTGCGAGTATGCATTCTGCTGCGTTTGCAAGAAGGGCTGGCACGGCGAGCTTGTACGATGCTTCCCACGTCGGGACGCAGAATTGACAGCCGAAGAAAAGGCCACAGAGGAGTATCTGAGACTGTACACCTCAGTATGCCCGACATGCAACTCTCCTGTTCAGAAGCAAATGGGCTGCAACCACATGATATGCTTCACATGCAATACGCATTTCTGCTACCTGTGCTCGAGCTGGTTGGTGGAGGACAACCCGTACCGGCACTTCAACGATATCAACAGCGAATGTTACAATCGTCTTTGGGACCTGGAGGGTGGCGACGGCGAGAACCCTGTCGGAGCAGAAGCTCTCCACCAACTCCCAGCGGAGTTCCTCGAGTCAGACGATGAAAGCGACGGCGAGAACATCGCATGGGAATTCGACGATAGCGACGATGACATTCGCCGACAACCCCCACCACCCGCTCCATTCCCTCCACGCGCTGGCGCCGGTAACCGTGACCGAGGTCGCGACGCTCTCCTCGACGCAGCAGGTCGCGCCGCAGCAGCAGAGCGACAAGCGCAAGCACGAGCAATGGCAGAACTCCGCGGCCGTGACGGACAAGCCCAACAACCCCGCCAAGGGCCGATCCGAGGCCTCCAGCGGTTCTTGGATCTTGTCCAGAATGATCGTGAAGATGAGTGGGATAGTGATGAATTAGATGATGATTTCTGAGTTTCTTTTCTGTTGGCTTCGGTGAACTTATAATTTGGACGTGGGTTACTTGTTTGAGCATTTTGTTTGGCGGCATAATTACTCGTTTCGATTAGCGATTTGGTTTGGCATTGCATGACTTTATGAGATAAATAGCATTGTACACAATTATACCGGTTCTGGTTCTGGTTCTGGTTCCTTTTTTCTGATCCTTGGATGCTTTGAAATCTGCGAAGAGTGTGCCGGACAGCATTTAGCGTATTCAAAACATAAGAGGCACGCACCCCCAAGTCCAGCGGTCCTTGTACGGAACCAATCCATGTTGACACACCCTTATATCCGCTTAATGGATGAAGCAATTAAGGTCTATTGGAAGGTAGGTGATGGTCGGGGTCTACTTTAGGTCACTTCAATGCGAGTAGAAGAATAAAACTTTATACTACGAGGCACCGGATGTGTGTATCACTCAAGCAAGACCTCAACAGCTAAATAGCGGATCTATGACCCTAGGTTCTTCATCACCAAATCAACAAGCTCAGCTAGACACGAGTAACCTCATCCTTCATTCCTCATTTCAAGGCGCTGTTGCTCACTACCGGCCAATCGCGAAGAAACCTCCCCAGCAGCAATACCACCCAGAAAAGCCGTCAACCATCTTGTACTGCGATCACAAAAGGGATTTAACCCGAGAAAAAGACTGGTCGATCGAGAGCCCGAGACCGTGCAGGTTTCATCTAGAAGATAGTGTCCTGATGTTGTTGCTTCCACCACTGTCCAGGTTGTCAGGTACTAGGGCCTGTCCCAGAATGATTCTGGCTCCTCTATGCAGGATGTCACGGATGTTGAGGGCTGGGGGGGGGGGGGGAGTTGAACATGCATTCCACCCCATTTGAAGGTGGAGGAGAGAAAACGGTTAAGAAAGTCACTGCAAGCGATATCCATCTCTAATATTCTTTAATATGAGCAGAGAAGAGTCTTTTCCCTTATTAGACACCAATTCAGTCAACCTTCTCTTGGAGGCACTAAGAGGAGACATCAACCCCGGATTATTCTTCTCTTCAGGGTGTGTACGTATCTGAGCCTGGTACATCAAGGTTGTTACCGTAGCTGATTCGTACATCGATCCTCTGCCGAACAAGGCGAATTGTGAAAGAATCGGGTGTTCACCATTGGATGACTGTAGAGAAGAATCCTTCCGGTAGCTTCGTGTTTCTCGTTGGGTCCTGGAGCCCATGTTCTGAACATCCTAACAGTTTAATTGCCATCTTCGAATGCGTACACACGGGTACCGATGTGCTGTTGGATGATCTAGACGCAATCACACACGAACTGTGCAAGCGTCGACTGAGCGGGCCATGTCAGCGCGGTAATACCTCTTTGCGCCATGGGATACGATGTCGGACTTCCAGATCGCACGGGTCCCGTCAAATTTTGATGAACAGACAGCTCGCAAATGGTGGTCAAGAAAATTCACCGAGCGGACCATTCCTTGGCCGAGTGCCCCATATACTATGACCTGGGCCAGGACGTAGTTGTATCATGACTCTTAAGGATCGGTGATGATCGTTGGAATTAGACCGCACGATTCAGCAAAGGACTGAACCGTGTCGAGACACGTTTGTGAAGATGACAATCGCATAGCATGTCTAGGAACATTTCTTCTGGGAGCAAGAGGCATTGGATCAAACGACACATACGGTGCAGCCTGGTTGTATTGACGTTCGAAAACGACGCATCAATCTTCTTCTCATAGTACTGTAAGTATATCAGCTTCGAATGTCTCATGCTGAGCATAATAACTCAATGATAACTACCAAAGATCATTGCAGTTGCCTGCCATTCTGACGAACGCAAATTCTTCTTCCGTCATTTTCGCGAGTCTATTTGTAACGTCCGTTCTATATTTATATGAACCATTCTCTCGCGAGGATTAGCAGTGTAGGTTCAACACGGGTTTGATCGAGCGTTTTATGGTATGTCGTTGAGTTTGTTCGTAGTGACACGGTTCATTATATCTAGCCAGTTGTATGTGCTTGCTCGACGAACCAAGCGAGCATGTGCCCTAGTAGATGCTTAGGCTCGTTTATCGCAGGAACGTTGTGCCCGGTTTTTTTCGAGTATGCCATGACTCCGGCGAGCCTATGTATGCTGAACATGGGTGTGGTCATGCTCTAAGCTGTATATGGTCTGGAGGTGCAAAATAACTGGCTAGTGAGTTCTCAGACATATCCTGATAAATCAGATGGAGGGAGGTGTTGACGATAGATTAGCTGAGATAAAGGTCGTAGAGAAAGGAATGAGGTCGAAAACAATAATTCAATAGAAGCAGTGAAAGACAACTATGTACACCATTCACTGATACCAGCACAGTGCTATTGATCTAACTTAATGAAACAGATACAAAAAACAATGTACAAATAAGCCACCCCACTGTACAATGTAAACCAACATATACACATAGTAACTAAGGAACAAGACACTCATCCTCAACCCCACCGGGACTCCTCCCATCATACCAAAATTCATAGCTCATAACCGTATGATCAGCGTACATGAGCAACAACCGATACCTCCTTGACGGATACCAGCCCCGCCAGCTCTCATCCGGCTTGTAAACCCGGCTAGCTTTCGCGTGGCATTCGGGGAGTGTAAGCGGGGGTACGTGTTTGTTTCCAGGATCATCGGAGTCTGGTTCAAGGTCATAGAACCATTCCGGTGGTTCGGTTTGGTCGTGGTGAAATGCATCTTTTGAGGGTGGGTTGTCGACGCCAGGGAGGAATTTGTAGTGGAAGGTTATTTCGTCGTTTTCGCTGACGTCGCGGGGGATGTAGGGTACGTCTGGGGGCATTTCGAAGCCCTGGATGGGGCTGACGCTCATGCCGAGGAGGGGGATGAGTGGTCGGTCGCCGTATTTCTCCTGGCTTTCGAATGGGACGATCCAGTCTACCCGGAAGGCGACTCCGGTTTCTTCGGATTCTGTAAGCTGGATCACGGCTGCGCGGCCTTTTTGAGATGCGGCGACGATGATACCGTGTTCGGGGATGTATTTGATCATGTTGAAGCGGTCTGATGCACGGATTGAGACGATTGGGTGTGTGAATGGTTGTCCTAAGGGCGCGCCGCAGACGACGCTTGGGACTAAGGCTAGCGGGTGGCGGATCAAACGGATATCGGTCTGCGAGAAGTGGATGATGGGGAATTCGCAAACGGTGAGAGCTGGTACCGGTGGAAGAGGCATTAGTCTCTCCGTTGGCCCGTCATGGTCATAAGGGGAAGAGTCATCTGGGAAGGCATCACGCAACATACGATCGAATACCTCGTATGCGAGAGACGATTCTTGCGACTCGCTACCATGCGAGCGATTGTCGTCCACATCGTCATAGTCTGAGTGATCCACATCCCTATCATCGTAATATCCCTCAGCTACAGGCAGCTCGCCACCAATTGCTTCAAAGAGGGCGAATCGTAGAAACTCCGCGGTATTTAGGGGTCCGTTGCCAGTTGGACGAGGAATGTTTGCTCGGGGAGTTTGCTCTATCCCGGAATCTCTAGCATCTTGCGCGGGTTCTGCGTCCAGGTCAATATCGGTATCACTATCGCTGTCCTGATTCGTATCCCCTTCTGGGAGCGAATCATCAACAGCCCGGAAGCTGAAGGAATCAGTGACGCCTATGGGACGGAGATTTTCGACGACAGCGGGGTTGTCACTAGTGTCTTCTGTTATTGTGCCATTTTGTTCATCGGCATATGTCGAGTCGTCCTTTAAACTTTCATGCTTTGCGTAGGTGTCTTTCCGGGTGCTAATGCGACAATCCTGGTCGAATATATCGGGTAGCACTGGTTGCTCAGGCTCCACCTTAACCGCAGGAGGAAAGTAGTTGTACAACTGCGATGCATTTGGCACTTTGCTGCTTAATTTCGTCAAGTCAAGAACTCTCAGTCCTTCCGCCGTATGGCGCTGGGGCACACCCCCACACGCATCTTCTCTGGTCTTGACGCGATGAAAGCTGCGAGGGTCAAGGGCTATCACGGCCCAGCCACGTTCAACACTGGTTCAGTTAGCATACTTGGATTCTCAAGCTCTTCAGATTATCTTACTCATTTTGTAATGAATGCGCGAACGACTGAAAGGAGAAACTGTTGAAATGGTAAAAGTGAAACGGGATCAGGCCTTCCCAGATCTTCCAAACAAGAACCTTGTTATCGATATCAGTGCTAACCATCCACGCGCCGTTAGGATCAAGGTCACAGTTGAGGAAGGAGACGGAAGGGATATTGGTGAAATGTCCGGTATACGTCAATTTGACATTCCGCGTGCGATGGTTTTCCGGCATAAACTGTCGCAGCTGTGAGAACTGCGTGTCATTCTTTATTTCCAGCCATGTCTGGTCACAATCGGAAAAGTCATCATTTTCTTCCAGAGGATCGCCCGAATTCCTGCTCTTTTCAGAAGTAGGGTTGACAAGTGCGAATGCGAAAACAGTGATAAGTCCCGTGTTTGCCGTTATAGCGATCAAGCGGGCGTATTTGTGGATAGCCAAGCCCCATGCGCTGGCTTCAACGAATTCAACAAAGAAAGGATCAACCTGGGAATCGTCAAGTGGGCGCGTCTGCTTGTTCTTCGCTGCACGCACTAGGGCTGACCAAATAGCTTCTACTCGATATGCGCAAACATTCCCAGAGTCAGTCCCAAGAAGCAGGACCTCCTCCCGGCCTAAATCATCCACAAGAAGACTGTTAACTGCGTGTGGGAAACCGGGTGCTATGTAACCAGGACTTTGCGGACTCTTCATAACCGGGTTAATGATCATTTCAGGCTTGGACCCCAGTACCTGAAATGACCCCCGAGGTACCCAGACATAGATCTGCTGGAGGTATGCCACAAACAGTAAATTGCGGCGTTGAGAGAGCGCAACCTTCCGTCAGTCAGCCTCAGAAGCAAACATGAGCGGAACCCAAACTCACCAGATTGTTCCGCCAAGTTGCAGTCCGAGGAGTAACTGCGTCTCCCGCACTGAGATGACAATTCTGGTCAGTAAATATAAAGGGAGTAGTAGTTGCTGGACGGTCACGGTAGAGACATACGGAGAAAACTAGTTCAAGAGTCAGCCTCAGCCATACTATGCATGAAGAATCTGCTACTAAAGTAGCCTACCAGCTGCAAATACCGGGGTCCTACATACCCTTTTCGCGCCCTTCTCGACATTAAGCGCCTTCATATGTAGTCCAACCCAAGGCCGGTTCCTCGACGTTCCCTCAGCGCCATCATGCGACGCCATTTTTGGAAGCGCTAGACTGCTATAACAGTCAATGGGAGAATTAGAAATGTTCTGCCCTCGCTGAAATACCGGAATATCCTAACGCGAAAAGCGAGTGAAAAAGTGACGGTGAACAAGTGAGGTTGCTCATGTCTTGAGCACGAGGGGTATTTATTCCGCTGTTATATGTATCAGAAGTGCACTGAAATCCTGCGATTCATCACCTGAAAGAGCCACAGTGAGCATCCACAGGCCCCAGCGAAGCATAACAAACAGCAACAGGGTCGAAATCCATGAATCCGCGGGATTGCGTTGGTTGATTGCCAAACGAACCGTCGTCCATCGATGAGGTCAACGGGCGGATCGGCGTATGCCTCAGGTGTGCACGCCTTGCGCACGTGCCACTCAGCCTATTGCAGAAGCTGTCAGCTTGTCATCTCGACAACAAACGAACTCAATCGTACAGAGTGCATATCGAGCGAAGCTTGTCAGGATGGATTTAGTCGCGAGTGTGCGCAAGGAAGGCAGCCGGTAAGATACCCCCAGCATAACAACCTCGTAGCACAACTGCTAACTCCCACAGCGGCGGCCGCGCCGACTTCAAGTGGTCCGACGTCCAACAATCCACGCATCGCGAAAACTACCTAGGCCACTCGGTCATGGCCCCGGTCGGCCGATGGCAACAAGGAAAAGATCTACAATGGTACGCCCGAGCCGACGAGACCGACGAGGACAGAGCCAAACGGGAGCGCGAAGAGATCCAACGCGTCAAGGAAGCAGAAGAGGAGGCCATGGCACGCGCATTGGGTCTTCCCGTACCGCCGAAAAGCGACGAAAATGCGAACATGGTACCGCTTGGCGGGAAGGAGGCTCAGGAAGCTATTCAGGATACACCGGAAGCTGTTGAACGAGAAAAGAACAGTCGCGAAGACCACCGGAGACGAAGGACGGAGCGCAGTCGGAGTCCGGGGAGGGAGCGAAGGCGGGATCGTACTGGTGATAGGGACAGGGAACGGGAGAAGGAGCGGAGACATCGCAGACATCGTGACGATCGTGATCGCCATCATCGCAGTCATCGACGCAGATCGAGGTCGAGGTCTAAGTCGCGGGAGAGGGAATATCGGAGACGCTCTCGGTCGAGGAGTCGGGACAGGCGGCGACACGATCATGACTACGAGCACAGGCGACACCGACACGAGGATCGTGGTCACTACTCTGAACGACGAGAGAGGGATCCAGACCGTCGTCGGCGTTGAGCGTCAGTTATGGCCGGGTGTCGCTCAACCCCAGAGCCAGTCATTGTCTTTGCTGTTTGGGATAATATTGCGATGGTACGTCTTTTCTCTTCTCTTTCCTCTCCGAAAAAAGTCCCGATGATGTTTGCATATCTACGTATTTGCTACTTCAGAGCCATTGGCCATGAGACAAAAATCACCACATGCCTGAGGGACTTTTTCAGTCGATTGTTCGCTTAACTGGGAAAATACGAAAATGCTAATGACATCGTACAGATTCAGATACCACACATGGTGTTAGGCGTTTACGGTTGGGAACTCATGTACAGCGTACAAGGACTTCGTCTTTTAATTCTTTAGACTATATCATACAATGTCCATTTCCGCATTTTACAGCTCATCATGGCCGCTCTTCTCACCGGCAGGAAGGTCAGGCATGGACATCATCTTGACCACCATGCTGGTCCAGCCGGTAAAGTGTTGGATACGCTGGCCCTTGCCGTTGTCAGGGTTGTATTGCTCGAAAGCGAAACCCGTGTTCTTCCATTCTCCGAAGACGTTCTCGATCAGGTTCTTGCGCAGCTGGGAGTACATTTCACGAGCCTGCTCTTGATGAGGACCGGATGCGGTTGCAATGTCCTGTATAGGATGATTAGATACGTTCTCAACAATAACCAGGTGTGTGTATAACTCACGTAAAGACTCTTGACAACCATGTAGTTAATGTTAATCCAAATAGGACTCCTCCAGTAATTCTCATCGGTGCCGTAGAACTCGTCCTTCTTGCTCAGACTGCGAATACCAAAGTCACTCCAGAGCTCCTTCGGATCATGGATCAAGTCCAAGGTAGCCTTGAGACGAGGGCTGTTGGGTCCAACCATGCCAGTCAGGAAGGGGATGATGGAAATGTATCCCTTGTGGCACACGTGGACGCTCTCCTCGTACTCATCGATGGTAGCGTCGCAGAAAGTCTGTGCATCCTCATCCCAGTGGAGGTCGTCGATGTTGCGTTCAATTGCTGTCTCGTAGCCGGCGAACTCTTCGGCGTCATCAGTCTCACCGAGAGTTTCAGCGATGCGACGCATGGAGCGTGTCATCATTCCCACCCAGCTGATCAGATCGACGTGCAGCTCACCGGGGTGAGGAGGCTGGGCACGAGGGTAATCGTCCAGACCAGAAGTCAAGACGTGCTGCAGAGACCGTCCGCGCCAGCGGTACGCCTCCCTGGTGGAGAATGCCTCGCGGTCATAAGTCTTGACATCGCCCCTCTGAGTTCTTCTGTACCAGAAGTAGTGCTTCTTGAGCAACGGGTAGAATGTGCGGATGTATTCTTCACCAAGTTCGGGGTGTTGCACGTAGGCCGAGCGGATGCTCTCAGCTGCACCTTCGCTAGTTTGCTTGGAAGAGAGAGCCTTGTTTGCGTTCACCATGTCCACGAACGATTCCAGGATCAGGAAAAGTGTAGGGGGGTTAGCATAATGAGGATACTGGACCGTGAACTCCGGTGGCACCTTGCTGCGGGCTTCTGCGCCGATAATCTGCTCACGAGCAATCCAACCGTCTTCATCCATGAGGCTGAACCAGCTCTTCACGATTTCGAGACTAGTGCGAGTTAGTGCTGGACATAGCATGACCAAGGAGGAGGTATAAACCTACACAAGATCAATATCCCAATCAACAATCGGGGTGAGATGGAAACCCTCATCCCAGAGGAAACCCCTAGGGAAGAAAGGACGGGAAGGAATGCAAGTGAAGAGCTCCTTTGGTCCCTCAAACACAGGCTTCGCCCGGGATCTCGCCTCTTCTGTCTCCTCCCAGAAACCTTCATTCTCCTCGTCGTACTCTGGTTGCGCGGAACGGTCGACAACGTCCTCGCCATGGAAGTAGCCAATACCGCCGACAAGGTTCGAGAACATGGCCTTGGAGAATTCAGAGTATTCTGGGGAGTCGAAGGGCGCCTGGGGAGCAAGGATCTTCTTGAAACGCTCCGAGAAGGACTGCGAAGAGCTCTTGATTTTTTTGGTAAGGTCATCAGCTAAGCAGTTTGTTAGAATGCCAGTTATCGCTTTGCACAGTTGAACAAAATACTTACAGGTCAAAGGCTCCGGCGCGGATCCGGAAGTAAAGAGGACATCAAACTGGTTCCTGTAAGCGTTGGTCAGGTTTGAGTGTGACCTTGGAAACGTACCTCAAAAGCACCCTTGAAGACCTTCTGCACATAGTGAAGGTTGCCCTCGCCTGGCGCGTTCCTGATAGTAAAGACCTGTGCAGGCGGCGGAGGGTTTTCAGCACCATACTTCTTGATGGCCTCACCGACTTCGCCCTTCATCAGGTTAAACAGCATCACTGGATGACTCATTAGCAAGACACCAAGAAATCATATCCGACTGGAAGACACGAACCTTTCGTCTGCCAGACATTCCCCGGCGGCATAGTCACACTAGCCACCAGAGTATGATCCAACGGCTTATCCTCATAAGTCGGATGGTCATGCTCAGGATGCTGGTTGCTCTGCGGACCGGTAGTCACATCAACCGTGAAATCACCAAGTCCCGGAGTAGACCCCTTCAGGTTCACATCACCAGTAAAACCAAGGTCATCGCCATCATTCGCAACCTCAATATTTCCCTCCCCTTCCAAACCAGCGTAGAACACCAGTGACATCGGCTGATCATCGTAACCGTCTTCACGAGGCACACCCTTGACTCGAGCACCCCAGTTTCCGCCATTCTCTCCGCCAGGAACTTTTATGAAGTCGATCGTCAAGTCGATGGAGTTTCCGGCGTCGTGGATCGTTTGGCGGCCGCCCTCTCGGATATCGTATTCATCCCAGCCGTAGCCGGCCATGCCTTCATTTTGCTCGCATGTGTGTCTAAAGTCTTCAAAATGTCAGTACTAAGGCACCAAACAACCAATCGAGCTAAAAATTGCTTGATCAAAAGCAGACCTACTTTGCTGCGCATTAACGAAATCATCCACCTTCGCCCACATCAAACCCGCAAAAAAGCTATCCGGCAAGCGAGGACGAACCCCGAAATACAGATTCGGCTTGTAGGGACCCCATAGCAGCGACTCGTTGTTGGCTTTGGCGGTCTCCTTGCTCAGGACGGAGACATCTTCGCTGGCGGTGCTCCCGACGGCGTATAGTAGCGGAGCCAAAAGGACTGGAAGCTTGAAGCCATGCATCTTTAAGAAGAAGGCATCAAGACAGAGCGTAAAGAATTAGGAATTGAAGATGGACATAGGACGTGAGTGTCAATGGAAGTCTCCTATGTCTGTGGCTGCTGTTGTTGACAGGTGATAGTTACCTGGCATCGGCGGAGCTTCCTCTCCGCTCCGCAATTACGTGGTCCAAGCTCTCTGTTTCACATACCATTCTAGGTGACGATTCATTTACAGTACAGGGAATCTGGTATATTGACACGCTAACTATTTTACTGCTAACATTTACATATAGTTCCTCGGGTCCAGCGATCCAATCTTTGCGCTCTTGGCCTTGCCATCAAACACGAATTCACTCATGACCTTCCCGGTTCCTGGAGCATTCTGGATACCCCAACAGCTGTGACCGGCAGCAACATACAGTCCTTTGGCATCTGTTAAACCAACGAGAGGACCTCCCTGAAGCGCAGTCACGTTAGGAAGGTAGCAAGCCTGCCGTGCGCGGATCTCTCCGTCGCGCAGCTCGTCAGAGATGCTGCCCACCTGTTTGACGATATCTTCGATTCGCTCCGGGTCCACCTCCACATCCGCCGTCGTCTTGGGGAGTGGAACTGTACGATCACCGTCGCCGCAGCAGTAGACCGTTTCATCAGGACGAGCGTAGATCTCCGGCGCGGCCACAATAGGGCGCCCCCGCTTCGACTCATCGGGGATCTCGAGTTCTGTGAAGAGGCAGTATTCAGAGACGGGCCTCGTAGGACGGACAACGACACTGTGTGCACGGGTTGCGGAGATGGGGACCTTGGGCAGAACCGATCTCGTCCACGGACCTGCAGAAACAATCACATCTGTCGCAGGAATAGTCTTGGATTCCCCAGTCTCCTTCTCCGTGTATGTGACTGACTTGGCAGTACCCTCTGAGTAGTCAATGTCCGTCACTCCTCCATACAAAATCTTCGCACCCTTCTCCTCCGCAAGCTTCGCAATTGAAGTCGTGAACAAGTACGGATGTACCTGAGCAGTCTCCCCAGGACCACTCATGCTCTCATAAGCTCTAAGCAGATCCGGAACAAACCAATCCAAATCCTTAGGAACACCAGCAGACTTCAATTTCGACAATGCGCCTGCGCTGCGCTTCTGTAGATCCACATCCTCTACCCCGCTTGCCTTCTCGCCGAATGGACGGCCCTTCATCATAAGCTGGCCGCAATTGACCTCTCTGTAACCCCAACGGTCTTTCCCATTATGTTCCTTAGCCAGCTCAATGTGCAGCTTGTAACTCAGACCAACAATGTTGCCCGGGTATGCCCATTCTGCCAGAAGACCTCCTGCTTTTCCTGATGCCCCTCCTGCGATTTCTGAAGCTTCGAGGACGGTGATGGAGTGGCGCGAGGGATCGTAGGAGGGATGTCTTGTGAGGTAATATGCCGAGCAGCATCCGATGACACCGCCACCTAGGGAAATGTTGTCAGTTTTGTGAATGCTTTGTATGTGCGATGGTTGTTCATTCCATGCGGGACGGGGTCGAAGGAGAATCGAAGTCAATGCGTACCGATGATGACAATTTCGCGACGGTTGTTTGAGGTCACCATTTTGTTGTAGGGCGCGATTCTGTGTGCTAGAGTTCTGAGTGAAGCCACTGTGGGTGGAAATTATTGCAACAATAAGAATCCTCTGGTTTGTAGAAAAAATGCGACTGGCACATACGTCACCGGCGTAGAAATACTCAGCAATATCCGGTCATGTGCTTGGCCCATAAACGTCAAGATTAATAATAAGTCATATTTACTGGGATGAATTCCTTAGCTACATGAATATAGAAATATCGTTCGGTTAACTTGTTTGAGACAGGATAGACTCTAAAGAATTGCTCGACCGTCCCTATGGAAGAGAAAACATGAAAAAACTGGAAAAGCCGACAAAACCTTGCTCCGATAATGCATGCACTTGTTGTAATAACACAGGATTCGCAAAATGTTCGAATGATTAGATGTGGAATAACACAACGCGGACGTCGTGTAACGTCAAGGGCTGAGCGGCCGGTTGAACCCCCCTGAACGGTTCATGTACTGTCTGTACTCTGTCTTCTTCTCCTTCCGTACGCCGTAGACGTCGTTTCCGGGAACCTTCGTGTTCTTCGTACTCCTGAACCGGCTGAAACCCATGTATTTGCGCATAACATCATCGAGATCGTCCCCGTTGGCCACCTCATCAACGTCCATGTCCATTTCATCCTTCGACGGTTTGTGAGAAGCCGGTGTTCCGTCCCGTTGTGACCGAGGATCTCTTCGATCGTTCCGACGGTCTGTCCTGGGTCCTCGAGGCGGCGTTCTGGATCGGTCTCTGGTGTTCTTTCGGGGCGAGCGGGAGCGCTCACGTAGTCTCTCTCCTTTCGATGGGTATCCTATTGAGAATTAGAAAACGAAGTGAAGAAAGTAAAGTATGGACGGAGAATCAAGATACTGACCTCGTCTCTCGTATTTGTCTCTGCTCACGCTCCTCTCCCTATCTCTCGCACCCCGACTATCTCTATGATCCCTCCTATCACGATCGCGATCACGACGGTCTCTAGACCTACTCCTCTCCCGGCGTCTTTCTCTTCGATCTCTCGAACGGGAGCGGTATCGCCGGTCGTCGCGCGGGCCGTCGCGTCGCCCATCATCCCTCCTTGGGCTTCTGTCTAATTCAGAGTTCCCTTCAAGTGTCCGATCATCATTCAAATCCCACATTGTAGAGCTGTCAATACGACGGGCACGTTTTGCAGGGGGTTCGGCCATTTTGGTAGTTGAGGTCGTCTAGTTGTTTTCGATGGCGTTAAAATTTCTCTCTCCGCAGGTAGGTATCAAAATCAAGAACGAATGATAGCTAGGTAGTTAGAAAAGATTAATGCATTATCAATCTGCCTCCGGGGTATCATAAAAGAACAATGTCGCTGGTGTTAGACCTGTTGGGAGCTGCTGCTGCGCGGGAAATTGATAGCGTGGTGTACGGTCGCCGAGTTCTGCCATCTGCGCCGAGGCATCCGCCTTCTCTACAAGTACGGAGTACCAGTGAATACAAAAAGAGAGTAACTAATTTCTCTTTAGCAGCTATCCGGTCACCTTTTCCTTCAATGTAATTGTTCTCTAGTTCTATAACTCCCTCTTTCTTTGTTTCATTCTATTTATCTTAGTGTTTCCTTCCCGTTGCCGAAGAAATGCCAGGTCAAAGTAGCCAGACTACCTTTCATTCCTATTTACCCAAGGAAAAACAAAGTGCTTTTTTGAGTACCATTGCTTGTGGCAATGTTTGCATTGTTCTCACGAGGGAGAGGATACCGGAATTTTATGGATTCTCCGTCTGTTCAAGGAGATGTTTTCCATACTCCATGCTCCTGCTCTAGACGAAATGGGCTGCTTTCCTTCATGGTTGTTGCCGATATGGAAATAATAGTATTGATTTCTGCATCCAAGGAGAAGTGCCTTATAACCATGCTTCAAAGTTTCTATTCGACCTGTCGTTTCCATCTGAATATAGCATGGATAGTTAGTCGAACGACTCCGGTTGTACTTGAAGTAAAATTGGACATATGCTGCAGCATGAATGAATCAGATATATACAATGGATTACATCTAGATGTGAAACAATCCGCTCTAAAGAGGACATGAAATCCCATGTGTACATGCTTGCTTTTATTGCTGCATGCTGCTGTTGAACCACAGAACTACTTCGTCGCTCGAATTTCTTATAAACAGTAGTTAATGACTGATAAGATAATAAGCCATCGCCATCTGTACCACACCCCAGTAAGTAATCTCAGATAAAAACACGCCGAAACACAGACCGAAAATGGAAACCAACCAAAATCAACCACGGCCCGTCCCGCCGAGCCTCAACCTTAACCTTACCGAGGCAAAGATCAGCACCCTGTCAGAAATCTTTGCGTTGCCCCTCCGTCACAACCAAACCCCGCAGTTCGTTTGCATTAACGACCCTTGCTACTACATTGAACATTTGTTTTTATATCGGAGTGTATCTATGAATTATGGCTCCTACAAATCTTTCCCATCGACAAACGCACAATTTGCTGCTCATTTCGAAGCTCTTGAGTCTGAGGGACACTGCGTCGCCGTTTACTCTGCTCTTGGATTCTTTGGAGCAGCCGGCTACTCCGTTGATTAGGGAGTATATTAGACGTGCGAAGGTTAGCGAATAAACATACGGGAGCATGAATAGGGTGGTAATTGCCCATTACTGACTGTCTAGAACAGCTTTCAAAGGTCCATGTTACCCTGATCGCATTCGAATCATTAAAACGTCCCGACGGCGTCGATGCCCTCGTCTCAGCTCGCCGAAAGAGTCCACACATTATCGCAAAGGAAGTCAGTGCTGCATACCAGACAACGTCGTCCGCCAATCCCTCGCGCCGTAAGCCCCCGCTGCCCACATAGCTTCCCACAAACAGTTTTCGCTAACACATCAACAGGGCGATTAATCCTCATCGACTCACTCAACCCACTGATTAGCTCCAAAACCGTCGACTCCCAATTCAACCTACCAGCCTTCTTGAGCTCCTTCCTCGTCCCTACAAGCCCCTCCACACCCAAGGTCGAATCCTCGCTCGTCGCAACGTACCACCAAGATGTCCCTATTTCTTCTAACCAACAACCATACGCGCCGCCGCCGCTTTCGTTACTCTCGTATCTCGCAACGACCGTGATCAAACTTCATTCGTTCTCGCATATTCTCGCGCAAAAGGCTGCCCGGGATCGCAGCCTGGCGGCTCCCGTCTTTGGACTTGAAGAGGAACAGGATGGCGTGCTGCTTGGTAGATTGGATAAGCTCGTTGGGAATGAGAATGCGGAGGGCATTGTTCTGGAGATGGAACACCGACGGAAGAGTGGCCGTGGTGTGCTAGAGTGGTATATACTGCCACCCGCGTCGCGGTATCCCCCGAATCAGACGAAGGAAATTGTGACGTTACTTGACGATCACCCGCTCTACCGTCCGCCTGAGGAGCCAGGTACTGGTGCTGGAGATGAAGAGCCGGAGTCGACATTTAACCTACGGCTTACTGACAGGCAGAGGCGCGAAAGAGAGGGTGTCGTATTGCCATACTTTGATGCGCAGAGTGGTGAAGGGCCCGGTGAAGGAGGACGGATTCTATATGATATGGGAGAGGAAGATGATTTTGATGAGGAAGAGGATGAGATATAAACTCATCCGAAAACTCAGGTCGTCGCCATTACTGAAACGGAATATCTATCGAAACGCATTTTATGCTAATTTGACTGATTCATGAAGGTGGTCGTGTCCTGCATCCACCGAGCAAATTAAGTATGTGTACAGTATACATGCGGGTATACGAAACGAGAACCATTGTGAACAAACTAGAAGAAGCGCCACAAAAGCAAGATAAAAATGATCAATCCGACACCAGCAAATGGCCCGTACTATGAATTGTCAGCCCTTGAGTCTCATCAACAAGGAACCACAACAAACTCACCTGTTTCAACAACAACTCCCAGTTTATGCGCACCGCAGCCTTCTTGTACTTCCTGCTATCCTCCCGCAAGCGCCCAGACAATTCGCCCATCCGTTCCAAGCTGTCTCCACGGTACAACAGATCCTCGATGTTCTTGGTCATGACCTTCGTGACATCCTTCAGCTCGTCGTTTACCCGGTCGAGGTTTTGCGACGCACGGCTGTCCTGGTACAACTTCTTGGTACGCTGGATGAAAGTGTCGAACTCGACGAAGGCATAGGGCCGCAGTTTCGGGGAGTGGTACTGGGCCGGGGAGTAGGTCGTGGTGAATTCCGAGGCGACATCAGCGAGATAGGTGAAGGCGAGCTTGCGAGGGTATGACTGGTCGCATATGCAAAGGAAACAGATGTCGTCTTTGACGAGGTAACTAAATAAACCGCTATTAGTCCAACCCTTCTTAACCTCTTGCATCGAACATACTGTAGATTGTATTGACCAGATTCAATACTGGCCTGCGAAGCGGAATTGCGATTCAATCGGCGAAAGATCATCTTAGCTTGCGACTTCACTTGAGCCAACTCTGTTTCCGCCTGGTTCGATGTCAGCTTTGTTTGCTCTGACTCAGAAACCAGGAACGTAGTGAATGGCTGCAACTAACCTGCTCATCGTCCACAGACGCAGCCAGCATTAGGCCTTTCTCCTAACCATCAGCAACTTCCCGACAAACACTACGTCAACAGCCACGAGTACCTACCATCAATCCTCGCAATCTGTGTTGACCGGACCATCTTGTCGGAGCTGTACTATGTCCTCTTGAAGACTTTGCTCACCATAGATTTACTGTGCAGTGGTTGATCGAGCGTCTCGCTGTTAGGAACGGTCTTGTTTGTCCAGACCACTCTACTAGACTACGGGGACAATGGGCCGCAAGCGCAAGGCGGTCGGCGGCGGCATTACGCGGCAGCCAACCAGGTGAGTCCGAACCCCAAGCCTTATCGCGTCGCTTTTGTCCTTACGATTAAGCTGATGAAAACTATGGTTAAGGAATTGCAGAGGTAATTCCACTAATGGTGCGGGATCAACTGAAGCCCGCGGCAAACCCGACGTAACGATGTCAGCCAACACCAGAGCTAAGCGCAACCCGAGACGAGGCGCTGCGAAATCGAAATGGGATCCGGAGAGGTTGATGACTAGTTCGAAATCACCACTTGTTGATGTAGATCTTGTGGTATGTTCTGTTCTTGCGGGTTGTGATGCTTTGGTGTTTTCCGATGGCTGACCAGCACGTATTGGTATAGAAACTGCTCGCAAACCACAAGGCATGGGACGTCCTCGAAGAATCAGAGAAAGAGGAGATTCTAGAACTACTCCCCGAGCATATCCGTCCACAACCCGAGCCCTGCGAGGACGGGACAATGAAAATACCCCCTTTGCCAGAATCCTTCCTACGCTACGATAATCCCTGGCGGGACGCCGTCCGTCAATTCCAAGTCGACCTCGAGAACGGCCGCTATGATCTGGAGTGGATACGACAGGCTGATGTAGCCGTACAAGAGAGAGCAAATGGGGAATTCGACGACTTCAAGGAGCGCGAGTTCGAGGAGTTCTGGGGACAGAAGCAGAGAATGGACAAGAGTCTTTCTGCGGGAGAGAGCTCCCAGGTTAAACTGATGACACTCATTGAACAGGGTGTTGTCCGTATGGGTGATGTTTGGAAGATTTCGCGGAGTTTCAATGTCCCCAGTGGCAGGCTACTCATTGAAAAGGAAGCAAAGGTATGTCCATTATCAATTGGTTATTCTGTCGTCTGGTCTTTGTTCTAATGGTGTTCCAGATTCTAGGATTCGATGGTTCGTATATGACTTGTGTCGTCCCGACTGGTCGACGTGTATTCCTTCCTCAAGTACCGGATGCAGAGTATAAGGCGTTGTTGAAGGCGTACAAATCAACGAACGGCGCCAAGGAGGATGAAGAAGAAGAAGAAGAAGAAGAAGAAGAAGAAGAAGAAGAAAAAAGAGAAGCGGAAAAACCAAGAACTCGGGGCTTAAGGAAAAGAAAGTCCAAAGTCGAAGACGGACCCCGCAAAAAGCAACAGCAAGAAGCGTCCGAAGACGCACAGTCCGGCTTTGAAGTCATGATCCCCGTTTCTACTAAGCAGGAAGATCAGGAAGAGAACGCTGACGATGACGCCTCTGCAGCTCCAGAAAACGATGTCAAGACTGAGACGGACACTGAAATTGTGCAGTCGTCATCATCCGGACTCATCCTGAAAGGCGTCGAAGTCGTTGTACTCCCTAAGGTCAACGGACCAACATACCTTGGCAACAAGATGATTGAGCTCGACGGCCGGATAAAGCACATTCCAAATGGCAATGCGTGGAAGGAATTCCGCTGCTATAGGAATAACCAGGACATGGGCAGTCTGTGGGAAGTCAGACAGGCTTGGTATGTGAAAAGAAAGTAGATTGTCTCAGGTTGAGTGTTGGTTGTTATGAATCCTCTCATGCTCCGAAGAGGGCGTCACGATTGTTATGTTATGGGTGATTCTCGGGTATATGCCTATTGTTTTCTTGCTCTGTACGATACCGTGTTCTAAAACCGAAAAATAGAATTTCTCGTGGTCTATTTCCTGCTATTTAATTGATTATGCCAGTTGATTCAAGTACATCATTGTTCTGTCCCTCCCATAGACGCATCATTATCCTTCGGCGGCCGACAAGCAGCACTATCAGCCGCAAAATCAACAGCAAAACTGGACTGGATGAAGTCCTCCAACTCCTCACTGACAGTCTTCAGCTTTTCCTTCACACTCGCAACGCCTTCTTGTCCCACAATATGCCGTGACGGTGGATTCTCATGTCCTCCAATTGCGGCAATTGCATAGACAGTCTCAGCAGTCAAGACTTCCAAATGCGCGGAACTGAGTGGCGGGTATGTCGAGATGACTTCGGGAACGGAGAATGGGCCATCCTCGCCTGGGTTTCGGTTATGATTTTGTTGGCCCTGGCTTTCGCTATTTGGCAGACGGGGTATGAGATGGTTTAGGAGGACGCGGAAGAGAGGCGCATGGTTGGCGGATGGGGAGTATGCGGGGACGATTGGAGGGACGCTCGTTACTAGGTTTGTGAGGATGCCGATTTCGATGCTGCATTCGAAGATGGTGAGTTTTACGTTGAACGGGGCTATTTCGTAGGCGAGGCTCTGCGACGTAAAACAACATGGTTAGCGATGTACACTTGGAGACATTTGAGGGGGCGAGTGCCTACATCACAGAATCCTTCAAGAGCCCAGCCGGCTGCACAATACATCCCGAGCCCGGGCGTGCCGATATGCGATGTAATTGACGAAAGAATCATGATATGTCCAGACCTTTGCCTCCTCATATGAGGCAAGGATGCTTTCACGATGTTGAGGGGTCCGAAGTAGTTGACTTCAAATTGGTCTCGGACGAGGTTCAAGGTCTGCTGGGAGGCTGCAAGCTCTTCGACGGTTCCAATAAGTGCTGCAAGGTGCTAAGCAAGCTGTAATCAAACTAGACAATTGTCTGGTACAGAATACATACCCTGGCTTGTACAGCATAGTAGAATATCCATCTTGCCAAACGTTGCGATTGCATCGGCGACCACCGCTTGACACTCGCCCATCATCCTGCACATGTATACTTAGTCCACATCCTTATACCGCATACCGCAACACAAACGCACCGTATATCCAAGGGAACCGATTTCAATCGTTCTCCCCATCCCTCGTCGTTATGGCTCTCAACCTCCGCCATGAACGCCTCGAATCCATCGCGACGGCACTCATCCCGATCCAAATTCGAATGTGCCAGTCCAATAAATGCATAGTCGCCATGCGCAAGGATTTGCCGCGTCACTGAAATCCCAGTGGGCGAGTCACCAGCTGTAATTACCCAGACCCGCGGCTCATTATGGGCTGGAAACTGTGGGCGGGAGTAATCGGGAGAGGGGTGATTGTCCGTCATGAGATCGAAAAGGCCGACATTCACGCGCCTGGCATGCGCATCGCGCAATAATTAGTATATATACCGTCCTCTATGAGAGGGATAAAATTCCCAGGTTCACAATGGGCGGGTTGTCAGGGTTGGTTTCTTATCGGGAGAGCTGTGGAGGAATAGAGATGTCACTCCGCCGGGCGAGGCCCGACCCCGGCCCGCCAAGGATCGCGTCTTCACCACCGGGCTCTGGCTCTGGTGGCCTTTCCTCTCCTTTTATCCCCGCGACAAGAGACCCTCACGCACGCGGAGCAAGATGCCTGAGCAAGTACAGCAGAGGGGGAATTCGGAGCAAGGTGTACGTTCTCAGTTGATTGTCGTTGATTATGTGTGTTCAACTCGCTGATATTCCACCATCTTATCTAGTCCACCTTCCGGACCATCGCCCAGGCCGTGGGTTTTTTCTTCATAGCCCAAGCTCTCGTTGGAAAATTCTTGGGTGGAAACCAGCAGAATGCAGAATCTGAATCTGGCTCGTCGCCTGGTGCAATTCCAGCGTTTACGGATCGTCCAGCGTCCAGCGAAGTCTCGAATTACAGTCCCATCCCCAATACCATCGCTCCGATGTGGCCTAGTGATAGTGCCCTGGACATGAAGATTTACGTTTCCCCGTCGATTGTCATCCCTACTTATAGTGTGCTTCCGAGTGCGTCGCTTGTCCTTGACGAGAGGAACTTTACCGTTGGGAACTACAGTGACTCCCGGGAAATCGACACCACGATCAATATCCCCAAAGAAGCGCAGCAAAACGGAACACTCTGGGCCCATTTCTACGTCGGACTTACTGGTACCCAATTGGACCCTGCGGCCAAGGATTACAACACCGATAAGGCCTTCCACTTTTTCCGTCCGCTCAACCAGTACCTTCCGAAGAAGAAGGTCAAGAAGCTTAAGAACCTGCTCTCAAGCTCCGAGGAGCCTGAGGAGGAAGAGGAAGATAACACCCCGAATGTGCAGATGGTGTCGTACTATCATCCGAATTTCACGGTCTCGGTTATCCCCGATGCTGGAAACCAGAACTACCGCTCGGTTCACCCTGCCGTTCGACAGTATATTCAACTGGAGTCGACTGGTGCTAGAGACGCCAGCGGTCAGAATGGGTGGTATTATCCCATGGTCTTCTTGAACACTTTCTGGCAGCTCAGGAGTCATATGACGGAACTCAACTCTACTGTTGATAGCATGCCGCTGCGCATCACGCTGAACAACCTGCAAAACTGGAAGTTCTCCATGGTTACCAGCTTTGATGAAGGTTCGAAACAGAATGTTCGTCAGGCGGCATACGGTGGCCAGACCCCGGGTGGTGGTGACGGCAGTGAGTTTGAGATGGTCAAGGAGGTACTGTTGAATACGAACATCTGGTTGTTGGGTACGACCGGTGTGGTTACTATTCTCCACATGGTGTTCGAGACACTGGCGTTCAAGAACGACATTGTAAGCAACACTCCATTTTTACTAGAAAGCATAGCTAACTCTTTCGACAGTCTCACTGGCGCAAGAAGAAGGATGTGATCGGAACATCAGTTCGCACCATTCTTGCCAACGTTTTCATGCAAGCGGTTATTTTCCTGTACCTCCTGGATAACAGTGAGAACACTTCCTGGATGATCCTCGCCAGCCAAGGTTTCGGGATCCTCTTGGAGGCGTGGAAGATCACCAAGTCTGTCGACGTCCGCTTGCGCGCACCACCAGCCGGATCTTTCTTTTCTTTCCTTCCTTATGTGATTGTGTTTGAGGATAAGCACAAGCTCACTGAGACTGAGAAGAAGACTCAGGAATATGATGAGATCGCCTTCCGCTGGCTGTACATCCTCGCTGTCCCACTTCTGGGTGGGTATGCCGTATATAGTTTGGTCTACGATACGCACAAGTCGTGGTATTCTTACATCATCGAGACTCTTGTCGGAAGTGTTTACGCTTATGGCTTCTTGATGATGGTGCCCAGCTTGTACATCAACTACCGTCTTAAGGTTAGCAACTCCTTTGCTCTGACCTTTATCCCGGTGCTAACCAGTTTATCTTTTAGTCCGTTGCCCACATGCCCGGAAAGGCGTTGACTTACAAGTTCCTCAACACCTTCATCGACGATCTTTTCGCCTTCACCGTCAAGATGCCCTGGCTCCACAGACTTTCCACCTTCCGTGACGACATCATCTTCTTCATCTGGCTCTACCAAGGCTGGAAGTACAAGGTTGACTACAAGCGTGTCAACGAATTCGGACAGGGAGGCGACAGCGACGAAGAGGAGGAAGCAAAGGAAGGAGAAGAAGAGAAGGCCTCCGCTGCGCCGGAGCAAGCTAAGGCTTCTGGCTCTGGGAAGGGTGATTCCAAGTCTGCGCGGAAGCGCAAGTAGACACTCTCTCCGCGCTGTTTGTATGTGTGCTGGTTACATCCGGCGAATTGCGCTTTTAGGCGTAGATCATTAATGGATGTGTTGTATTGAGTTGGAAAATTGAATAATAGAAATGCTTGATGCGAGATTGTTTTAATAGCCTGGATATTTATCATATTCTACAGATAGCTAATTTTACTTTATATATCTCGTCGGATTATCTACTTTGGGTATACTATCTATCATTCATTAGGCTATAACGATGACTTTGTACTTTTATGGATGCTTCGTTCCTCAAAAATAGATAGAACAACTAGTTATTTTAAGTTGCGTTGTAGCATGCTTCGGATGCTGTCTTGTAGGGCTGCCGGCATGGTTGATGCTGGGCGGCCAAATTCGGTAAAAGTCAATCTCCGCGACCAACTCGCGACGATAGCGATATCTGTCAGCGTCAGGCACAACAAGATTATTACTGTACAAATAGGTAATTAAATCTTGCTGTCTGATATTTTTCGTTTACATTGATAGAAGTCTTGAGGAGCTGAGTCGCGAAGACCGAAGACGCGACACGGTTTGCGCAGCGCGAAGAATAGGGAGCAACTCGGTCGACGCAATTCAAGTTGAACTCAACAAGCTGTGTTCTCGCATTCTTGAATCTACAAATTACAATATTTAAATGTCGTCTGGCAAAGATATAGGTGTGTGTTCTGGTTATCCGTTTGTTTACGTCCATCACTAACGAGCCTCAGGTCCCCGGCCTACTAGAAGCCTACTGGATGCGGTCGAGCATTTGGAATCAGGCAAGACCCCACATCATCTAAAAAGACGCAGTTATTTTCTAACAACATGTACAGTCGCCTTTATCCCGGCCAAACAGCGCCACACAGACGCCAGCCAACTTGCCAAAACAATCGCCTCGGACGCGTACGAGAGCGGGATCCCCCATGTCATTCTCGAGCGTCTGTTAAAGATCCTCACATCAAGCAGTAACCTTGACCAAAGCACCACCACGACTCTAATCAAAAACCTCTATCCCCTGGAACCCGTTTCATCCAAAATCATCACGCAGGTAGTATGCTCTCTCGGACCCAGCAAGAACAAGCCAACGCCTGCGACTCAGGCGTTGCTCCTGCGATGGCTGCTGCTGGTGTATGACTTTCTGGGAGATCGGACGCATCTGTCGAAACTTTACGCGGTGCTTTTCAACTACCTGGATATGATCAGTCTGCGGAAACCGCTGTGTCATTTACTTTCGATTATTACTAGACGGAAGCATGTGAAGCCTTTTCGGATTCAGGCTCTCATGGAGTTGCTTAGGAATACGGGTGGTGAAGAGAAGGAGCTTGTCAGTCTACTTAGGGTGTTTAAGAACTACTACCCTGATATCATTGTGGGAGATCTGGGGATGATGAGGAAGGCCGGGTTGGTCTTTAAACATCCGGATCCTGAGTGGACCAGCCATGGGAAACATCTCCAGGAAACCAATGCGGAGAGATCGCGGGCGTCGCAGCAGTCTAGTTTCCAAGTCGTCCACCGCGGTCTAGTGAAGAGAAGCAAAGCGGAGATTGTGGTTCCGGACGTGCAGACTTCGCGGGTGCCCCATGGACGGACGTCTCTGGAGGAACTGCGTGGTGTTGACCATTTTGTCGAGAGGATTGATAAGATCGAGTTACCCAACCAGATCATATCGACTATGGGAGACAGGTTGGCTCAGAAGTACCTGTTTCTGGTTCAGTCGGACGCTGCGAGTGCCCGGTTGGACGATTGGCTGCTCAGCTTCCTGAGTGACAAGTTGGAGCAGATCCGTGATTGCGATGAGGATGATCCGGAGATGCTCACTTATATCCTCAGTCTGGCTGCTGATTATGTTCAATACGCAAAGGTATGACTGAAATCTCGTCACCCGGAAGAGTTGTTAATGAACTATAGGAAATTCCGGCTGCCATCGTCTCTTTCGTGAAAGCATACCTTGCCTTGTGGAATGGCCGTGACAACAAAGACCAGATCTTCCATCTCCTCGAGTATCTTCCTGTCGATTCTTTCGACTCAATACACGAAGAGTTCTTGTTCCCCTTGGAATCTGCCGTGTTAGACGATACACTGGCTTCCAGAGTCGCCATCCTCGAGTTCTACTCTTCCCTAGTCCGCCAATGGGGCATAAAGCTTCGGACAGAGCCATCTACATCCGCAGAATCAAAGCCCCTAAGCCATCTCGTCACACACGCAGAACTCCTCGCCCTATCAATCCTAGAAATCCCCGCCTCAACCCACGCAATCGACAACGACACCCAATCCAAACCAGCCACTCTCTCCGTCCTCGACTTCTATAGCACCCTAGGCGAACTCTTCTCCTACGCCTCCCTAAACGGCAACATCCGCCTCACAATCCCCCTTTCCCCAACAGTCTACACCCTAGTCTTCACCCCCATGAGTTCCGTCATCTCAATAATAAGCTCCGTCCTCGCAAACTACAAATCTTCCTTCGAAGCCTCCCTGACCTCCGAAGTCCTGCAGTCGCAAACACCAAATGGCACCGAGAACCTCTACCCCACACAACTCGTCGGCCAGTTCAACGGCTACGTCATGGATATCTGTAACCTGCTCTGGCGGAATCGGGGTCTTAATACTGAGGATCCGAATGCGTTGGGATGTTTGATTCCCGCGAGCACTGTTACGCTACTCACGCAGTATATCCGGGAATCAAATGAAGTTGCTCGTGAGCGCAAGCGTGATTCCGCGTTCCATTATACGCTCTCGTCAATATTCTCGCTCAGTCACCACGCTGCTATGTGTAACATCTCCGCTGCCTGTTTTGCAGAAATCGAGGATGAAAATGGGATTGGTGAGGATAGGCCGCGGTTGAAGAAGCCTGTTACGCAGAAGGCGCTGAGTGCGTTGGAGAAGGGTGGTGGGGTGAAAGTTAGTTGGCAGGAGTATCGACTGCGGATGCTGGATTGGTTGGATGCGGCGGGGAATAGGGGGATTGGGGATTTGATGAGGAGTACGATGAAGGCTTTGCGGAAGGAATAATGGGATTATGTTTATGGTGCAGGCATTCCTTTTTTTTTTTGCTTGCCATGAGTGGGCGGCTATCATTCTCAGTGTGATGGTGTACATTAGTCTGAATAAGGGAGGCATAACTGGTGAATCCCACGGATGGACAAACGACCACAGTTAACTATAATAAGACAGACAGAAAGTTTTATAGCGACAGTCCAGGTTGCTATTAAAGACATGCACCGAGAAAACAGAAACATAGGGCAGATGCAATACCAAATGTCAAAATAAGTCGAAAGCAGACCCTCCGGAACTCCATCGTCCCTGGAAGGGAACTGAGCCCGAAGGCCGCACGCTGACGAACACCGAACACCCAAATAACCCCATGTTTTGTCTTTTCTGAACGAGAAATCATCGGGGTCGTGTATGCGTGGAGAAGGTGGCCCTAGAACTTCGAATTCTTCTCGGTTCAGTCATTTAGTCTTAGTTTGTTTGGGTCGTCTGACGGTCCATCCCTGAATAAAAGCACCTTCTTCGTATGGTTGGATGACGAGTAGGTACGACAGGACAGGAAGTGAGGCAAGGACTAGCATGCACCCAATTTCGCTGAACGAGGTGAGGTCGAAATTGCCCTCGCATTTGGTTGCCATACCTATAAAGGCGTAGGTGACGCCAATAAAGCGAACAGCGCACTTGAAAAGCTACCGCGACATTCGGCGACGGCAATAATGATGTCTGCTCCGTACACAGCCTGCTGTTACAGCCTCTACCACCTTGCCCAGAGCCTCCAGAAGTGCAATCGGTTGCCATGCCCCTGGATCCTGATAATCCGTCTTACCTGGTTTTCTGGGTACCACCGTCCGGGCTGTCTTGAACACCTTTGGGAAATACCCCCTGTCCCAGCATCCTTGTGTGAGTGTAGCCAGTGCAGCCGCCAAGGGCCGGCCTAACAGTTTCAGATACTCATTTGGGACCCCTGAGGCCCCTGGTGCTTTCCCTGTTGGCAAGCGTGCTATAACTGCCACTACTTCCTCTGTTGTGACTGGTTCCACAGCCTCCACCTCTGTTGGATATGGTCCATGAGCATCTGATAGATCTATCTCCGCTGGGGAGGGGAAAAACCGTGCATGGAATGGCTCCACTTTATCCTCAAAAGATACTGCAAGGCTATCTGCATGTGCAGTTGAGTGCAGACTTGGTACTGTAGGGACGCGGAGTGGTAAATGACTATGATCTCTGCCCCATCGAGCCATCTTCCAGAGTAGCTTTGGGTCATCCGCAGCTTATCGCATGAAGTGTCGAAAGTTGGCCACCTTTGCTCGCTTGACAGTAAAGTTCCGGACCCTACGAGCCTCCACCAGTTGTGTGTTAGTTGCTCCATTCCGCAATAGGGGCTTGTACGACGATATGGCTCCAGCCACTGTTGGTGACCACCATGACTTTCCTCGCGTGTTCTGGCGGATCCTCTTTCCCAAGCAGTATGCTGAGTCGGACACATACTATAACAGATATCCTGCATAGGACTCCACTTCATCCCGTGAAGAGAACTGGAATGGAATATGCAGTCCCTGTCCTTCTTGCGCAGCCTGGTTTGGATCTGTTTCCTTCCAAGACCACTGATACTGGGTGTACTGTGGAGAGCTCCATTCAAGCACTGTCTCCAACGCAGTATGGTCCTCCACCTCATCCTTGTCATCCATGGGTCGGCACAGCACAAGGCAGTCAAACAATCCAGGGAAGAGGAATGTTAGCGAAAGGAGAAATAGAGAAATGGAAGTCGATATTACGAACCACATATTCACCAGATATACAGCTTAGGTCTTAGCAAGGTCACGTTATATGTTCACCGTACCTCGTACTCCGTAATGCATCTAGATCTATATATATTCTATGGCTCCATACACAGCTCTCATAATGAAATTTAAAATTCCCTCGACGTGTTCAAATAGATATCTCGTACGCTAGTGTCCTCCCGAATGGTGCTCAACATATCTTCGATGCTCTTAATCTGTTCTTCATCCTTCACTTCCACCAACGTCTCCTTATTCGGATCCCAGATTATCTCTAGCTCTTCAATATTAAGCCCGGTTAGTTTCGAGAAATTCTCTCCAACCTGCTTTGTTTCAGTTGGCTCAGCAAAGATAGTAAGACGACCATCCTCGCCTGTGACGATGTCAGACGCACCAGCCTCAATGGCCTGGTCTAAGTAGTCGTCCGGACTCGCGCCATCCTTCTTCTCGAAGATTATTCTACCCTTCTTCTCAAAGAGGTATGTAGTAGGCGTTACGACCCCTTCCGCGTCCTTGATAGCATGGCGCACATCTTGCAAAGTACGCGCTTTCTGATCCGTCTGGCATTCAATCACCACAGCCACGGAAAAGGGTAGCATAGCCTCAATTGTTACTTGTTCGAGAGCTTGGCCGGTAACGCTTATCCCCCGACCTCGTGCGATGGCTGCTTCAATGACTGCTTTGGGGATTTCAGCTCGTTTGGCGTTCGAGAGTAGAAGAGTCAAACGGGGGTTGAATTTAGGATCAGGTCCCCACACTAGAAGCAATTAGCCCGATGTGCAGCAGACTTAATGAAAAGCTAAAGTACTGACTCACTCTGAGTAGCACTGCTGATATCCTTGACTACAGCTTGCCGTTCCTTGCTCTTTGCCTTGTCATTCTTTGCCTTGTCATGTCTGATAGTTGACCACCGATTGTGCCCTGAGAAAAGAGTGGCACTGCTGCTGAACTCACGGAAAGCCCTGCTCCCCTGGTGTCCAATGCGACTATACTGTTGCCATAGTCCCCTGTTCATTATCGTAGCCATTGTGCGCAATCAATGTTGAATCTGGGAATCTCCATGTTCTGCCCGGAGATTATGCGGAGCCGGTCCGATAATTTCTCCGACCCCGGCCAAGAGGACAAGTGCCCCCCGTTCGGAGACATGTATCTATACCGCTGGTCGTTACTAGATCCTCTTCATTGCCATTGCTTCATTTACTTTTGTTTCTACTCCCTATGAAGGGCTAGATGCTCTGATTCGGATTACCACGTTCAATGTCTTCTTCTGAACCTACGGCCGCCGCCGCCGCTACGCCTACCCCCGATGATGCGGCCCCGCGAGCGGAGCTCGATATCACCAAGCTCCATGCGCTGCCCTCCGAACAGCAGGACCTGTATCTCCTCACGTTTACCTCCGAATTAGTCCAACATGTATCTGTACTGGACAAAGCGCAGATATCATCCCAGCAGAAGTTCCTGAAGAAGGAACTGTTCAAGATCCTTACCCTATCTTCGCCGACGATTACTCGTGTTATCCGCAACAACTTGGGACGATGTTTCGGAGCTATACTGGGCAAGGGGGACCGTGGAATACTGTTTGAAACTGTAACCGATCTGCTGGGGGTCTTGAACGCAGGGAAGAGTGAGGAATTGAAGACGAAATTCGCCGCGGCGCATTGTTTAGGAGAGGTCTTTGCGGCTGCTGGAGAGAGCGCCTTTGCGCAGTCGGGCCTTGTGATCTCGAGCTTGCTCAAGTTGCTTAAACCTTCTGCCAACCATACCGGTCTCCGTGGCTCGATATTCTCTGTAATACGAAAAGTGGTCGTCGGGGCTGGGGTTCCGGTGGACGAAACAACGGCCCGTGATGTCTGGAAACAAGCTCGCAATGCAGCAACCAGTGACAAGTCGACGTTCGTCCAGCTTCATGCTTGTCGCTGTATTGAGCATTTAGTGAAGGTGACGCCCTACTTTGACAATTCGAATGACTTCGACAATCTGAAATCTGTAATCTGGAAAGTCATCGACAGCCCCGTTGCTCCCGTTCGGCATGCCGCTGCCGCTTGTTTGGCCCGAATCTTGGTTAAGCTTCATTCGCCAGATACCCGGATTCAGCCTGCTCCTAAGCCCAAGAAATCGAAGCGAATGTCCAAGAAGCCGACACCCAAGCCGGGAGAGGATGAGGATGAGGCGGAAGTTTCAGAACCATCGACCCCCAAGAAGTCAGAGTCGCGTCTGTTCTTCCTTCTGCCTGACCTTTTCCGTCAATTGTCGACACAGTACATGCGCAGCACCACCACCAATCGTGCCCGGGCAGCTATTGCCGTCTGCTACAAGCATGTCCTGCGCAACCTGGGCAACAAGTTCATCGAAGAACGCTATGGCCAAATCGCACACCACCTCCTGTTCGAGCTTCTCAACCATCCCACCGTGACATATAATCGTTTTCGCCTTCTCATGACGAGGAAGTTTGTCAAGAGTATCTTGGAAGACACGATTGGCCGTGAATCGCTCCGGGAGAACAGCCAACTCAATGCAGCGAAGTGGTTGATCAACGAGATTCTCAAGGATTACCCCCAGGTCATTCAGGAACGCCGCGAACCCAGCAAGTATACCTTGACAAGCACGCTCAGTGCGTTGTCATCTTTGATCAGTTCCCTGGGCTCCGCTTTTGGCACATTGGCTGAGAGCTGTCGTGAGGCTCTGATTCAAGTCCTTCCCCATCCAAGCTATACTGTTCAGATCCATTCTGCGCACTGCTTGCGGGCATTTGTATTAGCTTGCCCGCATCAGCTTCTATCATGCGTGACGATTTGCCTGAACAGCCTGAGCAGGGAGATCGGTCAGCTATCCACACCTCGACAGTCACCACGCCGCTGTGTTGCCTATGCAAACGGGCTTTCGGCCATGCTGAGCACGTCTCGCCTGCAGCCTCTTTACGGTTCTGTGGATGTTTTTGCTCGCGTTTTTACCCAGGCTACCAATCTATTGAAGACAAGCACCAGCTCCGAACTACGTGCTGCAGGCACACAGGTCCAAGTTGCCTGGATTCTGATCGGAGGACTGATGCCCCTTGGTCCCAGTTTTGTGAAGATACATCTCTCACAGTTGATGCTACTATGGAAGAATGCCCTTCCTAAACATATGGGCAAAGAAAGCTTTGCTCAGCGTGGAAACCTGGAGATTAGCTTCCTCACCCACGTCAGGGAGTGCGCCCTGAGTTCATTGCTAGCGTTCATGGAATTCAACGCCAAATTGATTACGTCCGATGGCGCGAAAAGAATAGCTAGTATGTTGCAGAACACTGTTGACTTCCTTCATGACCTTCCCCGACAAAAGTCTGCCGAAGATCTGTCCCAGCGGCTCCACCCGTCATTGCAGTTGCATGATCTCGCCACAATGGTTCGTCGACGAGTGCTTCAGTGCTTTTCCAAATTGATTCACATCCACCATCTTAACCCCGGCGAGATCATCTCCCAGTCAAGCTTGCTGGGTCTTGCAATCTCATCGTTTGCGGACCCGGATTCGACACAAGCTAGTCCTTTGGAGAGCTCTATCGCAGCTTCTAGTAGTCAGTTCGAGACTCTGTGGGATCTATGCGACAATTTTGGATTTGGCGTCACGGGGTTGGTTAGGGAGTATATCGGTGCGACATTGTCTGGAAAGCATGATAATGACAACGGACCAGCTTGGTCCGCTGTTGAGTCTGGGGACCAGGCCATTGATGATGCTGTAAGTCGATCCTCTTCTATACAGCCCTACTGCCGACTTGGACTAATGTTTTCCGCAGTTGACTTTCCCGATTTGCCAAGCAAGCGAGCATGATTCTGTTCTCCTGTACTGTTCCAGAGATGGCGACGCTCTTCACGCTGACCCTCCCGCCACCGGGGTTGTCAATGCTTCCATTGATCTGTTTTCAGTTGCCATCCCATTGCATGCCCCGAAGGTCCAGGAAAGCACCGTGGAACAAATTGCAACGTTCCTGTCTTCCCCGGCCCTTCAGCGTAATCCTGGGCGCAGAGCTGCGATGGTGGTCAATGTTGCTGTCGCTCTGCTTCAAGCCCTGAAAGTTGCTGTTAAAGAGGCAGGTTCGGCCGCGGGCAGATTGAATCCTGCTACCGATAAGATTCTACAGGAGCTTTTGCAGGTGAGTGATATGGATCTCCTAGCATCAACATTGTGGCTAATGTTTACTAGAAATTCATCATCGACGCTGATCCAATTGTTCGGACGATTGGCTCTGAGGCGCTCGGGCGACTATGCTACAATTCTGGAAATACCTTTACCAACACGGCAATCAACTGGCTTGTGGACACCATCGTTGAGATCCGGGAACCTAACGCTCGTGCTGGCTGTGCTGCTGCTTTGGGTTGTATCCATTCCCAGATCGGTGGTATGGCGGCTGGTTTGCATTTGAAGACTATTGTCGGCATCTTGATGTCTCTGTGCAACGACCCACACCCTGTAGTCCATTTTTGGGCACTCGGAGGGTTGGAAAGAGTTTCTAACTCTGCGGGCTTGACATTTTCCCCCTTCGTGTCCAGCACGCTCGGAATGCTTGCCCGACTATACAATGCCGATACCCACAACGAAGAATCTACAACGTTGGCAACCTCCAACATTGAATTATCCTTCCTTACACCTGTCGTCGTTAGTCGCTGTGTTGATTCCCTGATTAACGTTCTGGGACCCGATCTTCAAGACATCGCTAAAACGCGCAACCTCATCCTCACGCTCCTCCGACAGTTCCAGCTAGAGGACAACCCAGCTCTGGTTACTGAAAGTTCGAAGTGCTTGGATCACCTGTCGTTATATGCATCTGGATACGTGGACTTTGCTGGATATGTGAAGCGACTTCAGAACGAACTCACTGCCAGTAACCCATTGATGAGGGATGTGGCAACCGGAGGTTTGAGCAACCTTATGAAGAGAGACGCCGCGTCTGTCATCCAGACTGCCGCGCCTGGCCTTGAAGAGCAAATCTGGCTCGCATTCGACGATACTCCCGACAATACAATACTCAAGAGCATGATCCAGGACTGGCTGCAACAGACGGCGCTTACAGAAACTGAACTGTGGATTCAACGGTGCCATACCATCCTGACCAAGACCCGTACCAAATCAGATGAGCCCCCACCGCCATCTGCTGCTCCCAAGACCGCTGGCGGTGATATACAAGACGATGAAGTGGCTGGCTTCGCGTCTGCTGTTGGTGAAGGACAAGCTGAGGCACCAGGTGACACTGTTGCGGGCCAGGAGTTGCTGAAATGGCAGACTCGGAACTTTGTTATGGAGTGTCTTAGTGAACTATTAGCGACGGTGCAAGAGGCGATCTTGCCTGACCAGACGATCCCTGCTGAACTTGCCCTGCAGCACAAGGTCGGTGATATTGTCCGGATGGCGTTCTCAGCGTCTACGGCGAATGTTGTGGGATTGAGGGTGTGGGGGTTGAAGATTATTGATCAAGTTCTTAAGGTATGGCAACTTTCTTGACCCGTCAAAGTGATTTTGGCTTATGTGATCCTAGATGTTTGGCAAAACTCCAGATCCGGACTTTATAGAGGCGTCCCTGCTCGAACAATACCAGGCTCAAATTGGTTCGGCTCTTACGCCGGCCTTTGCGGCTGATTCGTCGCCCGAGTTGGCTTCTGAGGCTATCAATGTGTCTGCCACGTTCATTGCCACTGGTATCGTGACCAATATCGAGCGGATGGGAAGAATTCTCAAGTTGCTGGTGCTTGGCCTTGAGAATTTCTCTAGTAAGTTCATTCCCACCACCGGTTTGCAGCCGACACATACTGACGCGAGTAGAAAACCCGGATACCACTGAGATTGGTGACCTGAAGGGACTGAACTCGAACGCGAAGGTCATGGTCAAGTTGGCCCTCTTCTCGGCCTGGGCCCGACTACAGATTGCGAGCATTGAACAGGAATACTTGACACAAGTAGTCCAGCCTCATCTTGCAACGCTTACTCCGCTGTGGCTCTCGTCACTTCAGGAATATGCGCGCTTGAGATTCGAGCCGGATATTTCGGGAAGTCTGGGAACAGGCCCGCTTACTGGCAACTTGGACGAGGTTTATGCTGCGCTGAACCGGGAGACTTTGCTGAAGGTGAGTTTCCACACTCCTCTTTATTCCTGTTCTGGATCTCGAACTGACACGCAATACAGTTCTATCAGGATACTTGGTTGAACCTTGTCGACGCCATCGCCGGTCTCGTCGAAAAGGACATAGACTTCGTTTTCGATGCGTTGGATGGCCGATCGAAGCCCGAAGAGCCCAACGAAACTGAGGGTGACGAAGAGAAAGAGACGAATGGTGTCACAGAGGGCAAGGGCCACGATATCAATTACCGTGACGAACCAGTTGCGTTCTTTTTCGTCCTTTTCGGATTGGCGTTCGAAGCTCTTGTTGGCCAGTCGACTTCGCCAGCGCAAAGACTGGATATCCTTCAGGCTCTTCGGAGAATTCTGCGACCTGTCATATCTGGCAATGCTATCTACCAGGAGGCTATTTTCGGGGAGACGATGGATAGCCTGGACCGTTTGGTGTTGACTGAGAGCATTCCCATCCAGAACGTCATCGTTGAGATAGCCCGGAATTTGTCTCTGGACCACCCGTCCGCCAAGAGTGGACAGGCACGAAGTGACCATCTTTCTGACGATATCGAGCAGCTTTTCGAATTGACGAGGAGTATCATTCTTGTGCTTGCGGGATTGCTACCTAACCTCCGTGAAGCTACACCACTTGCGCGGTTTAACGTGTCGTCTGAAGACTCATTATCGCTAATCCGTCTTTCCCTGTCTTCTCTCGTTGATGTTGCCTCGATATTCCCGTCCATCATTCGCGACGATCTCCACGCGTGCATCCTACACATCTTCAGCACTATACTGGCCACTGGGATATGCCAAGCGGAAGTGGTGCCGCAAGCGCTTCCGATCTTCAAGAACTTCGTCCACTGGATCACGCACCCGAGCGACAATGAGCCTGAAATCTTGGAGAACCTCACCGTCGTATCTCACCAGCTGCGCGGCTGCTTGACCCGCTTCCTTGCCACCCTTACCATCGCTCAGCGTCGAGAATCCGAATCCTCTCTCCCCTGCGCCAGGAACACACTCCTGGCTATCACCATCCTCCTAACTACAGGTGGTCACGTTATCCCACCACAAGATCCTGTCCTCCCTCAGATCCTGAACGAGCTCCTCGACTGCTTGCAGGACGTGGGTCTTGCAAACGTCGCAGCAGGGTGCATCCGCTCTATCCTCCTAGCACCGAACCCACGATCTCCTACAGACGAGGTCATCGCCCGCTACTTAACTCCAAGACTCATCGCCTTCCTCGTCAGCTGTCCCATGGAGAACGGCGAAGTCCCCAACGACCCCGAAGGATGCCGGACCATCATTGCACGCACGCTAGTCAACTGCGTCAGCCACGGTACTTTCGCCGCAAATGAGATCCCATCTGCTATGTCCCTAGTTTTCTCCACACTACTCGCGCGCGGGAAACGCGAAGGACGAGCCGTGTACAAGGAAACAGCGGGACACTTGCTCGAACTTGCGAAATCGGACCAGATGGTATTCCGTGCGATGGTTGCGAGTATGAATGCTGAGCAGAAGGCGTTGCTGGAGGAGGTGTTGAGAAATGTGGAGGTTGATTCTGGTGCTGGTAATAAGGCTGCGAAGAATAATGGGGAGCAGCAGGAGGAGCAGCAAAGTGGACCTAGTATTGCGTTGAGATTTGATTTTTAGTTTGATTGATTGTTTGTAGCTTTTGTTTCTATTCACTTTTGTATAGATCACGACAGGATGATGAAGATGGAGATGTATTCAGTTGCGCGTTGATGCATTTATATATAGAGCTCTAATTGAACACATGAAATAGTTTTCCATTTTCCAGTTTAAATTGTTCGCTATCACTCTAACTCTTTGATCGATTCTGCATAATATTTGCTCGTGGTTCTTCATCCTCGATTCATGCCTCGTTGCCTTGGTTCTACTTGTCATCGCTGCCTATAGTTACTGGCTTCTGCCTCAAGACTCGCCATATATTCCCTCGCTCTCTTTCTTTTCCTCTTCTCTCCGTCCTTCTCACAACTATCTGCTCGTCTTCTTTTCCCCTCGTATTTCATATAATTTCATTTATTTCTCTTCTACTATATCCTAAAGTACCATCTACTATCGTCTGCCCTAAACCACACCATCTATTTACTATATTCTTACCATATCTTTATCATTTCCTCTGTTCTTGGCCCATGGAGGGTGGCAGGGAAAGGGCCTGGGAAACACAGAGCCATATATATACTCCGCTATATATATCCAGCTCACAACTCACAACTCACAGCACAGCACAGCAACACTGGTCCCTGGTGGGAGGTTGGTAACGATGCTCTGGGTTTCCCAGTCATCGTTTCCGACCGACTGACCATGCTGGACCGTGAGAGTTGACACTGTCATGCTCTCGTGGGAAGGACTGGTTGGGCGGTAGGGTTGGGCCTGGGATGTTCTGGCTAACTATTTGCCGTGTTTATGTAAGTTTTGTTTTCTCTTCCCGGTTGATTGATCATTGATGGATCATTTCTGACTTGCTACAGAATTTTGTGACTATCTTTAGTTACAACAGGCCCCTGGTGGGAGGCTGGTAGCAGTGTTCTGGGACTCTCGGTCACTGGACCAGTCGACTGATCATGCTGGACTGCAGGGACGTTGGCACCCGTCACACCCCTGTGGGAAGGACTGGTTGGGCGGAAGGGCTGGGCCTGGGGGGAAGACCACTGTGTTTCCCTGTTTTGATATAATCTCTGGTATATAATGTGAGTGTTTGTTGCCTGTCTGATAGATTTTTGTTGCAATGTATGCTGACGTGGTACGGAGTACAGAAAATCTCAAATACAATGACAGGCCCTGGAGGGAGGTTGGTGATCAAGTCTAGAGTTCGCTCAAGTCATCGTCTCCAATCGACTGATCATGCTGGACCGCGAGGACTGACACTGTCACCCTCGTGGGAAGGACTGATTGGGCGGCAGGGTTGGGCCTGGGACATGTGATCTGCCTATTTGTCGTTTTCATGTGAGCTCTCTGTTTCTGTTAGATTCATCGTGTCTGCTGACTTGGCATATAGTATCCTATATACGACAACAGGCCCCACGGTAGGGTGGTTGGGTGGGCCTGGGGGGAAGGGTACTTCCTCAGTTCGACTTCATATCTGCCACAATAAAGTGAGTATCCCTTCCCTGGCCGTGATGAGCCGTATCTGACTTGGTACGGAGCAAAGAACATTCGACATACGACAACAAGTTCCTGGTTGGGTCTGCCGAGTTTAAAATGACGTCGTGGAATGGAATCCTCTAACTCCTGGAAGATATTTATACAATGTTGTGCTTTCCTCACGGAGAAAGGCCAGTCTTTGGTTATGAATCTATCTACTTCTGCTTTTCACTGTTCTCTATCTTTTCGAAGGCGCTTCGCTGCTTGCAATGACAACCACCTTCCTCTTCTGTGGTGTATCCTAAGGCATCAAATCTAGGCAGATATCTTAGGGGCTATCGTTGATCAAGAATGATGTGATGTTCTAAACAATAAAAAAGCTAGCAAGCGCTATAAACAACCTGATATGATTCAACATATCGTAGCTGGATAGAATTAGAGAACCCTATCGCCGTAGCGCTACCTTCCAACAGCGGTAGCATAACATACTATCAAACTCAGACTCGTCCTTATTCCGACTCCATTCTCAATCCTTCTTCCTCTACATGACCCTACTAGTATATATAAACCTTCCTCCTCTTCTGCACTACAGACCAGGAAACACCGGATCTGCCACATATAGAACCCCCCTCCCCCGTCAACAATTTCGAAACTGGTTTCAAAGATTGGAGTGATGCCGAGCTTCGCAACTTGCTCCAGAATACAACGGTAGATTTGAATTGGTGAAAGGTTTCAATGATAGTTGGATTGCTGTGCTCGATGAGAAATCTGCCGCGTAGGGGACGGTGGTTATGCACTATGCCTATGAGAAATTGACATGGGATATAAGCGGGGAGTTCATACCGGGTAATGGGCAGATCTGTGAGGATGAGGATAGCTGGTGGAAGTGGATGGTTCCGTCCAAGTATGCGTGGGTGTTTTGGAATTCTCTTAATAATGTTGATGTGGGTCTCAAGCTATGCTCACGGCCTGAATACGTGGGTGAAGATGGGGTTTTGCAGGTGCATATTCCACAGGCTATTAATAATTGAGGGGGAGATTGAGGAGCCGAAGGGGATAGTTTAATTTAGTACAATGCGAGGATGCGGCTCTATGTACAGTGATTTCATTTTGATGGCGTAAAACGATATATTCGGGGGTATTGATGGTAATTTCGTATAGGTAATGGATCTAGGACCATGCACAGTATCAAAGCCGTACAGGAAGACACGAGTGAAGAAAATGTAGTACAATAAAAGAAAGTAAGATCCTCTACATATCACATGGCAAGGCTTCTGGAGAGCATCTAACCCAGAGACTCGCCAACGTCGGCCCCTGGCGCCAGTGATGACGGTAGGACTTCGGGGGTGTCTTGGATGACCCGAGTCTCTTTGACCTCCTTGACTGCCGCCCCCTTTTCCTTCTTTTCAGCGGTACCGGTTTTGCGGACGGAGTAGTACTTGAGGAAGATGATGATCATAACTGTCAAAGTTAGTGTATAGATTCTGTGTGGCTTGGATAGGAGGGTAACTCACTGGCACTCGTTGCGACAGCCATAGCGGCCCTTCTGGTCAGGATCCACCGAAGACCCTCAATCTCACTCTTGCCATCGCTGTTCAACGAAACCGTAATTTTGTAGTTCAGCTCCTGGACAGACGTATCGATACTCCGCTGGTGTTCCCTAGAGGTCATTTTGTGGTCGTTAAACATTCCCTTGATGTCGTCCTTCAGCCCTGAAAGCTCCTGGTTGAATCTCTGAGAAAGAATGTCGATCTCATGTTGCAGTTGCGTCCGGGAAGCACGTTGTCTCTGCACTTCCGAATTCCGAGCAGTTTGAAGGGACGACTGCAGTTCTGAGCAAGCAGCATTGAATAGATACGTCTCATTCTCGACGTCGGATTTAGATGTTAAGCTATCCTTTGCGAGGTTGATGTTGTTCTGTAGAATTTGCCGGACGGATTTCATTATCGTGATGGAGTTCTCCTCACCATAGCCTCCTTTGGAGAGATCGCGGACCAATGAGTAGGTATCGAAGTGGTGGACATAAGGAGCCGGGGACAGGTGTGGCGGTTTGTCACCGGACGGTCCCGACGGCGTCGGGGTGAGATAATTCGAAGGAGAAGGCATATGAAACACACCGTCCAGAGGATTATCCTGAATGTGGCGATGGACATGCTGTTCCTCCTCCGGGTGCTCAGCCGACGAGGAAAGCGCATCATTGGCTTCTTCGGCGGTTATCCTGGCCTCATCTTGCGATTCCGCCTCCTCAGCTTGTGCGTCACTCTCTTTCGACTCTGCAGTCACTTCCTTCTCAGCTGGCGAGGATTGATCAGATGCATTATTTTGGGAAGATGCATTATTCTTGGACTCCTCGTCGCGCGATTGCTCGGGTTGGCCGATGGGCTGCTTCTGCTGACTCTTGGAGCTGTCCTTCTTCTCCTTCTCCTTCCCCGCGGGTGGGTCCGTGGCAGATCTGCTAGCTTCTTCTTCGTCCTTGGGCCGGAGGGATGGTGGAAGATTCGCTTCGGCCGCCGGTCCGTATCGTCGATGATATGCCTCTTCTTCACGTCGCCGGGTGGTGTGGAAGGCAGCACGCTTGCTGACTGGAGCTCGAATGGAGCGGTACGTAGTGGGTTCGCACGAACGGACTGCGCGCATCAAGTTCGGGTAGAGAAAAGGAAGTCTTGGAGCAGCCATGATGGGAGAATGGCAATTGATGGAGAATTATCAAAAAACAACAGATTAAGAGACCAAAGGAAATGCAATTATTGAAGCAGTTGCGGGATGGAGAGTTAACAGCGGCGTGAATTTCCCGCGGCAAAAGGAAGCGCAACCGGAAAGTGGAAAACGTGACGTGAGCGGTGAAGATCCCCCGCGGAAACTAAGACCAGTTTAATCGCACCGTTTTTTATTGGGAGAGAAGGAGAAAAGGGAATATTGAACAGTAATACTGCGCTGTATCATGATGGGGGGGGTGAACTGTATTTTCTCTGCTTTTTCCGGTCTGAAAAGCGTCATTTCTTCGGGGTGCATATAAAACGGAGTTCCTCAGAAACGCATACTTGTATAGGCACATGATTGACAGCAATAGTTTGAAGAGAAGAAGGATACAAAATGAAGTCCCTTTAGACCAAGGGGCCAAAACGAGGATAGAGACAGAAAAAAAACATGCCCTCCTTTCAAGTAAAGACCATGAGCTCAGCCATGGGTCATTCTTTCGGCCCCGGATCTTATCTCGACCTCAAGCTAAAACCGTTCGGCCATCATCAGAGCGCCGAATTCAAGTATCAATAAAGCCTCGTGGTATGGTAACTTTAATCATTTTTCAACTTGGCCGCATCGAAGTACTGTTGCTCACTGTTCTCTTCACTCACATCACTCATAGAAACTTTCCTAGCAGCAATCCGAGCCAGGAATTCCAACAACCGTTCCGTATTACGATCGTAGCCATCACCATCATCAAATCTGGAAAGAAAACTCAGTAGTCGATCACCTGAGACGGTGAGACTTTCTTCCAAGGAATAGTGCCCGGGTGCTGTTGCCGGCCGCACCGGCCTCCACGACTGTGCAGGAGCCTCTATCTTGATCCAGTTGATTGTATGTTGTTGTTTTGGTTACTATCCAGCGTATCATATAACTGATACCGGATGACCCTAGCTCCTCTAAGGTGGTGACACCGCCATCAAAGCTCGTGAACGTCGCTTTCTTAATGTAAGCAATGAAGACAGGTTTCTCAAGGGCAAACACCGTTGTATCTGGTGCAGAGCTGATAGATTTTATAGTAAAGCTTGGCCATATATTCTGTACCAGGAGGTGGTGATTATGCAGAATGTTCAGGATGATGTCTCGGTTCGTGTCAATACCAGCAGGAAGTTGGATGTGTTTTCGTGCCCGTTCAAAGGTGGCGGGGAAGAAGTGATTGAAGAAGCCACTGGGATGTGTATTCATGCTGTTAGCCTGAAAAGAGAAAAGGTTCATTGACCTGCACTGTACTGAGTCCTCCAGTTGCGCCTAAGGTTTGAAGCCGTTGCGACTTAGTGATGCGACCATATGGGTATGAGAAGATAAGAATTGAACGATGAGAGACAAATTAGCATGGGTATAAAGAGGTGAGGAATGGTCATATGGATGGGAATACACCTTACAGAGTGTACGGGATGCCAGGAACGTAGAGAACATGCTTTAATTAAACCAGAAACCAACATCTCCAGCTTCCCAATCTGGATTTGTCTCGCTTCTAAGTCAGAGCGGCTAGTCAATCATTATAGCAATAGAATTAGTCAAGCATCTACAAAACCTCGTCGTATAGTAGCGTCAGTCCTTTTTCGATTTACCAACGCTGAGATATCCCCGCACATTGTCAGCCAACTGGAACATCCTCTCACCCATACCAGTTGTAGGAGTCTCCTGACCATCAATGTAATTCAGAAGCTTTATCAACCATCTTGTATTACAATAATAAGAGTTATCACATTGGAAAAGCCAACGCGATAGTATATCACCACCCGAGAATGTTAATGTTTCTTCCAAGAAATAGTGCTCTGGAGGGGTTGTTAATCAATCCCTATTCTCATCTGCATCTGCGTGGCTGTATGTTGTCTTTGCCACTGTCCAGTGCACCAGGAAGGTTCTCCCAGATGGTGACAATTCCTCGAAGACAGAAACGCCATCGTCGAGGTTAGTTAATGTAGCTTTCGCCGTCCGTATATCGTCATATGAAATCCTCCGTGTAAAGGTAAATACGGTGTTTCCTGGTACTGAATAGATTATTGTAGGCGAAAAGCGAGACCACAAATGTATCAACAGGCGATGGTCGTGCAGGATCCTGAAGATAGTCTCTCGATTCGTGTTGATGTCTGGGGGGGTTGGACTGGCTTTTTATCCTGTTCGATGATGATATTGAAGTACCGATCGATATAGGGCTGCCTGTCGGATCTCTCAGTACCCCGTCTACCTCCTTCACATCTGTCCGTATATTTGATTTACCATCATCTTTCTTCGACTATTGATTTGATTTCATTTTTTCCCTCGATATTGGTTCAGTTTCAAGACCATCACGATGGAACGTCCCTTTCTCCTGCTCTTGTTTGTTGTATCCGTCGCCGCGTTCCTCGTCAATGAACTGTTCGCGATCCAAGGACTTATCGAATTCTGCGCTCCCTGTACTGAAGAAGGTATTCTAAACATGCTAGGAGGAACTCTGACGGCTGTCTTAGTTGCTGTCTTGGTTTTCGAGGGCTACAAGCGGTGTCGCGAGGGTATGTGTCTACGGGTTCCATCAGTTGCAGAGGCGAGCTAGTTAATAAGTCGAATAACTTCAGTCTAGTCCGCGTCTCACAAAATATCAAGTCCCCAAGCTACACTGGATATGTGGCTTACTTCGTAATTTACTTGTACATCATGTTGAGTTAAATCACCGAATTGAACGCTTGTGATTTCTCGTCCGACCTTTCAACGTCGATTTCCCCAAGTACGAAAACAAACACACCATCGGGGGTACCTATCCCTTTCCAAGTCTTAAGCAAGTTTTACGGGGTGTAGTTCTGGCAGTGGGGCGAAATTCCAGAATGGGCCGTGATCTTCATATGGTTTTCTGGGTATACCTGGCTTGCGCTAGGTCATCGTATGCTGCTGTGGAATCTATTACTCGTTGCCAATGGCGCAAGAAACTTGGCCAAAGGGTTTACAGGCGTTGACGAAAGAGCCTCCGGGGAGAGAAGGCCACTGGTCGACCATTCTCAGCGCCAGCAACGGGCCCACCCACCTGTTCAACCGTCACTCCACGAATTCGAGAATGACACTGTCCGACAAGGAACATCGCAGAGAATAACGAGGAATATGAGGAACGTCGGAGGCTGGCACGGGCAGCCACACTGCATGAGCAACAGGACGATGAAGTTGAGAAGGCGTCACTTCTAGACTCTCAGCTGGCTAATCCTACGCCTAAAAGAGCCACGGCAGAGGCCGCACACACCTCCGATCCCACTTTACCTAACGGTGCCTCGAATAAAGCACCGGACATTGCTGTCGGAGCCACGGATACTATCACAAGTGATACCAACGATACGACTGTTCAGACCACCGCAACCAAATCCGAAGCACAGGGAGGGGATGATACTCCGTGTTCAACGTGCTTGGGTGGTGCTTACTCGTTTCAAGATATGGCTTGAGGGGTTGTTGGGAACAGCTAAGGATTCGTTGCCTGAAGCTGCGGGGACGTTTTTGATTGTCGAGCTGTAAGTTCACCTTCTACCGTTTTTATCCTTCGATGAGGACATTTACACCCCTTGTTCTGGAACAATGATACTGCGGCCAGTGACTATGTGCCACAATCTTTGCTGTCCTCCGGGTGTGCTGGGGATATTTTTAGGGCCCATTTCAGGAACGACGGCAATGCCGGTTCATTATCACGCCCAGTCAATCCTCTCCGGTACAATCACTATGACCATTCTTCGACCATCACACTGTCCTGTAAGCGAAGTCGGTGGAGAAGATGGGACGCCAATGAGGCTTTACAAAGGGTTATTGTGTGGGAGATTTGTGCTTCTGGTGCACCGCATTTGCAAAAGATCTGGATTCATGTATTGTACACATTAGAGGCCATCATAATCCATACAAAAGGTCTCTATAGGGCAAATCCTTTAATTGGAATAGAAGAAGCAGCGTACAAAGAAGGTAGTGTTGCATTCACTACAATCAAGTGCTTGAACAAACAAAATCATGCCTGGTGTATTCACTTTTCTCTTTATTGCTTGGCCCTTCCACCATGCACATAACCGCGCTGCGTCTCTCCCACCTCTGCTTTCTTCGATTTTTCCCATCCCATTTCTTTTCACTTCAGTAACTTCAGCCATCCTAATCCTAATCCCAGTTCCAGATTCATGTTCACTTACCTACCTGGCTTCTAGAGCTCGCAGCTACCCAGACGACACGCTTATAGGGGTCCCTGGGCTACCTTGACCCAGAGGAGACGACAATCCCGACTGGGCGTGAGCTGGTGCTATCAAATCAGCCAGAGTTATCAAGCAAGACAGTTCCATCGAATCAGACTGCATCATCAACTCAGACCACAGTTGTCCATATCAGTCGTCTGAATCTAAAGAAGTAAGCGTCAAAATCCAGCAGGGCGATGGACTGAAGATTCTAACATACACGCGTACTCTTTAGACGAAGATCCAAGATGGTATCCCAGGAAACAACGTTGTCCTCGCTGCTTCTACGAACGGAGCCACCAAGCCACCTGGAGTATACCATCGCCGTGTCGAGCATTTCCAGCTGGAATCTGAACATTTTTCAAGACGAGTCCAACCGTGATTCCGTTTTGTTACACGCTGACCGTGTCTTGTCGCGTCTAAAGAAGCTATTTGAAGCTTTTCAACAACAAGACCTGCACCAGGACGTCTTAGAAGGACTTGTTCGGGGCCTCGTTCTTCCCCTCATCCATGATGTCGACCCGCTGTTTACGGTCGACCAAGCTTTTCCTTTGGTCGGAGCTGCTCTCCCAATCGTTACAAAAGCGTCATCGTCATGTATTCGAGAGGCTGCGAAGGTATTGCTCGACGTCGATGGTCTGCTCGAGCGACTGCTCTCGCACGAGCGCTACATTGTGGTGCTGAAGGAGTGGTTCTCGTCGAAGAATAGCCACCTGGACAAGATACTTGTCAAGAGGCTCACAGACAAGCTGGTGGGAATGTGTGATAACTGCACCGGTCGCCATGGCATCCAGACAGTCTGTCAGGAGTGGCATACGGTCAAGGCTCTGATGGAGTCCTTGGCTTATTTGGCTAATTTTGTGGAAGGTGAGGAGTTAAAACAACATCAGAAGATCCGCGATCTTCCTCTTCTTGCTGGGATGAGAATGCTTGACCGGGACGACAAGAAGACGAATCGAGCACGCCAGGCAAAGCAGAGAGAACTCAGTATTCCTGAGCCGACTTGGCAACAGCTATCGTTGCTCGGTATCAAGAAGCCCGAGTCACTTCGAGCCGTTCAAAATATCCAGGAGGAGCTTGAGAGCGAAAGGACTGCGTCTATTTTACGCGCTGTCATCGATACCTATCCTTGTAGGCTCTGCTGGGAAGTGGTAACTGGAAAGTCATCACTACCCGTATACAAAGTCAAGCTTTCCGAGAACACCAAAGGCAGCAGTGTCAAATGCGATATATTTGGGAAGCGCATCGGACTTTGGAAAGTTCTGCTGACGGACCGGGCTTTCAAGAGCTCTAGGAAGCTAGCACGTACAGGTACGAGTATACCTTGTTCAGATCATAACCGTGCCTCGCTAACACAGTATAGGGTCCTTTGATAGGGTGGAGCGGAAGCTCAGGGAGCTTGCTAACGGTCAATGGAAAGGAAAGGATATATCGCACCGTGTCGGCACCAAAAAGCAGAGACACGAAATGCGGATCCCCGTTCTTCAGGCCGTTGTCACACGCGAGTTGTCCATGCTGTGGCAGATAGACATTGGCTTCTACGAGGACCAGCCCTGGGAGAGGCAGCAAGTTGTCAAAGGTTAGCTCGATTTCCGCTTTGGCTGTGCAAGGTATATATCTAACCCCCACAGTTTGGCACATCGTCGATTCCGAAGATGAGGTTCGTCTGAAACCAGTCCTCTCGCGTTAGTAAGAATACTGACATGGGAAGTAGATACCCAATGCCATAAACCAGGTCATTTTCCTTCAGCAAGCCTATACTACCGACGATGTCCATATGTGCTCCCAGCGTCCAATTCAGCAGTCGGATGGGAGGTTTTTGCCAGCGAAATTTGATAATATAAAAAACAACAGGAACTATTCCCGACCAGAGCCTGCTCCTGCTTCAAAGGCAGCGAACAGAGAGCTCATCGACATGTCAAGTAAGTATCACTAATCCGGATTTGGCAGTCCTTGAAGTGCGTTGCTAATCGCTCAACACAGACAAGTTCTACAGTCTCACCGAACCATTCCTGAGAACCATAGTCCATGCTACTGGCGCCGAAGAGGTTCCATTTGATTTATCTCCGGAGGAAATTGAAATTGTCAGCCATTTCAATACCTCCAGCTTGATTCTGGGACGAAGCGGGACTGGGAAGACTACTTGTCTTCTTTTCAAGATTCTTGCGAAATATAGGGCCCAATCGATGTCGGACGGGCCACCTATCCGACAGGTAAGTGGGATTCTCTTAGACGAGCCCAATCACCATCTAATAAAGAGAGTAGCTTCTCCTCACGCGCTCGCCGTATCTGGCTTCGAAATTACAAACTTACGCAAAAAGCTTGATTCAGACTCAAGCTCACGGAAAGCCTCTTGTAAATATGAGTGATGAAGACGATGACCTCCTGAATGAAGAGGGATCTGACGAGCCGCTGTCGCTGTTCTCTTTGGAAGACAAGAGTTTCCCGTTTGTTTGTACCTACGATCAACTGCTGCGACTTCTCGACAATACCATCCAGTTAAGTTTTCCGATCCCACAATCGCTGTGGGATTATAGCACTAACTGCTGTACAGGAGGGCTGACCGCAGTAATTTCCTTCATGATGGGCCTACTGCTTCAGCTAATGTTGCTAGAAGAGTAGGCGTCTCCAGAGGACCGAGGATGGTCGACTTTAACGCATTCAAAGTCGAATACTGGACGTGCTTGGCCGGCATAATACCTTCACAGTGTCCACCAGAGCTTTTGTTCTCAGAAATCATGGGTGTCATCAAAGGCTCGAGCTTAACCGCCATGTCGCTGGAATGGCTCGCTCGTGAGCAATATCTCTCGAGAAGCTCTAAGGCCTCTCCAGCATTCTCTGGCGAGGCTGACCGTGAGCGAGTGTACGCAGCATTTGAGCGCTATGAGAAGTTGAAAAAGCAAAGGAATGAAGTTGATGAGCTAGACCGGGTCCTTGGGCTGCTGCGTTCTCTCAGGAACGATCCTGCTTTGAGCCAATTGGTGCGTCAGGGTTTCGAGGAAATCTATGTCGACGGTAATATCTCTTCTTGACTGTTGCTTTTGCGATCGCATGCTAACTACAACCAGAGGTCCAAGATCTGCGGTGTTTGGATATAGTTCTGCTTCTCAACTGTGTTTGTGATGCTCGCGGCGTTCATCTTGGTTAGTAACGATCTTGAATGATTGGTATTACCCTTTTGCTAAGTGTATTAGCTGGAGATACTGCGCAATGCATATCCAAGGATTCATTCTTTCGATTCCCCGAGATAAAGGCCGTGTTCTTCGAGCATTATGACTCTGTCGCCGCTGAAACAGGCCAACCGGAATTGGCAAAGCCAACCCAATTCTCGCTGGCGAAGAACTATCGTTCTCATCAAGGGATCTTGAGTCTTGCTTCGTTTACGATGCAAATGTTGTGGAACGGTAATGGCCCGTAGAACAATACCACGAGACTGGCAACACTGACTCTCTTCAGGGTTTCCTGACGCGATTGACAAACTGGATCCGGAAATAGGTCAAGTAGGGGGTCCACGGCCAATGATATTTGGTAATTCCCCATACCCAAGCGGCAGAAAGACCCTAGCTTACCCTTATAACAACAGTCGGCTTTGACTCCGGGATCCTCTCTGCCAAGATGATCGGACTCGTGAAGCTCAATGACAGGGTTGCAGACTTTGGCGCTGAGCAAGTGATTCTTGTCCGCGATGAAATCGCAAAGGATCGACTCCAGAAGCAGATTGGAGAGATTGCGCTTGTTCTCACTATTTTGGAGAGTAAAGGTATGGAATTTGACGATGTCCTCGCTTACGACTTTTTCAGTGGAAGCAATCTTGGAAGCAGTTATCGATGCCTTCATCTTCTGGCTCGGGGGGCGAAAAGTCAATTTGACTCCCAGCGACATACTGTTAGTCCCCTTCTTCTGGAGTTGGAAGCACTGATTGCTAACTCACAGACAGGGTCTGTGCTCTGAATTGAAACACCTCTACGTTGCAATTACCAGAGCTCGGAATCAACTGTGGTTTGTCGAAAGAAACGAAAGCAGCGTGGACCCGGTCCTTCAGGCACTTCGCGCCAACAGAAGTGAGCAATTCGTTGAAGTAGTGAAGCGGAAGGATCCAGATGTAAGGAATCTCCACTGGATTGCTAGCGCCAAGCTGATAGTCTTCCAGGTCGCGGAAAAGGTTAAGGTTTTAAGAGCCGGTGGTTCGGTTGATCCCGAGAGATGGATCAAGCGTGGGGCACACCTCCTCCGCCAGAAAAACTTTGCCGATGTAGGGCTTACTTATCCTGGCTTGATAGTGAAAAGCTAACTTGAGAAGGCTCTCTTCTGCTTCAAAAAGGCCAGCTACAAGAAAGGAATTAAAGAGTCCCAAGCTTATCTCTATGAGCAGCAAGGAAGAACCTGTCGCGCGGCAGGGGACTTGGATGGCTACTCCGACAATTACGACAAGGCCATTGAACTCTTCGTTGAGATTGGTATGATTCGAGAAGCAGCAAAGTTCTTGGAGAGTCTCGAGAGATACGAAAGGGTCGCCAGTATGTATCTTTCAGAATGTTGTTAATGAGCGGGTGCTTACGTTGACTTAGGGCTTTGGGAGGAGAATGGTCAGCACCTGAAAGCTGCCGTTTTCTACGAGAAGGCGGGGCTTTTCGTAAATGCTTCGCACTCCTACGACGTTGTTGGAAAGTGCGAAGAAGCCGTAGAGGTTTTATGCCGTGGTGAACTTTTCGATGAGCTTATCGGATATATCCATCGGTACGACAATTGATTTATTGCTGTATGTGCAATTTACTGACCCTTACTACAGAAACAGTGCAAGGATTTCCGACAACACCATCCACAGATATTCGAGACTTTGCAACATCCTTCTGAAGCAGGGGCGTATCTCTCCAAAGTTGCGTGCGAAGACAATCGACTTGCTCGGATCCGACGTGGACAAGGAACAGTTTTTCCGAGAATTTGAATTGTTTGACCACCTTGGCACTCTGTATTCGTCCAAGAAGAGATACAGTGACCTCTTCAACATTTGTGTGCTTACAGGGGACCTCACCTCCGCCATAAACGCTGCGATCTCGTACGACCTGGGTTATACCGTCGAGGAAAGTAGTGTCGAAACGGTCTTTCACTATGTGATGGCGGAAACTGTTTTTGCACACAGAGGCTTAATCAAAATGGAAGTCAATCAACGGGGTGCGCTGCTCAAACCCCATAAGTTACCATACTTGACAAGAATTGCCTCGCAGTGGAAGAAGGCATTTGACCTCATTGGCCGTTTTGAGGACGAAGGGGAGCCTTACAACATCTCGCCTCTGGAAGACGGCCGCGTGAAGGACTTCTTGTGTTTGTTTGTAAGTGTGCACTTTCATCTGCTTGAACTGTGTTTCATGCTAATATTTCGAAGGCCATTGCGTTCGAAGGACACTCGTTTGCTCGTTCGAAGGTCTCTCTTATCCCTTTGGATGTTGTTACTCAGGCTGGGAAGATCATGCAGAACCTAAATTCGGAGGACACCGCATTGCAAGAGGGCCTCTTGCTTCTTTTTGGAGTCTTCCGCATGTCTGGCTCCACCGGAAAGACGGTCCTTCGCCCATGGTCGCCTTTGGCTGCTGACAGTTCCGAGAGCACGACGTCGTATTCATTTGAGGATCTGCTTCGACGTGCAAAGGAATGGATTGTCCCCAAGTTTTCAGAGATAGTCGCTGTCCTTGACGATACATTGAGCAAACTCTGGAAGTTAGAGACGCAGAAACGGTGTATCTCCTTTATTACCAGAGGTAAGGGACGTGAAGCTCGACCAAGCACCTTGCATAAACTAACATTTACATTTAGGCAATTGTTCGAACAAACTGAAAGGTTGTACATACATGCACGAGGTTCCAAATACCGAATACTGTACCTCAAGAGTAAATGTCAGTAGCGGCAGCTTTTAGAAAGACGTTGGCTAATTCGTCAAAAGGGACTATTGAGAATATGTTCAGTATTTTGCCAACTCACGCCACTTTACCTCCAAATGACCATGGACGATGACTTCCAAAGGCGATTTCTGGGGCGCAGTAAGTCTACTCAAATACAGGAAAGTGCGTTAAACTAATATTTCACTAAGGGCGGCGCTGGCTAGAGAACCTGATTGAAGAATTGACAGTTGTCACGTCTTTCGAACAATCACCCGAAGCAACAGTCCTTGCGCAATCTCACATTCGAACCAACAGGCAACTTGCAGCAACTTCTTCCTGCTTGGAAGAGCTCGTGTTTTATCGACTAGCGAAAGAATGGACGAGTCGTCAGAGCCTCACAATGATGCTGGAGCAAGCTCATCTGGCTCGTTTCTTGGGTAGGCAACCCTGTTTCTGTCATTAGTGGTGCTGAAAGTTGACATTTAAACACAGACCCGCAGATAAGCGTACGGTTTAGTCGAGCGTTGCACCATATGGTCTGGTATACCTTACAACGGCAAGGGGTGAACAGTAGCCTGGAGACTGCACATAACGCCGTGCTCCATACAGAGGGAATTCGCAATGCAATGGCATCGAACAATTTCAATATTTTCGTAAGTCAAGGTGTTCCATTAACATGGTCTCAAATGCTAACACGCACAAGGCCTCGCAAATTGGAGCATTCCTGTGCCATGTCGAGTACATTGACCTCAACGCGCTCTATGCGTATGAGGCGTTGATGTCGGTGTTTGACTTCACGGCTACATATCTGGTAGGAATAGCCATACCACACCGAGAGAATGGAAAGCTAACTTTAAGGATAGTTAAGCATGATCAACCCCGGGAATGCAGTGGCCATCCCATGGTCTTGGGCAGCGTTGCACCTTCCAGCGATAATGCATGCTCGCAATGCTAAGTCCGGAGGGATGCCAGATCAAGCAATTTTCGTTTATGGAAGCTGTCTCCTGAACCTTACCGCTGGCTTCTGCAGGATTGTTAGCAATCTGGAACGAGCCATGAGTCAGTACGGCGGCTACGGCCTCTCCTTCGGCCGCGCTCGTCCGGCCGCCTTTATCAGAAGGCGAAACTCTGACTTCCTTGCTACCGTTGTCCTGAATCTTGGTAACTGGCCGCTTCCGCTGAGGGGAATATCCGAACTCATAAACCAGGTTCAAGCTGTAAGTTGATTCGATCGCTGCCGGTCTAATGGTTCTAATGAAATTTGCAGTCTTTACCACCCCCTTCTGCTTCAGGCTCTAGCTTCCTCAAACGACTGCAAGAAGATCTCTTGGGTTCTTTTCGCCTGTACAATGGAAAGGACAAGATGTGTATTATCACCCTTGACGACAAAGCGACTCACCCTTTTTACCTAAGTAGCTTCTTCGAGAAGGGAGTTCTCGTTACCAAGTTAAGCGACATACTCCAAGGCTTCCAGGGAATAGCAGAAGCAGTCGCCGCCTCCGATGAGAAACGACAGGATATGAACAAGTCTGAAGAGGACGAGTACATGGGCTTTAACCCTGAGATAATTGTGCATCTACAGAGGCGTTGGAGGATTATATTAACCAGGATCCATGAGCAGCGCCGTGCCCGCAAAACCCACCACGGCCAAATTCTGATCTCGATACAGAAAATATGCTCGGTAGTCTTGGATGGAGAGCGGGGAACTCGTGCTTTCTCGGACATTCTGAAGATCCATATCAGAGCTCTATTGTTCACGCAAGGTATCACCATCCTAATCGAGATCGACAAAGCGACTAGGACCATTCGAGCGGCCCGCGACAGCTGGAAGGCAGCCATTGAGCGTGCCTTCACCATCTCCGAGATCGAGGTGCTGGACAACATCACTCCTCAGATCGGCAACGTTGAGTCCAAGCTGAGCAATCTAATGGAGGTGTGGTCGCTCCATGGCTTTGAGAAGCACATCCCACGTACTTCACCTGAGAAATGGAGGGCTGGGGCTTGTCAGGCCGTCCGTGCTCTCAAATCTATCAAATATGAGGTCGATGCGGTGGAGCGTAAGCTCGCTTCCACTGCGGAGTCGGGGGCTTGATCTGACATTATTATTTTATTCACCTGTACCTATATCCTGTTGCATGTACCTAGATTGATCTCCGCATTTTATCATGGAGCAGGATGTGATTGTATGAGTATGGAAATCTACAACTGTGACATCCGCACAGGAAGCTCGCCTAAAAAAGAAAAATCTCGTTACCATCCATACATCGTCGTCAGTGTTCATACTTTTCTATCCCTTAGCCTCCATTGGATAATTGTCCTTCCATCATTTACATCGAGGTTCTCGTCTTTTCGAGCAGCCGAAAGTGCTTTGGCTGTTCCATCACGGAGAGCAATGTAGAAAATACTCCATAATGTCACGGAGTGCGCACACATCCCCTGCCCGGTAAGTACTGAGAAGATACCACTCAGTGCGCGGATAACAGCAGCTTGCACTCGGCTATATGAGCGCTGCCCTGTTACATGTTAGCTTGGATCGAAGGCTTAGCTGCAAACTGTCTCAGCTCGTTGATTCGTTTGCCTGTCAGTCTAGTTATTTAGAAATCTGAGTTGGCTCAGACGCACTAAAAAAAGAACGGTAAATGGACTTACGGTCTGGTGTTCTTTACGATCCTTATCAGCAAGGGCAGTGCCACCAGCGACATACTTCTCGAATGCCGGGTAGACAACTAGTTCTTCACCAATGGAGTGACGGGCTAGCTCCCAGGTGAATTGATTCTGGTACTTTGTCTGCTCTTTCTTATCAGTCGATTTGATGATGGTGTTATAGTATGATTCGAGCTCGTGGTGGCCTTGTATAATCGCGTCAATAATGCGAGGGGGTCGTTTTGTTCGTGGTGATTGGGAAAATCTGCGTTATTGAATGAAGAATGATAAAGTGCTTGTACAGCTTGCGAGTAAGAGCTTAAGAAGAGGCGGAGCTCTCTACTGAAATTGAGATGATTGAGGTTTCTTACATGCTAGGTTGTATTTGTAATTGATGGATGGACTCGTGTATAACTTCAAGGCGGGACACGTCATGCTATATCTGAAATACAGCACATTCTGTTGGTCTTCTTGTCGGGTCATAATTTCTGGTTTCTGTTTACAGAGTTCCAGACATCTCAATGCAAGGTACGGCTTTGACATGCTTGAAAGGACCGGTGAAATGGCAAACTTTGGCCGCCGTTGAAGCTTCATTTTGATAGCCTATAGCCGTCGCGTATTGTTAGGACTCAAGTTTACTGGCTCAACGTCCTACAATGGTGGCAAGTTGAACGGAGTTGGCAAACTTCTGAGCTTGGAAGCCGGACGCATAGTGGGTTATATCGGGATCTCACTTAACAGGAATAGTAGTCATAGGCCGAACTGTGCTTTGGCATGCAGACTTCCTCCCTAGGATATGCCACATAGACAATAAGTTGGTCTTTCTGTACGCAGAGAACAAAATAATCAAGACCCAAATGATGTAACACTGGAAGGATCGTCTCTAATTAGAAATAAACCCAAATTATCTCTACTGTACAGCTCATGAATTGTATAAATCCCGGTAAAATCCCTCGTCATGGCCAAGGCCAGAGCTTCAAGTCCATGCTCTCATGTCTCTTTATCCCGCCACGTACAAGCTGAGAGCAACAATGTGAGGATTGAGCAAAGTCAGGTTGAACGGAGTCACAAAGAGGTCAAGATCCGTCAACATGACAGCCATGGTGCCATTGATGATACCCTGGTCGCCATATACATATCCTTCGGGCTGGTAAGTATAGCCCGTATTCTCACCGGTCACAGTCAGGGGAGGGGTTCTATAGGCATTTGTGCAATAATGCTAGCGCTCCATTTGCCTTCATTACTCATATGGCCTTGTTTGGCATGTTGGTGTCGTTTGTCTATATCAGCCATTGATGCGGCGTTGAGCCGTCGAGCCGTCACACAAAGATACCGGCATCCATGGACCCTTGGAACACCCATGCTAGAACAATACCATCCTGGGCATACACAGACAGTAATTGAGACTGTTGATCACAGTGAAACTTGGAAATCTGGACCAGTGTGACACTGAGAGGAGACCAGCCTGTCTGCCTGAACCCTGCCCTCTTATCACAACCTGATTCATCCACAAAAATCAACTGGTCTAACTTCAATATACATATTTACTCTTAGAATATTTCTCTCACTATTCCAGAAGCTATATCGAGGCTGAAATCACTTCCAACACATAATGGACACCCTGTCTGCGTCATTTTTTCAACTAGGCGTCAAAAGTAATCCCTGTGAGGTGAGTTGGCAGGCAATCCTGCAGGTAAAGAAGGGCACTTATTAGACAGATTACCTGCGCGCACCTGCGTGCTTACTTCAGCTGAACCTCGCCTTTGAGCAGCATAAATCACCCAGGGATATCATGTTTACCTGCACAACTTTTCCCCTCCTTTAAACACCAAAAATTTTAAAGGACCTAAATCCCCACCTACACGTACTTGTCTGTGAATATATATTCTGGCAAGCTTTCCAAAAGCACTGTTAGATATCAGCTTCAAAGATCAGGCCTCGACTCGTGGCCTTAATTAGCAATTCCCCATCAATTCTACTGCGAACTTGCTTCATTTAAGATCACGCAAGAATTTATATTATGGACAAGTTCAAACACGCATTCAGAAGACGACGGCAGCCTCCAACTTCCTGCAGTATAGAAAACAATCAACTGGAACAGTCTCAATGGTCTACCAAGGGATCTCCTGCGCCATTCTCTTTTCCAGACGGCGTTGAAGTTTTACATGAATGTCCTGATGCCACGGTTGACATATTTTTTGTCCATGGCTTGACTGGGAATCGAGACAGCACTTGGACTGCTCATGGGCAGTCCACGCCCTGACCGAAGACACTCCTTCCACCGGAATTCAGCAGAGCTCGCATACTCACTTATGGATACGACGCCTACATAGTGAGAAAGTCAGTTGCTGGGTCAAATCGCTTAATTGACCATGCCACAAATTTTCTCAATGATTTGACAACAGACAGAGCCCGCCACAATGCGACATCGCGTGCCCTCATTTTTGTTGCCCACAGTATGGGCGGCCTTGTTTGCAAGAAAGCCATTCTGCTCTCACGAAACAACCCTGAAGCTCACCTTCAGGGCATATTCAATTGCACCAAAGGCATCGTCTTCATGGGGACCCCGCATAAAGGATCCTGGATGGCGGACTGGGCAAAAATCCCTGCTGGGGCTTAACACGAAACGCTGTTCAACAGATGTTGGTTAAAAATGCAGATGGCATATTCCTCTGGGTGGCTTTGGTCTGCCAATATCTTGAAAATGTACCACGGGACCCTCTAACCAAGTTGCGGAAGTTTCCACCTGGACTCGGCCCTCTTTACGAGCGCATGATGAAAGAAATACTCGAATCACTGGAATTGGAAGATATCAATCTCTGCAAGCAGATACTAGAATTTATGACAGTTGCACACCGACCTACCACGCTTAAGGAACTAGCATATTTTATAGAGACCTCAGAAGCTCTTTCTGACAATCTCGATTCATTGAAGACAGATATAGGCCTCTGTGGTTCGTTTCTGACGGTAAAATACAATACAGTCTATTTTATGCATCAGTCAGCGAAGGGCTTTTTGGTTGAAAAGGCGTCCAGTGAAATCTTTCCTTCCGGGATGGAAGAGGTACACCATACGATCTTCTCAAGGTCACTCCAAACCATGAGGAGGACTCTGCAGCGTGATATATAATCATTACACGCGCCTGGATTCCCTATAAACCGGGTCAAACAACCTGAGCGAGACCCACTAGCTTCCGTGCGGTATTCATGCATCCACTGGGTCAACCATCTGCATGATTATCATTCCCGTCAGACCACCAAGCAGCATGAGGACTTGCAAGATGGTAGTATGGTTGACAAGTTTTTGCGAAAACATTATCTTCACTGGCTTGAGGCTCTTGCGCTTCTCGGAGGCCTCTCAGAAGGAATTCTTGCGATGTCACAACTGGCAGATTTAGCTCAGGTAAGCCATGAGACACTGTTGCTATGTTCTCCACAAGTTGTCCTAACGTTGCTATAGAAAATAACAGAAGGGTCCCCATTGCTTGCTCTCATCCAGGATGCATGCCGATTTATTCTTTACTTTTAAGGGGTGATAGAAAACGCTCCTCTACAAGTATATCATTCTGCACTTGTGTTCAGCCCAACCTGCAGCCTAATACGAGGATTGTTTGAGACAGAGAAGCCTCGATGGATTAGGACCAATACAGGCATGGAAGAGCTGGAGTGCTTGCTTACAGACACTCGAGGGCCATAGTAACTGGGTTTACTCAGTCACCTTCTCACATGATTCCAAGCTCCTTGCCTCTGCTTTACGGGATAGGATTATCAAGGTCTGGGATGCCAGCAATGCACAGTGCCTGCAGACCCTTGAGGGCCATGGTAGCAGTGTCAACTCAGTCATCTTCTCGCATGATTCCAAGCTCCTTGCCTCTGCTTCACGGGATAGGATTGTCAAGGTCTGGGATGCCAGCAATGGGTAGTGCCTGCAGACCCTTCATCTTGAACAAGTTGTCTCTGTAAAATCATTCGACTTCACCAACTCATACCTTTCAACTAATAATGGTACCATTTATTTATCTCCAGTGAGTCCAGTTTCAGATGAAAGACTCACAGAAACTATTCCTGAAATACCGCGATTTCAACGACATAGTATTAGTTCCGATGGTACATGGATCACTTGGAACTCAGAGAATCTGTTATGGCTGCCACCAGAGTACCGGCCATCTATTCTTACCGTGGCGCTATCAAATATTTGTATTGGTTGTGCTTCAGAACAGGTGCTAATCTTCAATTTTGACTCTCAGACATTGTTGGATGACTTTGCTCGGCACTCAAACATGTTTTGATAAAGCATATCTTGTTACGGTTCAACTGAGGTTCGACTTATGTTTGCATTGCTTGTGTCACGGATCACGGGCGCTCGCCAGCGGCATGATATGTTTAATTACTTTGGCCTGTTTGGATATAGACTAGATAGCTCAGCGCTGGCAGGCCCAGCTTCTTTCCTTTCCTTCTTCATGTTAGTATTTCGCCAGATAGTCTACCAATAGATTCATATTGCTCGAGACCGTCACAGCTTGTACTTGTTGCACTTGTTGCACTGTTTGTCACCCAGATAGATAGAGATTCCGCGCCCCTGCAGATGACTTCCTCATGAGTAGAATTATGTATATTTCTGCCGATGAAGTTTGATCGTATGAGAAGCCGTATCATATCTTACAACTATATCGCTTTTCACTCTCCCGTATTTTCTAGTCTCTTCGCAGAAGAAGGGACTGGGAGTAATGTTGAATTTATTGAACGGTGTATTGCCACCAAATCCATGAATCTCCATAACGTGAGTCACAAGCTTCATGTAAGATGTAATTCAGGGTGTGACCAATCACGGAAGTTCCCTATGCATCTTGTAATATTAGTTTCATGGTGTCCAGTCATGCATTTGACTGTCAACTTGATGTTCTGGCAACCAGGGAAACCTGCGGTTGTGTCAGGTCCAGATATGCCATTATGGAGGGGAAATCAGGTCACCAATGGCCATGTTCAAGATAAGCATTTTAGAGCATTTCATGTCATGATCTGTAAGACAAGGTAGCCTTTTGCTGATCTGTAAAAGGGAAATCCAGTCAGACACCTCGGTCCACACATCCATTGATACTCCATCCTTGTCCACCTTTATGACATGATGTCATGCGGGGAAAATACAACCAGTTTGTAGGGTTTTAGGGCAAAATCCTCAATAATGATATATGTATCTTGGGGCGTTGTCCATATCCTGCTACATAATTAAATTATACTTCCAAATTTCGCTCACTCTGCCAGATGGTGAGTGCGATTACCCAGCAATGGGCATCTACAAGCTGGAAAGGTGCGTCAGTGCTGCAATTATTTAGCTGGTTTGGGCTATTTCAACCAGGCAGGGCCAGCCAAAATTGTCCATTTCAAGGGACTAACCAGTTCTTCTTTCAGTGAGCATGCTTTGCTAGCACATATTGTATCTGATAAACCATCCATCTGTGGATTCTTTGTTACATGGGACTCAGCATGCAATATGTTTTTCACAAAATACCTTGAAACCAGTGAGATGTACAACAGTGTCACTTGCTACTGGCTGGACATGGAGCAATCAGCTGGTGCAGCAGCAAGAGTTTATGTGGAAGTCATGCCCATTTTCAAGCTTTTATAAGAATGGCTTGGAGAAGGATGAGGCTATCACAACTATGGATCTTCATGGTCTGTTTGCCAAGGCTGAGAATTTGTTGTAGATGGGGACTGCTTTTTGCACTAAGAGAATGCAAGGAACTGTGGCAACACTGGAAGTTAGACGGATAAATATGGATATCATGATGCCTTTAAGCCCTGACAAGGTTATTGGATTTGTGATAGCCGAGCCCCTCGCCAATTGGCAATTTCGCTCAGTACCAACTCTAAGAAGTGGCCGATAATATGTCGAGCAATATTGTCAAGGTCATCTTGAAAGAGGGAGAATCTACCGACGATTCTTAGTGCTTCCTGAACTTCCCTGGAAATTATATGGTCTGGCCTTTCTGGCTTTATTGCATTGCGGATTAGCTAGTTAAACACCTGTCTCGGTCAGTTTTGGATGACTTTGTGAGTCGAAGATGAATTGGAGTCTTAAGAAGTATTGTTGGGTTCAGGATGTTAAATATTTGAGATTTGTTTCATGATACCCCTTTTTATCATTACAATTGATTGCGTTTGAATGTTCTTAACCACCACACCATGAACACAATATATGCAAGCTTATACGGAACGCATTCACGCGAAATGCGGTAAACATCTTACTCCGACCCAACAGCCAACAACCCGAACAACAACTTCGTTCGCTTCCAGTACTCACTCGCCGCCTTCTCGATATTCTTAACGACTCGTTCCTCAGACTCAATACTAGCACGGAGTTTCTCAACAGCCCCAGTCAACTGGCATTGACTTTGCTCGATTTCTTTGGCGGCCAAGGCGTTTTTGAGATAGATGGTGTCGTAGAAGATTTGGACCTTGCAGTCGCGGATGTGTTCCTTGGAAGGGGTTTCGGTGGTTTCGGGCTCAGGTTGAGGTTGTTCTTCGTTTGGTTCGGTGCCGTTTTCAGTTGGTTGGGATTCGTCTTCCTGTTTGGTCTCGGACTCGGATTCAGGTTTGGGTGTGTCCTTTTCAGGGGCAGGCGATTCCAAGTTTTCAAAAGCAGACACAATAGACTTTGACAAGTCCCTCTGCAACGTCTGCTTCAGAACCTGCATTGTAGAAAGATCCCACAGGTCCTGTCCGCACCGATCCATAGACTCCATCAACCTCCGTAAGAACTTGAACGTATAAGATGACGGCTGAACGGGTAGTTCTGGATCTCCTTCCCAAAGAGACCGACCCGGTAGTCTCCTTCTAGAGTCAGGCAAGCGCAATGGAGTAGTAAGCGCAACGACTTCTGTCGCAAGCATCTCCTGTAACTTGGGGACGATGGCGTTGGAGAATGAGAAGTCGATTGCGATGAAGTCTGCAGGAAGATCCCTGCGGACGAGTCGTATGAGGCGGAGGAGATATGCAGCTTTGAGACCCCGGTTCAATTGACCAAATGCGGCGAAGGTATCGCTGAAGGAGTCTTGGAGGGTGGTTAGAGACTGGCGGACTGCGGATTGGAGTGCATCTCGGAGGAGTCGAGGGTCATCGTCATTTAACATGGCTGCGATGTCGACGTCGGGATCTTCGTCTTCGCCTTCATCGAGGATATCTGACCACTTTGTTCGTTTTAGATCGTCGATGAATTGTTTGGATGAGTCGATGATGGAGCGCCAGTTCTGGTATACTTCTAGAGCGGTGGAGATGTCCTCGTCGCGACCTAAGAGCTTGTTCATGACTGTTTGCTTGAAGGCGGTTGCTCCGTTCGAGTAATCGAGGGAGATGATGTTGTGATCCCATAGCGATTGGGTCTCCGAATGCTCCTTGCTTTCCCAGTATGATATCGTTGATAAGATATCTTGTCCGAATTGATCGAGTTTCTGGGCTTGGTCCGACAGAACTCGCGTGAGTTGCTCATTGAATATTGTCCTGATGCCTTCGAGGACGCCTAGCGACGAATGTGTTGGTGTGGAGCTCCGTGAACTGAGCCACAAATCCAGGGTCTTCTTCCGCAGTGTGAGAAGATCAGGGAAATCGTTCCAGTTTCCTAGGCTATTGTGGCAGCCCTTGACGAGAGCATCGAAAGCCTGACTGGACCATTGCTTGATGACTTTCTCTGCGTCCGACTTGGAAAGCTCGCTGAGTTTGATCCACGGCGTGAAGTTCGTGACTTCCGGCGCAGCCCAGCGGCCCAAAGTGTCAATGCCCAGATCATCCAGGTTGCGCACTTCAGGGTCCGTGAGGATGGGCCGTGTCTTCAATTTACTAAGGACATCCGACAGGCGACGGGACAAGAGAATCTTGGACGTCTGCAGGGTTCGAATGTATAGCAAGAAAGCCTTAAGCACGTTCTCGCCAGAAAAGTCCATGAGAGCCAATTGACTATCAATAACGCCTAGACGAACGTCCCGAAGATGACGAATCGCATCATCCGACGATGAGCTAGTGGTCAAGCAATACGCAGCCAGAGCTTCAATGATATCGTCCGCGGTGGAATTCGCAGAACCAAGGCATTTCCGGATCCGTTTCAGAAGGGTTTGTCGAAGGGAAGCCAATTGGCCGCGCAGGGTCTCCAGGAACGGCGGCACGGATTTCCGCTGCGATAATGTCTTGTGTAGTAGTCGGGAGATGACGAACAATTTTGCGATCAGCAACGGCGAAGCGCGTCTCCGTAGTAGTCTCGAAATCGTAGCAGCACAGCGGTGAAGTAGTGAGAGCTGCGCTCCGACTGAGCGTTTGTCCGCATCTGTCTCGATCAGTCTCACGAACCGGTACCCCAGACAAGCGTCAACATACCCTTATCCAACACATCGCTCTTAATCTGACCCAAATGCGCACTCTTCTTCTCCACCAGTCTCGGGTTGCATCGCTGCCCAATATCGGCGAGGTTCGAATCGACATCTTGAATCTCCCGGTTCATGGAAACAATCGTCTCCGCAGTCCCGACAAGCTCTCGGTATCTCGTCCTAAACACAGAATTCCCATTAGCATGGGCCACAGAATGGCATTCAATAGCTCCCGACTTACCCAACTAGAGCGCGGAGCTTCTCCTTATTGCTCGCAATGTCACGCCGGAGCTCCTGTTCTACACGACGCACGGTGGGAATTGGGTATTGGAATGCGTCCTCCCATGATTTCAAGCTCTGCGGGTCCGGGCCAGACGCCATAGTGGTGACACTGTGGTAGGTTCAAGATAGCTGGTGAAGAGGCCAGCAATCAGATTGGAGACAGGTTGAAGATCAACGGTGCCTGAGGCAGCACGTGGCCTTGTTCCGCAGTGGTACGCTATTCCCGATTGGGGCGTTACGCATTCCCCGCCGATAACTATTTTTTCTGCCTCCGGTGATTCATTGTATGACCCCTCCAGCATATAAAACTAGCATTGTCCCTTTGAGACTTTAGTGATCACTCAAACTCTGACCATACAACAATCAACATACACCAGCATGCCACACATGGAATCTGAGACGCAACCTCCAGCTGCGTCCTCAACGGAGCAGCTGGACAGACTACCTTTCCCCCCGGTTACATACTCTCACATTTTGAACTGCTCATATCACTCCTGGTACCCAAAGTGAGTCCTCTGACCCTTTTCCTGCTTCTATAGTAATCTAACAAATGCGCAGGTACCGCACTCTCGCACCCAAGTCCCGCGCACTCCCCGCACCAACATCTTTCATCACCTACCTCCGCGGCGACAGCATCGTCCTCCCACCAGAAGACAAACCCCCGATCGACTCCGACGACGATGACGATACCTTCTCCGACGACGAAACCGAAGAAGCCCCAGACCCGTCGACCGAATGGAAAGACTTGCACACCCAAGTAAAGAACACAATCAAAGAGTTCGGAGGCAACGTGACACCAAAATTGAACTGGAGCGCACCCAAAGACGCAACCTGGATAGCAGCAACCAACGACCTCGAATGTCGCAGTGCAAACGACGTCTACCTCCTACTCAAGAGCAGCGACTTCGTCACGCATGACCTCGAACACGCCTTTGACGACTGCGTCCCGGATACCGACACCGGCCCCGCAACAGAACCCGAGATCCCTTACCACCTCGTCCTTCGCAAATACGCCAACTTCAACCCCTCTCTTGAATTCAGATGTTTCGTGCGCAACCGTGTCCTTCTGTGTATGTGTCAGCGCGACCAAAACCACTACGACTTCCTCTTCCCAATGCGCGATGCCCTTCGCTCGCGGATTCAGGCGTTTTTCGATGAGAAGTTGAAGGATACATTCCCGGATCCTAACTTTGCGTTTGATGTCTATCTGCCTCAGCCGCACCAGCGGGTCTGGCTTATTGACGTCAACCCGTGGGCTGAGCGGACGGACCCGCTGTTGTTTAGTTGGTTGGAGATTTTGCAAATGAAGGATCCGGTGAATGTGCAGGAGGAAGATGATTTCCCAGAGGGAGGATTTGTCCGTATTTCATTGAATGAGAACGGGAACCCCACTCTCCAGGAATTTGGCGCAAATGGTGAACTTGCCGAATCCGAGTCTGAGTCCGAGTCCGATGAAGAGGAAGACCCGGCAAATGAAGACGACGACGCACCATTCCTCCCAGAGTTCCGTCTAATCAAACGCGACGACCCCGAGGCATACGCATTCACATCACCGCAGTACTCGGCGCATAAGATGCCCAAGGAAGTAGTTGATGCGTCGCTTGCTGGACCGGGTGGGATGAGCGAGTTCCTGGGGAAGTGGCAGGATATTCTTGCTAAGCAGATCGAGGAGGATCAGGCGGCGGATAGTGATGATTGATGATTTTGCTTTTACTCTATACGGCTAGGGTTGGATTGGCGTTGAGCGATGTTGCTTATTTAGATAAAAGTATCACGTTTATTTATGATATCTACTTAAATTGACCAAAATAAAGATTATATACACCGTACCTTATCCTATACACACCCCAAACCGAGGCTACAGCTTATGCTTCTTCTCCCCACTAGCCAACCGCCGAAACTCCTCCTGCGGCACCCCACTCAAAAACCTCTCCAACCCCATAAACGCCTCAATCCCATTCTGCCTCTCCAAAACCTCCCGTCCCGGCCTTCTAATCAACTCCTTAATCTTCAATAGACTGCTCTGATTCAAGTGTGCCCCGAGTCTCTCGTCAACTTCCTCCAACACTTTACCCAGGAAGCCCTCAGAATCGGTTTGATTACCGGATGGCGCGGAGATGACTTTATTAACGAACCCCGTTTGTTCCAGTTCGGCGCATGTAATCCGCTTACTCATGATAAGCGCCTCGTTCGCCTTCGAAATACCCATTCTTTCCACGAACGCGCGGCTCGCACCGCCCTCCGCGACGAGTCCCAGCGACGCAAACGGAGCAAGTAGGAATGTATGCGGAGTCGCGTAGATGAAATCCGCAAAAGCGACTAGGGCAGCGGAGAGCCCGACGACGGGGCCGTTTAGAGCGACGACGAGAATCTTGGAGTGGCTGTAGAAGGCGCGGGTGACATCGATGTTGTTGGCAACGAAGCTGCGGAGGATGTCGCGGCGGGCGGAGGAGGAGAGGGAGCCGCTGGGGCGGGAGGCTGTTACATCTGCGCCGCTGCAAGCTGTTAGTATTTCTGTACTTGGGTGTATGTGACTCCGCGGATATGCTCGGAATGTAGCGGTGGTAGGAGCAGGGGATAAGGCATACGCAGAGAAAAACCGCCCCGCGCCAGTGAGAACGGTAATGGAGATATCATCGCGCTTCTCAATCTCGCGCAGATGCTCGCCCAACTGGTAGTACAGATCCTGGTCGAGAGCGTTCAGTTTCTTGGGACGGTTGATCGTAATCACGGCGATGCGCTCGCGATAGGTCACGGTGATGGGGGAGGTCATTTTCAATGTTTCCCGTATTTCGATTAACTGAAATTGAACTATTCAGAAAACAATGGACTCTGGTGTCAATAGATAGCTGATGAGGGTTGAATCGACCAGCGACTCAACTCAAGATATCCATCCCCAACTCCTACTCCGTACCGAGCTAGTCAATTCGCGGGGAGCCGATAAGCCGAGGCCCATCGGTATAAGTCACCTGATTCCACGTGACCCGAATCATATCAAGTGACCGCACGTGATATGTTTGCATGATTTGTTTAGAATCGCCGATCTTACGATAATTGATTGAGTGTTGCGCATTGGGCGGGATTTGCTCGTTTGCCCGGGGTTTTTCATATTGATCGATTGTTGACTGTCGATAATTATTAGCAGACTCTCGTCTGGATATTTGTGATTTAGACGAGTGTATAGGGAATAGGGAAAGAAAGCGCCGTATCCCGCACCTCCGCGAAAAGATTAAGATCAAGCCGCACAACCAACTCGAACATCAACACTCAATCCTCATACATACCATACATACCTAACACACACCAAAATGTCCGCCATTCTCCGCAAACTCCAAGGCGGAAACCTCGAAGTCTTCAAGGTACCCCCTCCCCAGCCTTCTTTCCCCAGTCCCCTCACCCAACCCATCCAAACCAACCAAACTAACCTCCGGCCTCCGGCCTCTGGTAGTTCGGAATGTACATCCTCTTCCCCATCGGCTGGATGTACTACTTCGGCACGAACCTCGACGACCGCTTCAACGTCTCCGGCTTCTGGCCGTCCGCCGAACAATCGCATAAGATCCCGCTGGAGAAGGAGGATATTGATAAGGAGTTGGCGCGGATGAGGGCGTTGGATTCGATTCGGAGGGAGAAGAGGATGCAGCGATTTACCGAGGGGACAGAGGGGTCGGAGTGAGGGGGTTTGGTTGAGTTTGGTTGGGGCTGGGGTGTATATATGAGATGGGATTGGGGGATTGGTATGATATGCAGGGACATGCAGGGACACCGGTTACGACTGGGTTTGGAATGGTTGCATGGAGTTGAGTACATTTGTGCGAATGCCCCTTGTATAACACCGCTCTGGCGTTGGGAGTTTTGTTTCATGGAGGGTTGTACTTTTTACGGAAAAGAACCGAGATATCCTCTAAATACACCGGAATTTACATTACCAGAATGGCTGTGGACACAAATGCAATCATCGCTATCAAGGGTATTCTATCAGTGAATAAAAATAACCATAGTCAACAATCCACAGTAATAAAGTAAGAATTGCCATCAGCCCAAGTAAAGATGCAACGAAGAATAATAAGCAAACACCAACGAGCGCCGACCTGCTCTCATACAAGAACCCAGATTATAAGGAAACCGCTCAACAAAAGACGCCGTGAATAAAACAATTATAGTACTTCTTTTCTGAATGCCAGCCAAGTGAAACCAACAAGAAAAATCGTACGATGCGATGTGACGCACAACCGGTGGTTAAAGTTCAATCCATCACTCGTCAAAGCAAGACCCAACAAACAAACAGCAAAAAAAAAAAAAAAAAAAAAA